TGTCAAATATAATTCTACTTCGCATGTCTTTGTTTCTTTTCTAACGCGATGTATAGGGAATCAGACTTGAGTTATTTGGTCTGCATCTACCAATAGGGTTTACGTCAAAAGTCGATAATCAGAAATGATAAAACTTTCGTAGCCGAAAAAATTATCAAAACGCTCCCTTACTCCACTCAAGATTATCAAGCTTGGTATTGACACAGGTGTTAGTGACTCTCTAATCACTTAATCACAATATACAAGTAATCTAACCTACAATCATAAAACCAATCTATGTGGCAGGTTGACTCAAACTGTTGAGTGTAATTATCCGACCATCCCAAATGTATTTTTAAGCTTGTTGGTGATATTGTGCATGTCCATAAATGATTTGCCATAGCTTTTTACACACGCACCTTCCTATATATTTCTGCTTGTCTCTGTCTATGGTTAGCACTCGAGACCAACCGAACTCAGTTTTTCGCAGCTTCCCAAATCTGACAGGGCGATCAGTCAATTGAAATGGTAATATTGGACAACTATTGATAAGGACGTGTAAGATCAGTCCATCAGGACCAGCTTTTTTCCTGCTTTATGATATCTGAAGATTTTTCAACTTCTCCGAGGGCTATGGACCAATAAAGAACTATTTCGGTCACTTAAGTGGAGAGTAAGCCATGGCTTCTTTGTATGTCCGTTTCCTTGGTTAACCTGAACAGTTATCTGTTGCTACTTGTCCACAGTAACAAGAAACTCTTCTGGACCAAACCCAATGCAGATGGACATATTTACTGAGCTTAAGGGCAGCGAATGTACATGTGGAGTAAAATAAAGAACTATCGTCACAACGAAAGCATAGTGCAGCGACTTTTGCTCATACAAAGTGTAAAGAACTGTTTATTGTAATTGTTTATAGGCTATATAGTTTTTAATTGTACACAATTCATAAGATACTGATTCACGATCAAATCAGTAACAAAACATATTCTGAACAGTATGGCTGGATGTTACAGGTCGCTATATGATTATTATTATTATTTTTACCTCACCCACACAGTTAACTATTATTGCCTTTCCATATGCTGTATATTCAACGCTGCATTATCCCACAGACGATATAGCACTTGGAAATATTCTTGATGAGTCATACTCTGCTGCATTAGTAATCTGTAGCTCTCCATTGTTCTAGATAGATGGCTTACACAAACATCCTCATTGGCTCGATGTTTCAAGTAAGATCTTTCGCATCATTATAATCCAGTGAGACGGGAATAAAGAGTTTAATTTGAAGATATATTACTGTGAGATCAGATAACGACCCTAATAAAATGAACCCTATTATGTTAAAGGCACCATAGGTCCATGTTTCGTCACACAAGAAGTTCTACTGTTTGGCACTCAGAATACATCGTAGATGAATAAGAGTAAGTTTAGCGACAGTATAGGAACAATATAAAATAGAAATATGAAAAGTACTCAATACTTATATCCGTACAGACTCTGTGACAATCTAAACGTTTGGTGACATTGAATATCATGTAAGTGTTGGCAAATATTCATCTCATAGGTTTTTACTGTTGCTAACAGACAGAAAGTTTTGAAAACCAGTTTATTGTCGCCCAATAGACAATGATTGTTATCTACTATTCTGACACTCAGGGTTGGCTCAAACGTGTGCACCATTTAAGTTGTAACGACGTGGAAAGTTACGGAAGATATCAAAACAGAGAAAGCCAAGTCACCTTGTGTGGCTTATAAACTAAATCACTTAAGAAAAAGGAATAACCGTTTAGGTCAGGTAAGATGAGCGCTGTGGCCTAGTTAAAATTAACGTATTTCCTGTTCTTAGGTAGCCAGTGTTCATTAAGACAAAGCGCAGAGAATTGATAGTATTTCTTTTTTAGTCTTACGAATTTAGATATAGCCGTAGCGCTTAAACATAACCAGTCGAAAAAATGGTATTCAATGGTACCAAACCATGTTCAAAAGTAAATGAGTCACAGATGTCTTCACATGAACCTTAAACCGGCTACCTATTGTAGTCGTGTATCAGGTAGGGGAAAAATTACCATGCATGTTTGTTTGATTGCTCAAGACTAACTTCTAAATGGACTCAGTCTAGCAGGTCAGTGGTCTCATTATCTATGATGCTGTCTTTCTCTATGGCACTGTGTTTCAAACCACGTTTAAAACTCTTTAACAGTCTTATGCAGATTAGATCGGGAGTTCAATGCAATAAATCACCGCGAACGAGGACCTGATGAACTATATCGTGTGACTTTAGTTGACCTGTGATTATTCTTACAAAAAAGTTAGAAGGTGCAAACCAGACAAGGCACGAGATTTTAATCAAGTTGGTTAGAGTGTCTGATATCTCATCAAAATACTGAGAACACTAATGTTTGTGCCCAACTCTTGTACAATCAATGGAGTCTGTGAGCACATGTCAACTAAGGCTAATCCAAACACGTCCGTCCCTCTCAAACTTCCACAAGTAAACTGGTGAGCATTTGGATAAAAATATTTTACCATGACATTTATTACAACACAATGTCAGGACTAGGTTCATGTTAGCTATTAATGAATTTCATTGCGACTTTGAAGTAACCTGAAGGTCTCGGAGTTAGGCATCCAAGCGCAAAATCGAAGGTTCCGGGTTCGAGGTCCCGTGGAAGTGGATGATCACTACTGGATGGCAGAATCAAGTACTGTTGACCTTCCATATATAGCCATCAGTGGTCTTTAACTTTGCATTAACCATTCAATACCCATCAATCAATATCGAAACTTAGAAATCACATAGCTCTGTTTGATTGTTATACATTGCCTCTGAATTTATATGGTGCTAAATAATGGAATTCTTGATTGCACAGTTTATAAGTGTTCGCAGCTAAGTATGCGGATGATACACAAGGTTTAATGAAATCGGGTGTACAGGTGATTGAGTATCTGTAGCTTATCAGCGTCCAATACAACTGATTCGACTAGCATTGTTAACGATTACCTAAAAAATCATTTATTTTAAGGAATTACGCACCAAAACAATAACTTTGTGATCTTTGTGATGATCCTAACCGACTGTGGTGCTCTTGATTGACATGATCATTATGAGACAGAAAACAACTCAACAAGTTCTCGTGTGCTTGCGTATAATACTGTATTGCAACTGTATCAATAACACAGGCAATTTTTGAGTTATCGCGGTGTACTCAAATTTCTGAACTAGTTATCGGGGTCGATGCAACGAACCTTCGAGATAACAACCGGTGGCTCTTCTCTCTATACCTTCAAGAATTATGGAGTTCCTGATATGTAAGTGCATACACGACTATTTATTATCCCTAAGCTTCTTTTCACCCCAACAGCACGGTTTCAGAAAGGGTATTTCTTATATAACCAACCTGCTGACTGCTGTGGACAGATGGACAACCATCCTTGACCGAAGCGGGAAGGTTGAGATCATCTACTTTGACTTCTCAAAAGCTTTTGATAGAGTCAGCTATACATGTCTTATCAATAAGCTCAAACGATTAGGTATCAAATAACCTTTAATGGATTGGCTGACTTTATAAAGAAAAACCCCATATGTTAAGGTCAAATATAACTTCAATTTCTCTCAGGCTATGAAATGTCTTGGTGGGATCTTCCAAGGTTCAGTATTAGGACCTCTTCTTTTCTTGATTTATATAAACGGTCTTCCAAAACAAGTATAGTCTGGCTGATGATATGAAACTTTGGAGAGAGAGAGATGCAACCAAGAGGGTATACTGGCACTTCAGAAGAATCTGATTCGATTTCAGTGTTCAGCAGATGACAACGAACTAACCTGTAACACTTCAAAGTGTAGATTGGTTGATATGAGACATGTTGCAGATTATGGTTACAACTTTGGCGACTTCCCTGTAGAAGTATTACAAATTGAAGACGATTCAGGAGCACTGGTTCCCTACGATTTGACGTCTTACGCTAACTGTGACAAAAGTGCCTTTCGAGCAAACCTTTCACTGATAATATTGAAGCGCATTTTTGCCAGTTTTGAGGGAGAACCTTCCATATAATCTTCAACAGTTTAATTCGTCCCCATTTAAAGTACGGAAACATAGTATATCCTCCTTCACTCCAAAAGGATAGGGACACGTATCCAATGGCAAGCCACAATATCAGTTCTGGGACTCAAATTCAAGCCTTACTAAGCGCGCCTCCAGTCACTAACGTTTACCCACTTGTAGTGTGGAGTCGAGTCGCGGTTGACTATGATCACCACTACAGGAAGACTACGTGCCAGTTAACCGATAAGATCCCCCGTTGGCTAAATATCAGAAGGCAGTTGATGGCTGTAGTCGAGATGTATTTGTTGGCGATCTCGTGGTATCGAAAGAACACCGAGATCATGCCAAAGGAGTACATGTACAAGTACAGTAAAACAATCCCTGGTACAATTGGTTGTAATAATAATTGTTTCCATTACACCAATCGCGTTCTCTTGATAAAAGCAGGTCACTACACACTAGAGTACAGGAGACTTAGGGCTGACATTTTAACGGCTTACAGTGTCCTTAACACTTCTGGACACTCCCTCAAACACCTACTTAAGTTTAGTCCCAACACAAACCAAAGGGGTAACACCCAGAAACTGGGGACATTACATGGGAGAACGGTCTGTAGACACAACTTCTACTCCTCAAGAGTAGTCAAATGCCGGAATTCGCTGCCGGCTGAGCTAGTTCAAGAGAATTCCCAGGAGTCCTTTGAGAGAGAACCTGACATATTTTTAAGGTCCAATGATAGTGTTTTACTATGATTTACCAATTTCTTTTTCCTTGATTATCGTTAATATACCTAGGTTCATGCCTGGAGGTATTGGTGATCCACTGCTACAAGACACGGAAGCCTGTTAAGCGAAAGCTTCTATTCCGTTCACAACCATTCACAACATTTGAAGTAACGCCAAATACACTTTTGGTTGACTAATCGATTTCAGTCAGAAGGTCGTACACAAAGAGGTAGGTCCGGAATCCGTTTGACCTTGGTACATCCTTCAATCAACATAAGCGTTTTCCAGATTCCTGTGTAATGTGCTTACTAATTTTATATCTGGAGTATAATGGAAGGATACAGTTCTTCAGCCTATTTAGTTTTACTTTTTTGATTAAAACTATCTGAAGTGGAGTTATCAAATCTGCTCAATTTTGTTTAGTTTTGTCAACTGAGCGATTTAGTGGAGTTAGGTAAATGATTGTTTAGTAAAACATATGAAAAACGCGACCAGCTAGATGAAAATTAGGGGAGATTTTCTTCATTTCACATGATTTTCATTATGTTGAATCTGTGTTTCCACACTATTTTCGTCGAAAAATTAAGGTAAGGACGAACGTAGATGACTTTCAGAATATCTCTTAGAAACGCCGGGTTCTGTTCAGTTTATCAAAAAACAATAAGAATAAGCGAAAAATCCATATCGCTTCATTGAATAATTTTTGATATACATACTATTTTCTTATTATTAATACACTTCTCATAATTGTTCGTACCCCGACCGTTGTTGCTACCTTGACGTGGTGGTCGGGCTTGCCTATCGTGATGAAGCAAACGAGCCATGTTGGTAGATGCAGACTACTTGGTTGGGGTCCGCGTGACTTTCGTAACCAATGGTTGGAGACCCTTGGTTACATGGCTCAGAATCGATCACAATGGCGTCGGTGTATACACTCTCTGTCTTCTCTTAAACTAAAAGATTAATATCACTTCACATCTTTCTTTCTACGAACTAATTCTTTCTTCCTATACTATATCCTTATTGCAATCTTCCTCCTATATTTTACCACCTTTGACCTAACCACTCCTATGAATCCGGTGTTCATCTTGCTGTGCTAATGAGGTATGGCAACCTGGGCCGATGCATACATGTGCCTGGTCCTACGTTGTAGCTGACTGACTGACTGACTGAAATTGTTCGTACGTGTTGTCCTGCGTCCAAGTAGCATACAATAGGGTTAGAGTTGATGATATAGTTTTATTAGAAATACAGCGCAGGATTACGATATGTGAGCTAACTATAATACTGATCGTAGCTATTAATCCTGATTCCAACCTCTTATTGCTTAGATGTTAACTCTCAATTTTCATCCTTAGGCCTTAATTTTAACCGTGAATTAGTCATAATTGCATTGCTAAAGCGTTAGTATATAGTGCTACTGGAATGAAAGAATCATCTGCTAAAGGGGTTTGTTAGACATGTTTTTAATATCTGCCATAAAGTAGTTATTTTAGTCAGTAATTGTATCTTATTTTGCGGTTAATAGGTTATCTGTGTGGGTGTACTTCCATTTTTAACCATTAGATCAATAGCACATGCGTTAAGTTTGTATGTTTTCGTCCCTCAATACTTCATTTTCCGATTATGATAAAGCATGATATTATCCCTGTGGTTTTATGAAGGCTACACCCAAGTATTTTCTCCCTAAAGGTTTTATGGTGTGACTATAATTTATGGACGACCTTTGAGCGACGCTAGACTGATCTTGAGAGTGTCCACTTAATAACCATGACCAGATGGTTATAAACGTGTATGAGGAATTATAAATATAATTTACATTTGATGATTAAGATTAAGAATTAGATTTCGTGATTTCATCATGAACTGACATCAGCTATGATGCCAAAACTCTATTTATCCAAATGGATGAGTGAGTTTCGCGCGAAAATCCGAGACCTGTTATCTTATAAGTGATTGGTTCGTCCGTAAGTTGTAGTCTCGCCTGTTTTATAAACTGAGCAAGGTTTACCACATAAGCTGTTATTTTGTTTCGTAAGAGGAACTAAATCCATGTACTGGGCCCTAATACATATGTAAGTACTAGCACCTTTACGTGGTTACCCAGACCGGATTAGGTGCAGCTAGATTGATTAAAATTCTGGTTATTTGGTTACTGTGGTACAACCTTTGTAACTACAGTACTTAAAAATCTCATGATGTTTATATTTCAAACGAGCTACATATTAATTACCTTATAACCCTTAACTTAAGTTGAAAAAGTTTTAACTCTAAGACCTTTGTTTTTTTTTCAGGTTGTTGCACAACTGTTGCTTTAAGTTGTGCAATACATTTTCAAACTTTCTTTATGTGTAAATTATAAAGTTAATGTCGTCATCTCGAGCTGCCTCTGCTATTAAGGAAGTAATCAACTTCAAAAATGCTAAGAGGACGTCTTTCTTCCTCATGATAATGATATCAATATATCATGGCTTTCTGATGACAAAATCTGGTATTTCTCTAGAAGTGTTTTTAATTTTAGGTGGTAATTTGTGCAAGTCTCTACTGAGTGATGGAAGATCAGGGCCTGGTGGAGAATTTCGGCCCTACAGTTGTATGATACATACTTACTCATCAAGGTAGTGTTTTATTCCTTATAATTTATGCAATAATAAGAGACAGTCATAAATGTTTTAAAAGACTTGCGCCTTGGGGTGATGTGGTCCGACTCTATTTTGTTGGAGATTCACGACTCAAAAAGCTATTTAATGCTTTTGTTTATCACATAAATGATGAAATTGTTGGAGAAAATACTACATCAGAAGCAAGCATTTCAAATAACTTTCAGTATGTTGCGGGAGAAGTCGACTTAGTAAGTGATCTTCAACAAACTTTCTCGCATGCTTTGTTCGCATCTTTGATTTAGTAATTTTTCTTCGTTTATTTGATCCGTTTATACAATATATTTGTGCTACTGTAAATTGCTATCAATAAGAGCCGCAAAACTGCTCAAAAAAGATTAAGTTTTTTATAAGCGACTATTTAAGCAGTATAGCTGTCAAGTGATATTTTGTTACCGGTCGTTTAATTACAGTCAGTCTCATTTTGTCTACTGTTCGCTATTCTGTGATACTTTTGGATCCACTGTTGAGATTTCAGCCCAGTTTTAAAACATTCGGGTAGTGAGAATAGTGCTGAATCAATAGCATAGTTTAATTTCATGAATTTAGTTGGTTATGTTAGGAGCCTTTAAAATTCTATTCTTGAACATTCATGATTGTGCTTCTACCTGCTCATTACCATATATTTTATTTTATTTCCTCTTAGCTCAGTACACCAACCCTGTTCATGTCTTACTACTACACTGTTATGAAATTTATCAGATTTAACTATACATTGAGATAGATTTTGTTGTTCAAATTAAGCCTAAACGAGTAGAAGACGTATAATTCAAACAACTAAATTTTGTCATACTTGACATGTGGCTAGCAGTAGAATTTGTGACGCCCATTTTGTCCTGTCTGGGATTTATAATCTGTATTTAACTAAATAGTACTATTGATTTTTACACAACTTGTAACACAGGTACAAATATAGCTAAACTTGAGACTAAAAGGCACGTCGAGACATTCCTCTCACGATGTTCACCGTGTGCACGATTGGTTTGGAATCAGGGATTTCCAACTCCCTTAAGTGGATCCTCCACACCCACCAACCCGGTCAAAGCGCCGGACATTTGCTTTATTTTCTCTCAATTTCGAGAAGGCAGCGAGTGAGACCTCCCTTGAAGTAGCTGTGTACGCGTGGCCATTTAAGAGCATTTCGAGTGGGAGAGCTAACTCTCCCCACCCTCGGTCGTACCAGTTCATTTTGGGCACTTGTTAATAGTAGAAACAATATAGAAGTGTCTTCCAATTTCGTATTTTCGTTAGGGTAAGATGCTCAATTATCGTGAATCTTCATTCTGTTTGAAGCCATTAATCTGTGATTATCTGTTGTTAACTTTTAACCATTATGGTAATTGTTTCGAATCTTTACATAATAAGTTTAAATCAATCTAGTAAACGAAACGACACATGTTTACTTAGGTTATTACTTTGCCTTTTTATGCAATTTAGCTACATTATTACTGCTATTATCGTCATTTTTAATTTTATTTCTCTAGCGATTTTTCTATCATGATGAAATTACAGATGATACACTAGAACTAGTCAAGTCATGGATCGGCTCTACAAATTTATCCAATGTTACTGAGTCTAATATACGAAACAAAAATAATGACATTTCTGCACCTACTCACTTGATAATCTCTATGGGCACAGTGAGTACAGTCTTTCTATAAACGATTTTTCACCTGTTTTGTATCAATATGTTTTTTTCAACTGATTTACCACGTCATCGCTAGTTTATATACTTGGTCTTGAGTTGTACATTTCCGCTTGTAAGAGGTAACGATATGGTCTGATTGGCTAAGTAGGTGAATAAGCGGGATTTCGATTTATGACCTAATTGTTAGTCATTAGATTATCTATGCACTTTACTTCACCACATGGTGAATTGAATCCCATTTTGTAAGCGAAGTAAACACTAGTTCATTCATTATGATGTTAGTTTTAATTTTCGTATCGAATTAATACACAGCTATCCACATCAAAATAGGCTGTTAGGAGTGTGGTCATATAATTAATAAAGTCAGTCAGTCAGTAACAACGTAGAACTTCGTACGTACGTACATCAGTTCGAGTTGCCACACCACATTAGCACAGAGATGCAGTTGTCGATTCAAATCCCGTAGTGGTAGAGGTAATAAGAGTATAAGCAGTAATCGGGAAGATTAGGGTTTGGAGATGTTATTTAAAGAGTATAATCCAGTGAAATAAATTTGGAAAGAGGAAAAAAGGGACATGAAGAATTCAGAAGATTAGAATTTGGGAGAACACAGAGAGTGGATGCACCTGCGCCATTGCAAACGATTTTGAGCCATGTCATTCAGGGTCTCTAACCATCGGTTGCTGTCATCTCGCGGTCCCCAACCAGGTAGTCTACACCTACCAACATGACTCAGTTCACTTGTCAGTGACTTCATGGACTTGTGCCATGTTTTGGTTTGGCCGCCCCTAGCTTTCTTCCAACCTACTCCTATACCACTGAACATAGCACGTCGAGGCAGTCGGTCGTTGGGCATACGTAACACGTGTCCCAGCCATCTCAACTGATGAAGTTTCACTACGTCATCAATTGATTTGCCATCCTTACCTAGTACCCGTTTCCTAACAACTGTGTTACTTACTCGATGGTCCCATGATATATGAGCAATGTTTCGAAGACACCTATGATCAAATACTAGTAACCTACGGATATCCTCTACTCTTACCGGCCATGTTTCACTCCCATAAAGTAGGACGGAACGAACTGCTGCGCAGTAAACACGTCCTTTGGTTGATAGACGGATATCTCGCCTACGCCATAAATGACGCAAGTTGGCAAAAGCTAGTCGAGCCTTCTGTATCCGTGCTGAGATTTCGTCACACACTAAACCACAAGGGCTGATGAGACTTCCAAGATAAGTGAAGCGGTCGACACACTCAACTACTTCACTCCCTATCACTAGTTCGGGTGTCGATGTAACCCAATCCTGAAGCAACATTTTGCATTTCGAGGGAGCGAATCGCATCCCGAACATGCTTGCATTGTTGCTTAGAGTGGTCAGAAGACTCTGCATTTTGTCAGTGTCTTCACCAAATAAAACTATGTCATCAGCATATTCTAAGTCAACAAGTGAACCTCCTGGTAGAAGTTCAACCCCTGGAAATTTAGATGAGGAGAGTGTTATCTCTAAAAGTACGTCGACCACAAAGTTGAACAAGAATGGGGAGAGTGGACAGCCCTGACGAACACCACTTGAGGTAATCAATTCTGATGACAGTTCGCCATAAGCTCTCACTCTACCAGTTGTGTTCGAGTAGAGAGCCTTTATAAGGTTAATGTACTTCTTTGGTACTCCTTTCAGTGACAAACACTGCCATAGAACCTCACGATCAACAGAGTCGAATGCCGCCTTAAGGTCGAGAAATACTACCATTGTGGGGCGTCTGAATGTGTGTCTGTGTTCTAGAACCTGACGTAGTGTGAATATCTGATCTATACAACCACGTCCAGGTCGAAAACCGGCCTGGTTTTCTCTAGTCTGCTCTTCACGAGCTTTGTTAGGCGTCGAAGTATTATTGAAGCTAATATTTTAGACACTATATTAGTCAAACTGATTCCTCTGTGATTGTCACAAGAGGACTTTTGTCCTTTCTTATAGACTGGCACAATCAGTGATTGAGACCAGTCAGATGGGATTACGTCCAGTTCCCAAATTCTACCTAAGACCTCGGTTAATCTCATTGCTAATACTGGACCACCATCCTTAAAAATCTCAGGAGTAAACCTGTCAGGGCCTGCTGCTCTCCCTCGTTTCAGATTTCCTATGGCTTTTTCAACTTCGTAAAGGGACGGAGGACCTACATTAACTTGCCATTCAGGTTGACTAGAGAATTAATAAAGTATACCTTCACAGCCTCACTTTTACATGCTATATATTTGGTCACATAATTTGTTCTTATATAAATAAAATCAATGTTATAGCATTTTTTGTAACAATGATTATCACTGAAATAAATTATTGTGTTGCTCACTTGTCTATTCACATTACCTTACATATGTTTATTATTTGCTCTCATTGGCAGAAAACAATACAACATTATAATAGATCCGAAGATGGTCTTTTAGAATATATGAGTAAGTGTTTTCTTTCATATGGATCGATAATTTCTCTTCAGATAAATTTTAATTACAACATGAAAGGATGTCAACTGAAGGATAAGTGAAAACCAAGCAGAACTAGGCAGACGTCTTGTTTTACTGTGAGACTTCTCGACGGTGCATAACTACGACTCTACACAGGGTTGAACCCAGCAGGTTCATTTAGCTTGATGAGCTCAAAGCTCTTACACATATGCTACGTTTGAAGAGATTGAGGTATTACTTAAACCGGCAAATGGAACGAAAGTCAACAACACAACAACAGTACAAGCTAAACTATCCCACTGTGCTCCAGCCCTGTTAACTAGATTAAGACCACATTCAGTCGAGGGAATTGTATATTCCACAAGTATCCCACAGGCACGAACAAACAAGCGCACAACTTATGTGTATATGTACAGCTCAAAAATATCGTCGAAAAACGTCACAAAATAGTGTACTAATACAGGAAATAAACCATTGACATTTAAGGTTCTTCCAAGTGGGAAATACAGACTGAAGGTAAAAGTGGGCGTTTTGGCGCGAAAATGAGTAATTCACATTTCCAAAATAGAAACTACGAAAATAAAACGCTTACCAAGTGATTTCTGAAGACCTAGCATTCCCAAAAAGACCTCACCGGCTCTTAATAGACTGGTTTAACACCTGTTTTGTCTTATTTAGTGTTCGTCAGATGGATATAGTCCCACCTCGATGTTGTTGTTCACTCCAGGACTCGGATCCACCACTTTTCGCGTCGAATGTCAAGCTCTTTATCCACTGAGCTACTAAGCCCGAATAGCTACTCACCTGTGCAACGGGTATGATATTTATTTCATTATTAGAAGGGATTTGGAACATTCCATTGCTGATTTTGTTGAATGAATTTTCATCAGGCACACCCAGCCGACTAGTTCCAAATAGGACAAAACACAAGTCACAAGTTCACAAAAACTTGTGAGAAGTGGTTATATCGATGCGATTTTCAAAGGATGCATAATTACCAACTAAAACTGCTAAAAATCAGGTCACCAATATGAACAATGAAATAAGAGTTTTAGTTGTCACAAAACCCCGACCGTTGCTTATGCCTTGATGTGGTAGACAGGCTTGCCTATCATAATGAACCAATTGAGTTATACTGGCTGGTGCAATCGTTCCTCAAGGTCCTACCATGCCAGACAGGGCGGTTGAAGAGGGGTAAGACTAAAAGCAGCAAACCCAAGGTCCGAGGGCGAAGTCACACTGCTGACTGTACAGAGGTGTGACAGCAGTAAGGTGTTTCCTCCAGACAACCAGTATAACAGCGATGCTGTCTTCCCACAAAGAGAGGCGTGGTTAGAAAAGGTCGACCTTAAAAATGCACACCTCGCCTTATCCCACGGATTTCCGTCTCCGGTGGTAAGGTACCAACAAGTACGGAGCTAACGAGAAAACTACTCACAAAAAGGCCGTGTGTGACTGGCCTCAAGTAGTTGTCCCTTGGGCACTGCGGTCACGCTCTCGGGTCACTAAGACCATCCCTAACCCAATTTCCTTTTCAGATACCTCCAGTAGAACCCTTCCACGGTTTGGGCAACTGGGAACTGATAGGTGCTCTCATACCTCTAACAGCACTCAAGATCACTGTCACAAAACCATTGTGATTTTGGTTTTCTATCTCCTGAAAGTGAAACAGTGATCATCATCTTACTAAACTAATGTCTCAATAATCTACTATTCATATGACTTAAAACTCTTAACGTTCATTGACAAATACTTTTAAGATATAATTTGCGTGCTATAAGTGTTTTAGTGTCTAGAAGATGAAGAAATTATATGTATTCACTTTATTCACACCAATAAAATGAAATCATTTTGAATCTGTTAAATTTATTTTATTTCTTTTGACGTTTAGACGGTGTTAAACGTCTTACTAGTGTTTTAGAAGAATTGAAATTCGCACGGTGCGTATGGATGCTACAAGGTAAATTAATGGGCAATTTCGCTTTTCCTTCTATCTCTTTCCCACGGCCACCCTCTTACTTTTTCTCCATTTTTATAATTAACACTTTCTTGATTGTTACACAATGGCGACTTAGTAGTTGAAATATCTAATTTTCGGATCACCTTACAACACCTACCTTCCATTTTTTGGACATTAGAGTAGTAACGACACTAAAGCTTCACACCGAAACGTGTAACTCATAGTGAAATACTTTAACTTATACTCAATTATTGATTTTGGTTCGAGTAATTCACTATCTGTTTATATCTCTTTTTCTTCATTCCTTTAAACAAATGTTTTTGGATGAAAACTTGGATTAAATATTATTTATGAATAAGTCTATTGTCAATTGATCAAACTATGAAGTCGTAATATAATGAGCCATTTTATATTCATTTGTTTTCTTAAAAGTTTGACATGACACATCGATTTCAGTTAGATAATCGTTAAAAAAAAAAACCAGGCAATAAGTCTACATCTACGGATTAGTAATCTTGGAGATTTTATTTCACTTAATCTTTCTCAAAATCAAAACAAGAAAAGTTAATTAGTTACACATAAATTTATGAATAAAGTAATTTTCACTGGGTACAAATTACATTACATTAATAATAATGAAAATAAATCTATATTTTTTAGAATACATTGGTTGTTCATGAATGAAGTTCACTTAAAATCAGTTTGTCAATTCTAAAACTGATTCCTTTATGAAAGTAATATATGGAAATGTTATATATTCAACACTCATGAAAAGATCCAACCCTATAATGATAATTATCATGTGCTCACTAGTGACTAACTTCGAGAGGTAATTCTCAAGGTTCTAGTGAGAAACCGTAACCAGTGGAGCTAGTCCATATGAGGCAATTACTCATCGAAGACAATGGAAGATGATCACGCAATTACGTGGATTGGTTGAAGTTAGATATTACCACCGTTGGATGCCGGATCAGTAGTCTAGGGGTTAAGCGTTCGCGTGCGAGACCGAAGGTCCTGTGTTCGAGTCTCGTATGAGTGATCGTAGATGCGTACCTCTGAGAAGTCCCACACTAGGACGAAACGGTCGTCTAATGCTTCCAAATTTTCAATGGTGATCTAACATTGATCGGTTTATGGTTTCAATTAAATTTCATAAATCCTAATAATTACATATCTATCTTGTTTTTACAAAATTACTTAATCCATTATTCAGTCAATCGACAATATATTTTAGGCCGTGACGAATGCAAATACAAACAAATAAATAAATCAAACAGATCTTTACAATAAAAATTATTTATCAAAATAGCATAAACAATTGTTTTTATTGGTAAGGGTTTGTAATCTTCGATTTTTGTTGTTAAGGTCAGTAATTAACCAGTTTCTGTTGCCATTTCTTCTAGCAGAGCAGATCACCTTAATATTACCGTTTAGTCACAACCTCTAGTAAAGTTAAATTGTGTCAGGCAGTGCATTCCATGACACGCGTTCTTTCTTATTTGAGGCTTGTTAGCTAGACGTGCTTTCGTCTCACTGTCATCTAACACAATGCGCCACGGATAACTTTTATTAATCTGGCCAAAGCTTTTGACTCTATCCCAAAAGATCTAATAGCACAAACACTGGACAAATTGGTACTGAGAAAACGTTCAGAAATGCATAGCGAAATTCCTAGACGGATCAACAGGACACATAAAGGGAACTAATCCCCATTTTTTAATGCATGGAGTTTTCAGACAAAGTAAAGTGGCCCGATTCGTCTTTAATCGCATATCCCCATGAAATCTTTAGTACACAGACGAAATCACGTTATACCAGATACAAGATTCACAGCCAAAATACAGAATCCGAGTATAAATGGGGTAATACTCCATTCAACACGATTAAAAGCGGTTTACACTCAGTGAGTTCACAATAAAAGTCAATAATAGGAAAAGAAATCACTTATTTACTAGTCAGCAAGCTGATTGTCTGTTTATCCACTATCTCCTGCCAATCACATTTACTTTCACCAAATACACATCACTTACATATTCCTTCCGAAACATTTATCACCAACATAAAACATTGACATTAACAACCAATGGTTTTGTAAACCTGAGCATTTCTTAATTAGGAATTATTGTGTATTGCTAATAATTCATTTATGTTATCAAATTCATCTCATTTTACTGACCAGCATAGAATCAGTCGGTTTTTAGCACTTGGCTTTATTTTCTCCATTCTGCAGACCCTGTTGCAGAAAGTCTTTTATCTAAAGAGTTGAAAATAATTACAAATGATTTAATCGATAAATATAATGAATTTTCATCAACAGCTATGTGAGTGTTTATTCTCTTATTACATTTTTATCTTGATTTTCGTTAGCAGTTTGCGGACAGCCATAACAAAATGTCATTTTAATAAATAGATTTGTTTTCCTCTCTTCTGTGAGACGCCACATTATTATTTATTCAATACTTCTCCTAAGACTGAACTTAGTACGCGTATTTATTTTAACAAACGTACTTGTCTTTGTATGGTGTTGATGATAATCACAGTAAGATTATCCAGTGAATTCATAATTTTAGTAACATTCACTTTGAGATTTACCAAGAATCTTCAATCAGTTAACTTGAAAGTAATTCTCACTAACCCTAGCTTCTCTGAAATTATGAAAATCTTTTCCTTGAACAGTAACCTGAGCACGCACAAAACGCACATAATGTAAGTGTCGTCCGAATTGTTTTTAATCGTAAAAAGCTGAGTCGTATTCTGGAATCTCCATAACTTTGATAATACGTAAAATATTGGTTCAAAATCACTTGAAAAAACTTGATTAATTGTAGTAAATTTTATTTGATGCTTGAATCATATCTAGGGTTAAATAATTAGAGCAAAACGTTTCCCATACATCTTTGCATTGTTACCCAAAATACAGCAATCCTAGCATGTATACTGCCTAGCAGTTCACTGTGTATTACTCTACAACTGTACATAACGGCCTATAAAAAATAAGACATTCGTGGACTACAGGTATTTGATCGCTTTTTACCTTCTAAATATTGAGTTTCAATATACCTCCATATGTGCACTTTCATTCCTTCTTCTCGAACCATATTCATTGTGTTCAGTATTCCACGTAATCACTGATATTACCATCATTTCAGCTTCTTTGCTCTTCGTATTGCTAATTTCACCACATTATACTGATTTGATATTCCAAACCCCAGATAGACGCTCATGTACATCTGTCCAAGTTATAAAATCAGCATAACGAGATGAAATTAGCAAGATGAACACAATAATAGCAACAATAGTATTATCAGCGATAGTAAGAAGTACCAACTATGAATATGGGTTTGGACGAAGAAATAAAACAAGTGAAAGTATGGAATAAAAATGAAGCTGTAGATTTAAAGTAAGATAAACAGTCAATGTATCTAGTTTTTTTCCGACCTACAACACTTTCCAGCATTGTGAATCTAGATGCTCGGCCATCTAGGATACGTAACGCATTCCGAAAACCCTAGTTGATGAATATCCATTACCTTATCAACTGGTTTGTTACCTTTTCCTAGTACCCTGTACTTCAAAGTTGTTCACTCTATCGTTTCTCAGTACTCCAACAACCCTTCAAAGACACTCATGATCAAAAACCTGAGTCCACTCTCCCTCTCGAAATGTTCTCACATGGCCACGCGTATATAGCCACTTCCAGGGAAGTCTTACTCACTGCCTTCTCGCCGCGGAGATGTTGTTTACCAAATTGAGAGTATGAAAGGCGAATGTCCGGCGCTTTAACCGGGTTGGTGGACATCCAGGATCCACCTAGGGGAATCGGAAAACCCTGGTTCCAAACCAATGATGCACATGGGCTCCAGGATCCTGATGGAACAAATGGCATATGAAACTGTTGCTGGTCACTGGCTACCATGAGACTGCATTTCCTAACGTTGCTTCACTGCCTTGTAGATTAGACCTGTAGGTCAAAGGCCCCTAGAGTGGCTCCCTAAGCAAACCACGTGCTCTGATTTGGACACCCGGGCAGTATCCTAGTCTTCACACAAATAGAACGATAAAGTGTAGCGCTTATATACTCGGTGCCTTCTTGTACCAATATTTGTATTTAAATGATAAGTAGTTACAATAAACCCGCCACTGTAAAACTAGACGTATAATACACCGAAAGACTGCTCCTGACCTATGATTGTAAAGAACTAGTCAGTTGACAAAAATACATCCCTTTAGTCACATTCTAAGCTGTGTAAAAATGATATTCTAAAGGGATTATTCAGCTGAATTTGACTAATTTACCAGCTCAATACGCACATGACTTGAAATTACACAATTGCAAAATATTTCTGTTCGATACTTCCTTATTACCTTTGAAAATAGTTCTTCGATTGATAACAGTACATATTGAAAATCATCTTTAAAATAGATATTTTTTATTTAGCATTAGTTGATTTGGGCAGTAACATTATTTAACGGAAATGTATTACTAGCTATACTATGATTTCAATTAGTCATTTCGACTGATACACTTTGTTCTCATGAGAACTAGTCTAATTGATTCTACTCTATAGAAATTTACATATGCATAAATTTATTTTATGTCTTATCTAAGGAAATCTGTTAGTGGTGTAGAAATATGGAGTTCAAATCGTTTAATTGCCCTTAAAGTTGGTTTCCCAGCTATAAATTGGAATTGTCGTCAATTACAAATGTTATCTACAAGTAATTCAGATAAAATGGCATCGGCAACATGTAAGTGTTTCTAATTGACTGCTATACTTCTTTATTAGGTCGCTAATATACGTTGGATTAATTAGTAACTTTTTTAATTCATAGATACATATATAATGAAATAAAAGGTTATAGCACAGCATAGTTAATCAGTTTTTAGGATCATACATAAATCGAAATTCGAAAACAATAATTTTTTTCGAATGAATTAGTTTACTGCGAGGTTTGAGAGCGAGAGAGACTATGAAAAGCCAATGTTCGATTCCGAAACCGGGTTTTTGGGTAAGGAAGATTCTTCTAGGGGAGTTGAAAAACCTTGATTCCAAATGATGTATTCTAGGATCCCAAGGGGACGAATGGCTTACAAACCCATTCTTGGCCACCGGTTACCTTGGGACCGAAACTCCCAGCGTTGCTCTACGGCCTTGTGAACTAGACATCTGGGTCAAAGGCTCAGGGAATAGCCCCCCAAGAAAACCATCTGCTTCAGTCTGGGTATCTGGGCAGTGTCCCAGCCCACACGCAAACTCAATAATTTGTTTGGCCCATATATATATTGGTGCCCCTTTGTACCAAATTTTATGTGCCTAAATAAATAATTATTCATTTCAGAGTATTACATTATTTTTGGTACACATATCGTAATAGCTATAAACCTCGTGCGCATAAAATTACTGTTAATAAGTAGTGTATTGAGAAAAAATACACTAAAAACGATGGTATGTTCTGCCTTTATTGTACAGTTATATTCAAATTTGTTTGACTTTACGTTTTTTGGAAAAAAAGCATAACCAATGTAACCCATTTATTCGTATCCAAGCTATCCATGTTTTGTATTAGATCTGATGAGACATTAGATAATTGCTGAATCTGAAGTCCATAGGCCGGAACTCGAACCTGTAACCTAACAGTTAGAAGTTATACATGTTAACCATTGAATAACCGCTCTGTTTTCATAGTTCACAGAAAAATGATTATAATTCATACATTGTTTTGAATCAGTATAATTTCTAAACATTATATTTGCAATGACTTGACTAAAATGTGAATACTGATGATAATATGACTTCGTTATGATTGTAGAATAAGCTGTTATTTGTTCAACCAAAAAAATGAAATTGATTTGGACAGATGCAAAAGATGAATTCAAGACTTAGTAGAAATTTATTAATGCACTAGGTGTTTTCATTACTCTACTAATTTATAACTGATCCTCAATTAATCGAAATAGCATCAAAATGTATAATAAAGAAAATGTAGATACTCATTCTAAATATTCATTTAATCAGTAAATTTGAATATATTGAACCGGTGGTTAGTCAAAGTTCAGCAGACCAGTCGTTTAGTTTACTCATATAGTTTAATGTAACTAAATTTCTGAGTTAGACATTTTACTTCTTCCTAATGAGATTAAAATAATTTTCAAATAAAAAATATGAAAAGAGGAAAGAAAAAGCAATAAAATATATTGAGTAGTAGTAGATAAAAAAATCGTCATGGGAATATGAAACTTCATCATAACTCGTTATAAAATGAAGTGAAAAAGATAGGAAGAAAATAGAGTAAAATTAGTTGTGTTGCGTTTGTGTGTGTGTGTGTGCAAGAAATGCGGAATTTGTTACACATACAACTGTATTTTTTACTATCAACTTTATTCAGTTTGAAGAAAGTTAAACAACATATCTGCAAATTATCATTCAATGAAACTAAAAGAATTCGACTATTAGCAAATAATTGTTAGCGTGATATTCATTAGATAAAGTTTGTTTATATAAGTAGTATTTGTACTTGGAAATGTCTTGTTAACTAACAAATTTACAGAAGTAAACTGAATAGAAATCGACATCTACATAAAATAGCGTGACTACTGTTAAATACCATAGGAAACGCTCAATACTTTAAATACTTAACATTATCGCAAAAACTGATCCTCTCAGAAATACGATCATATATAATAAATTATTATTATTTTATCCAATATTCTATATAAATCCCATATAACATTGTTCCACATAATTCATAAAGTTTTCTTGAATTTAATCCACTGAATAATCAATATATACATCTGAATATCCAATTAACCAATTATTCTGTAGACAAAATATAAGCCTAGAACTATAAGACATTGTTTCAAGTTGTCATAATAATTGTAAATAAGTAGTACATTTCTGATAATGCTCGATACACTTTTCAAACTTTCTACTACCAAACATTAAGTGATAATGACTTCATGGAGAATAAATAAAACAAAATAACTTTCAGCTTGAATGGTTAATATTTGTTTGCAGAATATAATACATTGACGCCTAACTGTATGTTGATTATCCTTAGGATATTTCTTGGATTACTAGTATTTGTTCACAGTGTCTTCGAAGTATTGCTCGTGTACTTCGGGACAACTGAGTGAGCAGTGGCTGGGTTAGGAATAGAGTACTAGGTAAAAATGGTAAATTGACTGATTAAATACTAAATTTTCACTAACTAAGGCGCTTGAGACATGTTTTACATGTGTCCGTCAACCGCCTACCTCAACAGGCAATGTTTTCTCATGTAAGAGTAGATTGGGAGAAAGCTAGGGGCTACTGAACCAAAACATGGTTTTAGTCCATGAAGTTATCGACAATTGGACTGAACCGTGTTAATAGGTTTAGACAATCTGATTGGGGTTCACATGATTATTATAACCGACGGTTATAGACTTTGAATGACATGACTCAAAATCGTTTGTATTAGCTCAGGTATATTTATACTTTGTCTTTCCTAAAATTCTGAGTTGCTGAATTCCTCATAACCTTTCTTCGTTTTTGTTTCACTAATTTATATTTTCTTGAAACGTATCTTCTATCACTACTAATACTGTTACCATCTCTACTATTCTAGGATTAGGTCTGACAATTTCATCTCTCCGTGGTAACAGAGTATGACAATATGAACCGAGGTACATACGTACCAGGTTCCACGTTGTGACTGACCGATTTCGGTATGGCACTCAGCTTCCTATCCGAAGATACTACGGCTACTGCTACTGGTAATAATAACTCAGTTCACTAATGACATACAGTTTTGTACTCAACCTATATCGTGATAATTATTTGATCAGAAACTATACAACGTTGTTAGCGAGGTATAGATTGGATTAAATCATGTTTCATGAAAAATTGTGTTGTTGCAGTTTGGTTGGTCGTTTCTTAGCCATTCAGCGCTAATGAATAATTGAAGACTCTAGAATCTCCTTGTATAAAAATTATAAATACACTAACATTTTTCTTATTTTGATTCCTACCTCCATTCAAACTTGTTTATTTGGAATATAACTACGTTCCTGTTCAACAGTATTCCGATTTGGAGACTTGTCAAATGAAGTAAAGTGTCCAAAGAATACCAAGCAATATGAACAACGGGCTTGTAATAAGAGAGATCACAACAAACATACACTACACAAGCTTGTTTGAAAGCATCATAATGATATCAAAAATTGTTAATGAAAATAGTCTTAAGTCACAAAAAACGTATTCAAAAAGTTTTTAAATCATCGTGGTGAAAGACGATGAAGAGCAAGACACGATTCTATCATCTCTCTCCAACTTTCCTCATTTATGTAGCTATGGCGATAAATCATTAGATGCTTCAGATTAAGACTTAAACATAACTCCACATTTGTTTTAACCTTCCCAATTCTAGTGGAGTTTGCAAATTTTGTCTTGAAAAAAAGCAAATACAATGATTAATTCAGAACTATATGAACTCATTTTATTTCACTAGGTTCTCATCACCTGCTTACAACCTCTATAATATTTTAAAATAGAAATTGACATACTTATAAATATCAAAGTGATCGGATATAAATATACATATCATGGTGAAACGGTGACTCCAATATTATTAATGCAAACTTCGTGTTTTGTATAAAAATTTGAACTATTCGTAAGGGTGTATCACGCTCCATGTTATTTCAGCCATAGTAAGTGAATTGTTAAATTTTTTCAGTGGCCAAACTCGAACGTATTCCATTTTCAGCATTTAGCTTAATTACACCCAAGCCTATAAGCTCTTTTTCATGAATCATACATAACGTTTATTACAAATGAATTAAAACATAGACATTAGTAATCTGAGTATATATATACATATCACTCATCTTCAGTTCTTCATCGATGTTTGTAATCACGTTGAGTATTTCATATTTTGCTTCTCTTAATATTGAATTTTATTCTTACAGCTATATTAGATTATAAAGAAGGTACGGCAAAGAATAATGTCTGCTTAGAAATGCCCACACTTTCAGATGGATATCATGTCTCAGATAAAGCTATGAAAGAGGTGGGTTTAAATTGAGTCATGATTATTTAAAGTGTATAAATAATTATGGTAGACATTGTATGCTTATTCACTTAGTAGTAATCAGGTCAGGCTTTGCTTTCCTCATAGAGACTAAGTTAGTGATTCTGTGGGGACGGTAATGTTGAAGAGTAATTCCGTTGCGGTCGTCGCGACATTCACAGTTACTATATCCGAAATGCATAGCAACGGTTAGATTATACTGCTTATCAGTTACTTGGGTGCATTATTATTATTAATGGTCAGTTGAGAATATATAGGGAAATATTTTAAAATAATGTCAGGTCATAATGACTAAGTGATTAAAAATAATGTGATAAATGAATAATAAGTTTTTTTTATGAGTAGTATTATTCATTTTTGCTATGCTCATTAATCAAGTACCTTATATATCCATATATAAGTAGAATTCTGCTAACGTTGAAAATAAAGCGAAAAAGAGGTGTGTTCCAATAAAAACGAAAAGGCTATCTTTAGATTATTGAAGTTTGGTTTGTCAGTATGACAAGTTTCTAGAAAAAAAGCTGTCACTTATTACGTGTATAGCCGTTTTTCGATTCCACAGTTTTCTTATACCTCTCTTCTTCATTCCCGGTGGTAGTTTTAGTTATTTTCAATTTCTTTTCTCCTCCTTTCATTTTCTTACCGCTGTCCTGATAACAGGGTTTAACAACGTAAACTGATACATTTGTTTATACACATTATAGAATCATTACATAGCAGTGGTTTAAAAATTTGACTTCTGATTGTTGAGTTGGGGGTTCTGACCCTCCCTTATCATTATAGCATCTGAGTAGTATTGTAGTGTTTAGTACCATTTCAAGCCCACATAGGTTATTCTAGCTTCCAGACACACCAGTTTGTTCATTCTTTCCAAGCCATATTTTGACCTTATTGATTATTCGCTGATTGACCCTGACTATTTTCATATGATCGTATGTGTGTTAATTGCTCGCCCTATTCATTAAGTGTCTGCAACCTATTTTTTTCTGAATATAAATATTGAGTCACGCTTTATTAAATCGCGTTGGCTAACTCGCCTTCTCAGCTGCGCGTCACTTCGTCTCGTCCCGCTTCGCTTCCTCCACTTTGTCATTAACTATACTAGATGAAATTCGTTTATTTTCATATTTCTCTTTTTTGTAGAATGTACAAATTCTATTAAATTTGTATTGTAATAATCAAATGAAATTCTCTGACGGTACTTGTTGTCGTGGTTCTGAGCCAATTACACCTGTACAAGAAAAATGTTTTATATTTTACGCTATTTGGTAAGTTATAACTACAATAACGTTATTATTATACACTTCGTATTCACTGTGATAGAAACTATGAATGTTTGCAAAATCATTCATTAAGAATAAAATTTTAAAAATATGTAATATATAAGTGGGTTAGAGGTCTTGAAAAAATCTATTTACATCATACTATAACTACATAAAGATAAATAAACAAGAAATTCAATTCAAAATAATAGAAATGTTTACGTGTAGAAATCGTTTGATTGCTGTCAACAAAATATTAGGCCCACACAGCATATGGGCTAAATTGATGTTTGATAGTAGTGACTTAACGATTGTATAAATTTTTATTAAAATTGTTGATTGTGAAATCCAAAATGCACATTTCATTTTATTTAGAACTCGTTAGTTGCTGATACTTTCATCTCAGTCTTAATGTTCTTCATCATAAAACTCAGCTCCAATAAGTTTCTCTCTAAATACTATCTCACTATCCAATAAACCTTTAAAGACCGTTTCTATAAGGTAAATAGTCACATGTATCCAATACAACAGATTGGATAGTATAACAATAAATGTTTTCAAACACACACACACCGTTTATATGACGCTGGTAGTAGAAAGCTACATACGGGTTGCGTTGGAGTAATTTATTTCAAGCATTCGTTTATCCAGACAGACATTCAGAATACGAAGTGACAAAGCGAAGCAGATCGGGGATGGTGGGTGAGCCAACCCAGTATAATCAAGTGTGACTCGTTATTTATAGTCAAACAAAAATGGGTTGCAGACATGTATTGAGTAGGATATGCAGTATACGCACATATGCTCATATAAAACTGTCAAGGTTAATAAGCTAATAATTAACAAGATCAAAATGTGACTTGAAAAGAATAAATGAATCAGTCTGTACGGAAGCTAAAATAACCTATGTGGTTTTGACATAGTACTAGACACTACAAATTCTTAAGTATTACCGTTTATGTTTGATCATCTTTTCATAATAAGCAAAATAATTTCTTTGTAATACAAAGTTCAAGCTTCATTTCATCAATGAAATGAGTTTCTACCGTTTTAAGGTGTTGAATATAAATAAATCTTGGTAAATTTGAATGAATTCTGTAAATAACCTTCAAGTTAACATATGAATCAATGGATTAATTTATGATGATTAAATGTCCAAAAATAGAACGCCTAATCGCTTTTCTCTTACCCTTGTTAAACTATACTGAAATATATTCTTGTATACTTATTGAAAGTAAGTGCCTGCTATAGCCTATATATCTTACTTGTTTTTTACTCAACTGTTTAAACAACACAAACTCTTGTCATCCACAGAGTAAACCTCAAACTTTGTATAAAAAAATGAATAAATTTCCTTTTCTATCATCTTCATTTTCTTCAAACAAAAGAAAATACGATTCATTTGCTTTCTTCTAGTAATTTTAAAAAATTAAGTGACTAAAACACCATCATATATATATTGTGCCATTATTATTATTATTATTTTCGTTATCATTATTACTATTATATGTTTGTTTTTATCATCTAACTTTATGGTTGGTTGCTAAGCTCCCTTGTCATAATATATACATATATATTTGTGTGTGTGACTGCTCGTTTTGTAGTTAATCGATATACAAATAAGAACATAACAATTAGAATTTATATTCAGGTTACTTTTTAACAATAGTTACTAATCCTAATCATTTTTATCACAATAAGCTATAATGAACTGGTATTATTGAACTTATTGTATCTTACCTTTAATTCAACCTTGAGATATGTTTTGTGTATTATATGGTTTTTAATGTTATGTAAGTAAACTTATCGTGTAATTGTTTCAGTCATCTTTTTTTTCGAAGACTACTTATTACTTTTGTAAAACACGATAATAAGCAGGAAGAGTAAATATTTGTTATGTGCAGTTACAAAAAATTTACATAATACATATATAGATAGACTTAAATCCTTCATTTTCATCTTTCAATGTTTTCTGCCATATGAACTGTCTTCTCGTCTAGTCTCCAAATATTCTGCCAACGCCGCGCTTTCAATGTACTGAAACTCTTCACGATTGTTACAACTTCGACACTACGTTCAGCTACACACTGCTGACAAACATCCTTGTGAGCAGCTTCCACTACATTTTGACGTTAAAAGATAATTGATTGAATGAATATACTGTTTTCCCATTGTATCTAATCATTAAGTGTATGAGTGTTTTATGAACTGTTTGTTATGGATTTATGGAAGTGAAGCGTGAAATAAACTGTAAATGTTTAGATGAGTATTAGTCTGAAATAACTTACTGTTACATAATTGATTTATGTTAACTAGTTGTGTAATCGATTTCAATAAACATTCATAAATTGTTCATGAAATCAGTTGACAATCATATCACTAATATATTCTGATTATTCAGTAGACAGTAATGTAAATGTTGACAGTTCAGTCATTAATATTGGGTGATCGTCATGCTGTATCATGAAGTAATTGAATGTGCAAATATGAACTGATGCAAAACTCGGTGACCAATAGGTAACTACCTTAGCATATGATTTAAAGACCATGAAAGGAAATATAATGATTGTTTAAAAAGTAGTATATTCCGAAAGCCAACATATTCAGGGAAATTTCTAGATTTCAAGTCAGCACATCCTCACTCCACCAAAGTGACAGTGACCAAGAATTTGATAACTCGTCACTGAACCAAATGATATGGAAACGGAAATGAATTTTATTATATCCAATACTCTAAAATCAAAACTAGTAAGAATTAAAGATCCAATACACAAGAAGGAGGAACAAAATTGTTTATGAAGTCAATGTAGTGACTGTAATGCCACATGTAGGTGAAACATCAAAACAACTGAATGTAAGGGTGAAGGAACACAAACTATGCTTAAAACGAATCCCCAAGTCCCCAGATAATGTAAAAAAAAAACTCGAGAACAAATCAGCGATAGCATTACACTCAATAGAATTGGGTCATACAATTGATTTTAATGGCACAAGAATCCTTCAAAAAGGCTTTAATTCTTACAAAGAATGACTAACAGCCGAAGCCCTACACATATGGGCATATCCAACTAGTACTAATAAGAAAGATGAAATACAATTAGCTGTCCCATGGCAACTAATAATTAATAAGTAAACGTAAACTCCTTATTCCATTTTATCTATCTCTTATTATCTGAATAACAGCAATTACATTCAACGATTCTAATCAGTTGTCTTATCTGAATATGTTAAACAATTAACTGGACAACATAAACATTCAATTGGTATCGTTTGGCTTGTATCTTCCCATTGAGGTTTAAAACTGCAACTGATCAGTCTGTTGTTAGCATATTTATTTACATTTTATTTACAAATACATTCTTCCCCTTTGAATTCCTTCCTTTATTTTGTTCATTTAATGCATGCTGTGACATTTTTTATTCATGTCATATATAAAATTATATGTTTTCTTAGTATTCACAGACCGAAGACAATATATCGTTGAATGAAATATTTTCTCACATCACTTACGTGTACACACAATATGTTATCTTAACACTTCGTTTCACACCACAAATTTCTTACACACTAAAGCAAATACCTACTTTAGACATTGTTAACGTTGATTGGATGACCTATTCAGTATACGGTGAACCGGAAAACTATGTACTTATTTATGTTCGATAATTTTGATGTTTGATTATATTTTCTTGAAAAAGCTTGGTCAAGGTTGCCAGGGGAAACGTTAGATTTACTTCAAACTCATTCGCTGAGATTTTAAAAATAAATTCTTCCTCTTTAAGGGTGCATTGTTTGAAAAGATACGATGTATAAATTGTTCTCATTGAATATTTGCCGTGAAGACTTTAATGATCAGAATCAAGCGAAATACTCAACAGGAAACGGTAGCATTCTAAAGTGTTCCATTGCTATTTTAGAATACGCCGCAACATATATCAATTTTGTGAATACAATTGTCTTTGATAAGCAGTATAAGATGAACATAAATACATTAAGAAAGTAACGTAGCTGCAATGTCATATACGCTTCGGAATGATAGATGTCCAAAAGGATTTCAACAGTTATGAATTAGTATTTCCTCGGTAGAAAGGTTGGAACTTCATGTCATGATCCTTTGATCATAAATTGTTGATTAGGTATCTGCTGCTTGACTTACTGGCTTTCAATAATCAATGATTACTCCTTAAAAGGATTGTTATCATTTTATGATCCCGTTTATATGACCAATCTGAGTTCATTATTTTTATTATTATAATAATATACTTCTACCCACCTCTCTTATTTACCTGTTCTAAAACAAAATATACTATTAAGAGACTTGATCGTCTTCGATGAAAATTAATTGTTTTTACTATATTGCTTATTGAAATTCATTTATCAAAATTAATCAAATTTAATTTGAACATACCAATTTTTTATGTGAAAATTGATTTGTCTGTGAATTGGCCCATAGAATGTCCCTTTCCTATCATGGAAAAAGTATATAAATGAATGAAGACATATTTCCATCAAAGTGTTCTTAAACTTAACTTTACAATATAGTCTTTTTCCGCTAAGGATTTAAGACAAAATTACGCTGGATTATTCGACAGTTTGTTGCAGTATCCATATAATTTTCGTAGTTACTATTATAGAGAGATTGTGGAGGTTTTTGAGATCATAGTTTTATATCATGAATCGACTTTAGTTGGATAATTATCAAAAACTAAGCGTTACTAACTAATTTATTCGAACAAATCTGTACTAATTCTCAATACCGTTACGCAGTTCGGTAGTGAGTGACGTTAATAATTTGCTTACCGATCCTTAAGTATATACTTCAAGTTAACTAATAAGTCATTAGATATTTTAATATTGCTTGGCATTAATATGATATAATTATTTACCGTATATTTCTTTATTTATGTTTTCTCCAGTGTGTTAAGTACTTTACTTTGTTTTCTGCACAATCAATTTATTTCTCGTGGTGAGTCCTGACCAAATTGTTCCTTTTCATTTCGTTATTAACGTTATAACAGTAGAGTTTTGTGCCGTTTACGTTTTTTTTGTTTTTCGGTAACCCTCTATATGCTTGTTTCAAAACCATTTGCTTTTAAAAACCAACAAACTAATTTAACTTGCTTCAAGATGAGGTCGTGTAGGAGATCATGACTACTGGACTTCAGCTATGTTTGAAGTGAAAAGATAGTCATCACTAGTAGCATTGAATAATCATCGCAAACCAATTGGAATTAAAAAAACAGCCTAGTAGCTGTCTAAAGATTAAATCCTCTCCCTGAAATTTGAATCTTTAGGGTTCGATTACTGTTAAGGTGCTTCATACTAGGACCAATCAGCTATCTTGTACTTCTTGACTTTCAACGACATACGAAAGATATCCTAAACATAATACAACTGACAGGCTTGAAATCTATTAGTTATGACACAAAATCGACTTAATTAACAATTATGTCCGATTTTCTGTCTTCTATTGAAACAAATCACACGAAAATCCGGTAAGAATGTCTTGAATGCACCTTTTAATGGCACACCTTTTCTGATTGTTATTATCCTTTGCTTATCGATCTGTTATTTGCAAACAAAATGTGTTCTTATTGTGGGTGTTTGGCTTTAAGAAAAATGATTTTACGTTATCTTTTTTTCAGGAAGTTTTCGTTGGTTCTTTTGTCAGAAACTAAATAGATATTGCCCAAGGAATTTTACACCCGTATGTTGTCTTCTGTCTCCATTCGAAATTAATATATATTTAGTACAAATTTTGATCAATTAATTGTCAGATATAAGGTAGTGATCGACTGACGGCAGTTCCAGAAAGTTTAATCTTGAATTTTATCGTTAAAAGGGGGTATAGATTTGGTGTAGAAAATTGTTTCTAATTGTTTTGACCACGGAATTAGGAATGACTATAGAATTCTCCACTATCGTTTCTACATCTCTCTCCTCAAATGTGACTTATAGGTTTTAATAAATCAGTATTTTTTTCCTCTCCTCAAATCGTCATGTGCTTTGTTTATTCTCATTTTATTAATTTTTATTTTCGACTTTAACTTTCTCGCTTTGTCCGATGTTCTGCATGGAAATATATCTACTATCTAGCTGCCTGTAGAAGTGTATACATTTGGGCTTTATTACACTCGATTCCTTATAGTGAGCACGAGTTAAATCACCATTTAAACTTGTAAGTGATTTGTTAAGTTTTAAACGTTTAGCTCACTGTACAGTAACAGTTCTGTATTACTATTGACCACTTCTTTTACTGCGTTATAACAACTCTTGAAAGTCACTTGTTCTAACTGATCTAGCTAATATGCACACTCTTATTATCTTCATGATTAGAATCAGCTGATTTACCGTGTTAATTTAATTTCTTCGGCATTATCTGAAGAAAATTTTGTGGAAATGTACTTTCTTGTTCTTCGTGTGTTATGTATGAATATATGTACATGTTATTTTTCCTCCCCAGGTAAGCCATGTACACAAGTGATAAATTTTCGTAGAATATTTTTATTTTTTCGTAAAACGGCTGAAGCGCAACCATATGTCCCAGTGGAAAGTGAACCTAATGGTGATAATGAGAATAATAATAATACTGATACAACCAGTTCATTATTTGTGGAGTTTTATGAACTAACTAGTGCTCTGTCCAAATTTGGTGCTATTATGATGTATTTCTTCATATGTGACAGGTCAGTCTTTACGAAATATGTACCGTAACATTTCCTAAACACATATTATTTTATCTCAACTAGCTTATACGGTCAGCACATATTTTGTAACCAGTTATTATCAGTAATTTCTTTCGATAACTTTAAGTAAATGTTTCGTTAAGGACAGTACTCCGTAGTCCTGTATAAAGTTTATTCGTTTGTTCACGGTGTGTTGGTTTTTATCACCGTACTGAAAAATGAATAACAACTTAAGCGAAAATCCAGTGCAAATAATATAGAACCACAGATATCATTTATGAGGATTTTACTCATTTTAAATCTTTTTTTCATTTTCAAATTAAAAAACTCGTTAGTTCAACACTTACCTTAATGAGACGTTCTGTTTAAGCATATTGCATGGCAGCTGGATTACAATATAAAAATTGAAGGTTGTCGACTTCACTTACTTTGTAAGATACAAAGTGCAACCGTTATCTCTGTTTCCCTAAAACTAGTGGCTTAGTTGGTATATCAGATCATGGTTCCCCATAAGGGTTTTGAGAATTTCCATTTCGAAACCTTTTTTTGTCTTTCACACTCAGCTTTGTAGGGATTTGGTCAATTTACTGATAATATTTGCCAATAAATAGGATTATCTAGAAAACGAAAAAACGTTGAACTGTCGTATTATTTGGTTTTGAAACCCATTGAACAATTCTCACCACCTTTTTTATGACCATTCTAATTCAAAAAGGAGCTGATTTTTTTCATCCGTTGTCAATTTAATGTTAATCTTTTATACAAAAAGTATACATTTTTTTTACTTTATGTGGTTTGTAGTAAACATTATTATGAATTCAACTTCTTTAAAGTGACCTAATCGGATCAATAAATTATTCAGTCCACTAACGATGGGTTTGCACTACGCTTAGTGGTTAAGGCGTTGAATTTCCAATCCCCAAAACCCAGGTTCGAGCCCCACTGTACCTACTTCGTTTTGGGTAACTGTGTTGTATCACGCTTAGAATGTGGCCCATACATTTGCGAATTAGAAATTAATACGTCAACAACAATAATGGCCTTCGATTATCCAATGTGCCTATTAAGTGTGCTGATGGTTATTGCCTCGCACTAATTCACTCTGCTCACAACCTGGTCAATCAAAACACGAGAATTGAAGTCCTATTTAGTTTCCATATTTTAACTTAAAAGTAATATACGTCTTTTACGAGACTACAACATACCGTAAGTGATAAATCACAGTCTTTGCATAATTAGGTCTTCTGTGGTACTAACCTGCGTAGAGAGTGCAAAACTGATTAACCGTAATTTATGGGCTATAAAAGATATATTAACAGCTATTGCATCAAATGCTATTACCATAAACCAAATATTAAATAAATACACCATATGGAGCGAGTATAATCCTCAAAGTTTCGCCTTTTGCACTTATTCACTCGTATCCTCAAATTACCTTTAATTATTTGTATCTACGCAAATTTGTAGTAATAACTTTTTATTTTTAAACATTTCATCAACTTAATTAAATTATTCTTTTCTGCCTATTATTATTATTACTGACTAGTAATATCCTGATATCTATTTTGAAACATTGTAGAACAATACTATTCATGAAGGCCAATAAACGTTATACAAATTTGAGCTTTTTTCTGCCGATTATCTATTGCTTCGTGTTAGGTTTATTCTTTAGTGGACCAACTAAACAAGTAAGTATTTCTTCACTATCCACATATAATAATAAATAACTTTTAAACTGGGGTATAAGCTGGTGTTCTTATTGGCGATCTTATCACGTGTTAGTTGACGGACTATAGGACATTACACGGATAACTGGGTTTTTTAATTAAGCCTTTCATTTTCATACAGAGATATTCACTGTGGGATTGAACTAATTATTGAACGAAGACTGATTACTTAAATATGTTCATGTAGGCAGTTACCTAAACAACAGTTCTACTCTTTTGCCTATTGTTCAAACCTTTGTTAAACAAAGAATTCAGTTACCTACTTGACTAAATTGATCAAGTAACCTTGGCTAAGTCCGATAAAGCAAAAACAGCTGAACTGGTAAATACAAATGTAATTCTCAAAACCAGATGGCATATTTTTTCATGCGACCACTGTTGAACCATTGGAAATGATCAACAAATAATGACTGGGTCATCACAGTATGTTGACCCGACCACCTCGTTTATGTAGCAGCCACTACTGTCGCGACCAAAATATCCCCACTAATGTTGATTATGCCAACTTCATTAATATTAAAAAGATATTCAATTCTTTGGATGCACTCCTGCCATGTATAAACACGATAGAAGAAATTCCTACCTCTTATGTATGAGATATTTCGAAGTTGAAATATTTCAATGATTGTATGGCAACTCGAACTGATGTACGTACGTACGAAGTTCTACGTTGGTACTGACTGACTGACTGACTGATTCTTTTAACTCAGTCTATTAAAATCCAATTACATTTTGATTAAAAACTAAAATAGCAATTTCAAATCTCCCTTACAGATTCTCCATCTTTTTTATTGCTTTAAGCAGATAACTAGTCATTCATTCAGTTTACTGTTAAGATGATCAGAAAGTTAGTCTGATATTTAAAGCTTTGAACTAATTCACCACATAATTATTTCTCGTTACTTTTCGTTTAATACTTAACTAACTGTTTACGAAATCCATTACTTACATCTAATATTGTCTTAAATATACTTCCAGTGGTGGCTATTTCATCATCTAACTTTGTCACATATTTGTTTTCAAAGATAACATCTTTGTGTAAGATTATAAAGATATGTTACCTTGAAACCATCGGCGATTCACAGTATTAGGATAATATATTTCTATTTATTAGGTTTGCTGATAAAATTCAGAGTCTTTTGAATTCTTTAGGCTACAATGGAAAAGCCTTTTTGATTGATTTTCATCCTCTCCTTCCCCATGATAAACCGTCATTTCAACCCAGGTCTGCTTCCATAAGTAGTTTCATTGTGGGTATTGAAGTAGTCGAGTAAGCCTAAGATTTCACTTGTCCTATGATCATATCAGTCCTAGTAGATGACTGGTGGAATTTTGGTATTAATCTAAGATGCTCACTCACCTTTCGTCATCGTGGACGGTCTGTCTGTCAAAGAATGAGCATAATGTACTACGGTTTACTCTATTACCTTATAACCATGTAATATGATCTTTGAAGTTAGAGGGTATGAGAATGCTTTTGGTATTTCACCATAGATACCTTAGATATTACGAACAACAAAACTTTCAGTTGCCACCTATATTGACAGACTACTGTTAAGCGTAGATGGAGGTCGGAAGAATTCTAAATATGTCCACAATATATATGTCAGTCCATGAAGTCACTAGCTAAACCGTGACAAAAGGAGGAGACTTCTTGACTAGGGTTAGAGAAATTATCATAATCAGTTATTAGAACCCGTCTTTATACTTGACTTTAAAATACACTTCTTGAGTAAGAGCTCTCATAACTATCTGGCTCACCTAACAGAAACAGATCAAGAACGGTTTCAACCAGTGACCTATTAGTTGATAGCTGATCACTTTGATTAATAATATGAAGTTGGTAACGTTATACTTTTCATCCTCTAACCTTTTTATTTGTTTTTTCGAACAACATTTTTTTATAATAAATATATTTTTGACATATCCCAATGAGTAAAAAATTTCTGACATTTCGTGTCATAATGTAAGCCATTTCTTCAGAGTAACTAAATAACCGAACATTTTTTATGTTCAGTCTAAACTAACAATCATAATAATAATACTTTTTTAGTATTATTTTGACTTATTTATACTTCGTTGTGTTAATTTACACTATACTTACTATACTTGACCAATGTACATTTATATCAAGTCCTACATTATCCATCATTGATTTACCCTTTTATATTTTTAACATCGAATTCTTATGCTCCATCGTCATGTCATTCTAACTCATATAATCTCAATAACTATCTAGATTAGTGTGCTTTGTTTTATATTAAAACTATCATTGTACCAACTATCATTCGTGGTACTCATTAGTTACTGGATCAAATAGTTTTCATCATTATTAAGTTTAATACTTCCAAACACGTGAAATGTTCAAATGAATTCAATTAAACGCTGTTTATAAAATTTCATGTCAAAGATAGTATATGCTTGCTCAGTTCAGTCCCAGTTCAATTTAACAATGTATGATAAAGCATCATTGTTTATCTGTTATGGATAAGGTTTTAAATTAATAATACAACAAAGTTTTCGACTAATAAATTCGATGAGCAGAATTCTAATCGATAGATCAATCCAATGATATAATATGACCGAGTAGTGGCTACTCATGTGGTTGCATAATTTACTCAAGCTCTTGGATGCTTAGAAATCGAAAAAAAAATCACTAGCCAGATGAATAGACTTTTTTGTAACAATATCAAATGCTTATACACAGAATAAACATGATAAAATGTCTTTGGCGATTGGAGGAAATTAGCTTGTAGGTTATTCCAATCAACTAGGATCTGACTGGTAAGATAAATCTGTGGACATCTTATCAATAATGTTTTCATGTGTTTCTTATCAATGTAACAGTAAATATGGTAGATACACTTTGCTAAGTAATCTAATAGTGTGTCTTCGAATTCTCATCCTATGGTCTTACAGTACACTTCTGTAGAATATTACATATGAACTGTTGTAATGGATTATTTGTAGCTTCTTCGCATTGAATCCCATATCATTCTCCGACTTTACATTAGCCCATCCATAATAAGTGTTGAATTAATGCATATTGTGTATTCACATAAAACTCAGAAATAACTTCTATTCAAGCTGGAAATGATAATGAACATGAATAGATTACGGTTATTAACTCGTTGATACCCAGAAAACAGGCTGTTAATAACAAAGTTTTGCACATGAAATATAAGTTAGTAAATATATTATAAATTACCCATGCGATTTCACCAACAGCTTATTATTGAATACAGTACAGAATGATAAAACGCTAGCGGACAATTGTTAAACAAAATGCTTATTACACAAATGGACACCAGAATAACGTCTCTTACCTATTTAATGAGACTGTTAATAGTTCTTTAAGTTTAACTTTCTCAATGGATATAACCCGTATTATTCATTTAAGAGCCATGTTTTTATACATGAAAGGTTTTTACAACTGGTAAATTGTTTCATCCTAGTACGAGCTTTTTCCCTAGTGTATACCCACGAATCCGTATAATTTTTACTTTATATCTCTCATCAACCACGACGTTATCCAGTAACTCGTATTTTTCGACTGTTGTAAAACTACCTCACACCTAAGTTGACTAACTTTATGCATCAAATCTTTTTATTAGAACTTCAGAAAAGCCATCTTGAAACCAGGTACTACTGGATACACTATTGTTATTTTAGATCAAGTAATATAGTTTTACAGATACATTTTATCGTGATTTGTCATTAATTGTAAAAAGGATCGATTTTAAACGGCTGATCCCCACATGAAACATACATATTATCATTTTGCTTTTTCTACAGTCTCAAGTAAATCATTTGGATATAACACGTGAATGGAAAGGATGGATGCAATTATATCTTCTAATTTATCATTTTACTGATTCTTATAGAGTAAGCTAACTCATATCTTTTTTCTATTATAGTTTATTTAATCAATAAAGAATTTGTTTTAAGTAGTCTATACAATTTTTAGGAGTATGCAAAAGTAGAACAAAATTTTAAAAACTGAAAACATTATAATTAGATAAATCAAGAATTATTAGACAAATACGCTGTGCTTATAAAATGGTAGATTAGATATACAACTCAGTTTGGTTCTTTTAACAGTGTTGTGTGTTCTCTGATCTGAATAGTTCGATTGAGAAACTTTCATTGTCTTTTTAGACAATATAACTTAGACGCTGATGGTAATATCCAGAATGACATTGAACACTCGGCAGTTAAATTATTTAGCTTAAAAAACACAGCACTAGTAGATTCAGTTCTTATGAAATATATCTACATCGGTCATAATTATATAACATGAAGTCAGTCGAATCACTTTCTATACATACCATATTTAACTTTTCTAATCAGTGAATTCCGATATCTCGTAATTTCTGTCCTAATCAATACATAATTACTCGGTTCATTGTTAAAGCACACTAATCTGTTATTGTTTTCGACTGATCACTGTGCAAAAGCTAAAAATATATGAATATCCAAAATCATGCAATACATCAAAACCGTTCCTTTGTAAAACACAGTCTAAATTTTGACTTTTAAAGTTCCTCAAGTGTTTAAACTATTGAAATAAAAGATCTTTCTAAACTTATCTCATCGATGAAACTATTGAGAATGTATTGAGAAATAAAACTTCATCGTTAACTTTCTTTGTAATCACATGTATCTTATCTTAATCGTAAAAACGGTTATCGTAATCAAAGTTTCCCTTTTGATTAAAATGACTTTTTTTCAATATTCTATGCTCCTACTATATTTATTTATTTATTCTTGCTATCATCATAATAACGTTTAATTTTAATTTTTTTTTCCTTGGCTTTTTTTGTTTTTATTTAAACAAACAAGGTAACTCCGATTTTCATGTCAGCTCGTCTTGTTGTATCGAGTTATCTGTTTCTGTCAGGATATGGACATTTTTGTTATTTTTGGCGTAAACCTGTACCACAAATTAATTGGTTAAAATTATTGAATGTAAGCTTATTTTTCTTTCTTTCCCTATATAATTATCAATTCTGTGTATTTCCGTCATATCTTTACTATTATTAGATTTTCAACGGATTATCTTAAGTGTAGAAATATTATGTAATCCTAAATGACTAGTTTAGAGAGATAATTCTCGGAATTCTATTGATTTCAATCTTTAAGATATAGAATGTGAATTTCGTTATCAGGGTGAATAATCAAAGTTTTAGGAGAAGCAGTGATTAGTGTAGTTCAACAATGTGGGTTGTGAAGCGATCACTCACTAAATTTTAAATAAATTAATCGAATTACACTTAACACTGATTTGTCAATAGCTTAAGGCATAAACATAATTTACAATACCACAAGATTAAATTGCTATAACCAACAAATATAACTAATTTACCGAGTTAAATACTAAGTCCTTCCAAATAATTTCTTGCTAGCTAGGCTTTTTACGACTTTAGTATTCAGTGTTCAGAGGATATCATCTCCATAGCTCAGTATTAATCATTGATTTTACACGATATGTAAGAAAATAGCTACAGTAATCAATTTATGACATCTGAATATTGTTAATATACTCCCATACTAAGACAGAACAGCTTCTTGGCTTTCAATAATTGTTTAATTAGAGTCATCCTATTATGTAAACTATAAAATGCAACACTTCTGTTTAATTTGTAGATATGTTTCCTATAGCTGAACTAATAAGGGCACTTAAAGGTGGGTTAGCATTAGATATTTTTTAACTTATACATATGGACATAAACGCTCCGAAACGAGTTACGCCTCCGCACTTGTGCCTGCATACGTTGAAAATATTCCCTATTAATGATATATATATATATATATATATATATATATATATATATATATATATATATAGATCTTTACTGAATTGCTTCAATAGGTCTTAGCAAATCAATGACATCCTTTATAGTAATTATGTTTATAGAATAAATTTTCATAACTCAAATATGGTACTGTATGATGTGTTGTACATGTTATTTAAATGGATAGGTGTCAGAATATACCTTTAACTAAATCATTTTTTATTTAAAAAGCAAACAACCCTATAGTTTGTATTCATATTTTTAATGTTCATGGTTAAACTTCACTCTAAATATCCTGTCGTTTTGACCGTACTAATAAGAATAGTTTTCTAACTGCTTACAAGTTGCATGATAAGATAACCTTTGATAAACACTCAAGTGTACATACGATAAACTTATACTTTATTTAGAAATTTCGTTTTACATATGAAAGGTAGTTTCTCACAGGTAGATTTCCTAATAGTATTTTACTTGTTACTCTGATCTTAAATTTTATCAAATGATTCCCCTTAGCTATAGGTTCATAAAAGAATTTTAGGCGATTCCTAGAGCTAACCACCAATAAGCATTAAGGGTTTTGTTTCAATCGAGTTAGTTAGATATCTCTCCTGTTAAAATGTCAGATGTTCATTTATTATTTATAAGCTAGTATATGCCTTGATCTATAGTTCGCTCAGAATCAAGTTTTTAGATCTTGTTTGTATTTTCCACTTGGAAGAACCTTAAGTGCCATTGGTTCGTTTCCTGTATTAGTACACGACGACATTTTTGAACTGTACATATACGCATAAGTTGTGTGCTTGTTTGTTCGTGCCTGTGGGCTGCTTGTGGAATATACATTTCCCTCGACTGAATCTATTCTTTTTTAGTCTAGTTAACAGGGTTGGGACACAGTGAAATAGTTTAGCTTGTCCTGTTGTTGTTTTGCTGACTTTCGTTCCGTTCGCCGGTTTAAGTGATGTCATGGTAAATATTACTTTATTTAATAATGTTTAATGAATAAATTAAAATTATACTATTGCAGCTACAATTCACGTTATCTAACGTATTATACCGCCCATATATAGTAATTAGACGAACTTTTTTCTTATTTTGTAGTATCGTCGTTGCTCCAGAGAATTCTGCAGTGCATGGAAAGCATTATGGCAAATTTTACATCGATATTTAATTGTATGTATTCTTCTTCTTGTTGGAAAAGTTGATTTCAAGATGCCTTACTATAATTCAAGTTGTAATCTATTTAGTACTACTTTTCAATTCACAGTTTGAGCTAATTTTCCAACCTTGTAGAGATTTAATTGTTCTTCAAACGTATTGCATTTTAATAGGTATATCAAGAGTGTGAGAGGATCATCCGTTTTTAAATTTTGTAAATAACTCTGGCATTTAATTTACCTACAATTAGTCATACTAAGTATGACACATTTTTGATGAATAGAGGTCCGTTGGTAAAAATTTGTATTTTCCCGTTGTTGATGTTAAAACCTCCAATTGATCAAGTACATCCGTCTGACAAGTCCCAAACAGAACGAAACACGCATTCTGGATTTCATTATTTGAACGTGGGTTCAATAAACCATTAAAGTCTGTTCTAGCACACTTTATGTGAAACAAGTAGCACTTAATTTTTATAAATTATCTGTTTATTTAAAACAAAAATTTAAAAACGTGTGTACTAGTACAGAATTAAATATGATATCTCGGTGATACGTGAATACTTTGGATGATGTAAAATAGTCTTAGCTCAGTATGAAGATGGAGTTTTTGTGGTCTCTGATTTGTACGGTTTAGTTTTGAAGGCTTCATTGTTCTACTGAACAACATCGTCAGTATGTACTTCAAAGGGGAGTAAAGTAATGGAACCTCTCAACAATTGACTAACAACTCGTTCTGATGATGTGAAATTCGATTGATAGTTATCCATAACTATGTGGTCGTTATGTACTTATTTGTTTTGGTTGTTTTCTATCTCTTCTGTTATGCACAATAACTAATCAAGTTCCTTATCAACAGAACAAGTTGTTATTCAATCGTGAAGAAATCCTAATAACAAAATCTTATTTGAAATACATGCTGATGGTTTTTTTTGCAGAAAAATAGAGACCACAACTAAACCTTACAGGTCGGAGACCGCAACACCTCCAGACAATAATCCACATATAAATAGCATCATTCACTATATATTGCACTGTTTGTATAAAATGACAGTGTACTGGAAGAGGGTTAAGTGTCAGCTCACAAGTTATGCTGGATGTATGCATAAGTTAACACCTATGGATACTGATTTTTATGTTAATCTACACGCTTTCAGTGCAACTTCATAAATTACTGAGTCATATTTCACAATAGTATATCTTTAAAAATATCTCACTTTATTAATAAAGTTTAAGCGCTGTCTCGAAACCTTAAATTGTATCATAATTATATTCAATTTAAGGAAAGAATGTTTCACTGTTATTCATCTGTAGGAAAATATTATTTACCAGTTAGATAGTTTTCCACGCAATATTACGGTGAGTTCTATCATCTCCTTGTAATTGTAATCAGCAAAATCACACTTTCCTATACGACACAAACCAGCAGTAAGTGCAATGTTATGATCAGTTTGCAACTTCTGTCTAATCGTACAATAGAGTGTGATACATAATTCAGGCTTATAACCAATTTTTCAGTTTGATTTCTCCATCGAAGACCTAACTGATCTTAACATGGATAATTGGCCAATATTTCCTACTTTACTGAAACCAACTAATTGGATGATTTTACTCTTCTTCTTGTATCATCTGTTTTGTTTTACTAATCATCCCTACCAATCATATTTTATATTTATGTTATATTTCATTGTTTACAGGTTATTTATCGTTTTAATTTCTTCGTCTTTGGATTATGTCTAGTTATGAATCGCGGTTATTTAGCTTATTATTTTATCCCATTAGTATCATTTTGGTTCACTGTTACAATGATTGTTTGTGTTATATTCCCTCGCGTATCTGGTCAAAAAGTATCTGAAAATCAAAATAATCGGGATAATATCGATTGTAATGATAACAACAGTAATCATAATATCACTAGTAATCATAATAGTAATAATGCTCTTTCTACTCATGCTAACAATGTTACCAACATGACTACTACTCCTATTCCTTCTACAACTGCATCTACAAGTATCCCATCTAACGCAACTGCCACTTCTACCGCTACAACTAATAACTCGTACAACTACAATCGTAACCGTTATTTCAATCACCAATACTTTACTACTAACTACGAGGAATATCCACCTAATCATCAATATATAGAATCAGATGATGAAATTTATTCCCATCAATCTCCAAGACGATCTAGCCTGAACATGAATAAATCATTCCTGTTACCCACCTCATCGCCATCATCCCTGCTGTCATCAACAGATACAGTAATTGGTGAAATATCTGATTATATTCCATGTCATTCTTCATCTTCACGTAAATTAACGGCACCAATTAATTATAATTTACATAAGGGTCATTATAAAGCGTTATCACTCGGTACAGGATTTGATCTTTGTCAAAATTATTCTCTTACTACTACTGATACTGATAGTTCTGTTCCTTGTAATCCTCAATTTTGTCATTATCAAGCCAATCAAAAACTTGTTGGACATCGATTACATCGCTCCGTTGTTAAGTCACGTGGACGTCTTGGTCCACCGTTAACGGAAGATTTAATTCGTAAATTTCAGTGCATTGTTTTACCATTAAAAAAGAAGATATCACCAGCAACATCGTCGACAATGAGCGCAACAACAACAATAACCACGAATAAAAAGCGAATGGTAATCATGAACCAGAAATTAAAACAGCCATTGGATTCTACTACTAATACTACTATTATTACTACTTCTACTACTAATAAATGTCGTCGATATTTCAAATCAATATGTTTCATTCATTGTAGCCGTATACGATTGACTTATGTATTAATGATAATAAAATTTATTGGTTTAATATGTTTTATCGAATCATTGTATCGTTCAAGAGGATTCTTTCATTGGTTATTCTTCTCAGGGTAAGGTTTCTATGAATTGGGTCATTTTTATTTTGTATTGATTGTTTCTCAGTTTTAATAAATTTACACTCTAAGTCAAATGATAGTTTAAACCGAGAAATAACATTGACTATGGTATAATTAAATAAAAGCCGTCACGTTGTAGGTTTGAAGCATACTTTAACTACATTTATTGACTCCAGAATCACATCGTCATTGGACCGAAATAAAATCACTTCTATAATAATTTTACATAAAATAATATCGCATAGGTGAAAATACATAGAGTTAATCTAAAACACACACACACACACATTAAATATAGTTCACCTGAATTGATGGGAAGAATAGAATTTTATCAATGAACGAAGTTCATACCTGTCATCCGGATTTCATAATGAATTGATACCGAAAAACCGAAATAATGTCATCTTTTTATCCCATCATATCAAATAGCCAAAGAATTCTCTTTATCCGAGACACATAAAATGGCTATGCAATATCAATGTAGTCGGACAACTTTTGTCAGTAACATACGCTCTCAGGCGTACTACCGAATTTCACTCTCCATTAATGTTAAAACTCCAATATTCGCTTGTCAATAAAAAATTAACTAATCTATAGTAAGTTGTTATTAATAGTATGATTGTGAATTCCCATTTTATGATTATTCGCACAGTAAACTTATTAGATGATTTTATTTGAATACGTGAGATTGATTATGTCGTAAATGTACTGTAATCATAATCAGTAGTGTTAATAGCTTATAGTAATATATTGAATTTCTCTTACATTTTCAAATGAACACATTCTTTTTAGACCACAAAAGTATATATTTCAATATCATCGTGAGTATACACCATCAGCACAGAAAGATGTTACCAATAATGATGAAAAAATATGGTTTTTTCGTTGGTCAATCGATCGTTATTCGGCTGTTTACGGTATGATATTTGCCTTCCTGTGCGAATCCCTACGACAAATCGGAGTATTAGAAGATACCATTGATGATAACAGCGGTGATAATTATGCTTTCACTGGTTATCTACAAGGCATTAAGCAGTCGGATGAAATTCGTTATTCTCGATTACCACTGAGTAGTAAGAATTACAATCTTACTACCACTGTCGCTACCAATAATAATGATGATAATCATAGTAGTGATGTCAATAATCATAAAATTAACAATGATGACATGGATACTGATTATCATAAACGACTTCAAAAAGCTAATCATAAAACATTCCATTGTCAGAATGATTACAATGATGAGTCTTATGAATATTTAAATCATTCAACATCTTATGAAATCAAACATTATGATAACATTTTCAATTCAACTGTTCAATATTCAAATCATTTGCAAAAACCAATGAATAGTACTAACAATTTATCATCGTCGTCATCATCATCCACATTATTGAGTCATTTGAATGAACATAATAACGAAATTTCTTATTTCTCTATGCTTATATACAAGTGTTTCTCACCGTTAGGTTTAACCGTATTAGGCATAATTGGTCTAATGGTAAGAGAATAGTTTCATTTATTTTTGGACAAAGTATTTATCATATAATTTTAATATTTCTTTATTCTGATCTGCTTCGTTTCATCAAAAATTGACATTGTAAATTTCTTAATATGATCTTAATGTCAATCGATCTGTTATAATAGAAAGCATTAGGCATAGACTGTGTATTTATTGATATGTTTATTTTAAGCACAAAAAATCTGGTACAAAAACACCAGAAAAGACAGAATACTCCACATAAAGTATGGATGATACTGGGAAGAAACATGATATGCATTTAAAGATAATGAAGAAAAAATAAAATAGTTAACAAAAACAGTTTATGTTGGAAGAAATAATTCAGTTAACAAATATAAAGAGACGATTCGAAATTCTTTCAGTTAAAGAAGTTTCTCTCACATTTATGAAAAATGTGAATAAAAACTACAGCACGATCATCATTGGTCTCTGTTCTGAACTATGTCTGATAACGTCGCAACTTGCTGAATTACATCATCTCTCGGACCCAAAACAAGGAGTCTGGATGGACTGACATATGCCAATCCTATGCAGCTTTATTTCATATCATAAACTGACCAGTCCCAGTGTCGGTAAGTAATGCACGATTTGAAAGCCGATGAAACCACATTCGTAAATGAAGTCTATAACAACGAAGTCGGTGTTTCAGGATAGTGATTCTGTAGTGAACAGAACACGAGTGGGGACAATCGAATATATTTAACACAAAATTACAAGACTTGTTAATAAAATCTAACAATCATAAAGTAATGCTTAATGTGCAAAATGTCCATCAATTGTCTCAGAATGACTCAGACTTCATTGTTCTTGCATTTTCATACAAATTGCATCTTGTTTCCATTCTTTACTGTTCGATCCTCTTGTCTCTCTGCTGCAAGACCTTCTGTTCACGACTAACACCATATACTACTTATGTCAATATAAGTAGCACACACCACAATACTAATTGAATTATCGTTACTAGTAGTGTTGACACTAAATGTTAGCGATGCTTCAGGGACTATAGTAATCGAACACAGAGTTAACGTACATCCTCAGCTTGGACATTCCAGGTTTCGTGAGCATAAAACAAAACTACTCTCACCTTTTACAACCAGAATATCATTGCAACGGCATCTAAGATGGCTCAAATTGGCATTTACAGGTTAAGCTTTCACAATACGTAAATTGACCTCATCAGTCACCCTACCGCTAAAACTCACATAACTACTCAGATACACAAACTTTCCAACTATTTTCAACTGGTCACTGCTAAAAGTTATTGCAAGCACGGATTCTTACTAGTCTTATAGAGGTATTATGCACAATATAAAGAAGAATAAATTAGTTGGATAGAAAGTGAAAGGTTATTTTAAAGCTGAATATCTAAAGAGAGACAAAGAGTGGATTCTCCTTCCCCACTTCAACCGATCTTGAGCCATGTCACTCGTCTCCAACTATTAGTTACGATAATCGTACAGACAGCTAGTTTGCACTTATCTACATCACTCAGTTTAACTTCCTATTGTAGAGCTTCAGTTGAGATCATGAACCAACCAATGTTAAACCACCATTGAAACCTTTGAAGCATTAGACGGTCGATTCCTCCTAATGTGGGACTCCTCAGAGGTACGCATCCACGGTCCCTCGCGTGGGGCTCAAACCCAGGACCTTCGGTCTCGCGCGCGAATGCTTAACCTCTAGACCACTTATGCGGCACCTAACGATGTTAATATCTAACCAATCCACGAAATCGCGCGACCATCTTCCATTGTCTTCGGTGAGTAACTGTCTCATACCCGACATGGTAGAACTCCATTAGTTACGGCTTCTCACTAAAACTCAGAAAATCACCTCTCGAAGCTATTCATTAGTGTAGCCTTAATTACATCTTGTTTGCCAAACATTCTCTTAGCATAATAATTCTTTTAAGACTTACAAATAAGGTTCACAGATAATAACATTGTTGAATTCCACCCTTTATCTTTGCTTCTCCGATATTTATGTGCTTGACTGACTGACTATAGGTCCATCTGTGGCCCCCTTATCAAGATATATTTGTATATATCTTTGAATTTTGTCCGTGTTTGTGAACCTATTTCACCGACTTGTTGTTTTCCTTTAGATCTATTTACCCAATCTTCAGTTTAAAAACTTCTCTCCTTTTCAGTTTTCTTGCATATATGTATTTGCCTGTTCGAATCGAGAAACATGTTTACATATCCACGCATATATGTGTCTCATTCCTGTAAGTTTAATACAGTGATTTTTTGTTGTTGTGCTTGTTTTTGAAAGAAATCGCCCTTTTCGGTGTTGATACAGCAAATGATTTCTGGTGGTCATTAAATTCATTGAATCTTTTGTGAATACCATTAAAATTTATAGCTATTAAATGAACACAATTTTCTTTAAAGTCAAGTCCGCATTGCTCTTCCATCTAATTGAATTGATCTTATCCCCAATATACAAATTCGTGAATTGTCTACCTTTAATTCGTAAAATATAGCTGAATGTGAAGGAAATCACAAGCATATATAATGGAGCCCCACCCTACTAGTGAACTATGTCTTTCTTTTTGCAAACTAAAATCAGCTCAGCTTAGTAGACGATATCATAGGTTCATCCATACCATTCGACTTTGAATTACTTTGCTCTGTATGAAGGCTAATAAAACTACTTATTTACCAAAAAGCTGAAGTAAATTCAAAATACGCTCTGAACTTACAACCTAGTAGTAGTTGAGAGTCAATCATGTACTGTTGTAACCCACTAAATCGTCATTTCACATGTTTACACATCTAAACAAGTGACTGACCAAATTTTCTGATTGCTTAGTTTATTTAATTAAATACTAATTTGGCTTCATTGATTATTTGACTCACGAAACCTCAAGCCGATGAATTAACCCTAGAGACCTTTAAGAATTGTGATCCGGCTTTAATTATTAGATTGACTGGGATTTTATCTAGATTCTGGAAATCGGATGTAATCCCATCTGGATGATTTCTATTGCTGGTCTTTCTGGTCTATAAGAAAGTACAAAAGTCCTCTTATGATAACTATAGAGGAATCAGTATCTAAAATATTAGTCTAAATAATTATCCAACGCCAAACTAGGGCTCATAAAAAGCAAACTCGGGAACACAGGCTGGTTTCAAACCTGGGCGTGAATGTATAGACCAAATATTCACCCTTCTCCATGTTTCGGTAAACAGGAGTAGCTACCAACCCCTAACTATAGTTGTATTTCTCGATCTTCAAGGCAGCGTTTGACCCGTAAATGGGCAGGTTTTGATGGAAGTATCCGTTCTTAAAAGGTGTACCAAATAATTACATCAACCTTGTACAGAATCTCTACTCGAACACTGCTGGTCGCGTCAGAGCTTATGACCAACTGTCTTCGGAATTGGTTACTTCGAATAGTGTTCGTCAAGGTTTTCCGCTTCCCCAACTTTTGTTTAACTTCATTATAGACATTCTTCTAGAGATAATGCTCCCTTCTAGCTTGTTGGCAATCGACTTTTTTCTAGTAAATTCACTTATTGGCGTAGGCGGGATATGTTTGTCAACAAAATGACGAGTTTACCGAGCAACAGGTGTGAAACATGGCTATTAAGAATAGAGGATATTCATAGGTTACGTGCATGCGATCACGGGTTTCTTCAAAGCATTACTCGTATGTTTTGTGACCATCATATGCGCTCACTCTTTTTCAATGTTTGGTATTTTTTTATTACTACTAATATTGTTACTACCTCTACTACTCTGGTATTTGGTTTGACAATTTCATCTCTCTGTGCTAATGGAGTGTGCCAACTTATATCTATGTACACATCTACCAGGTTCTGCATTTCATTTGACTGACTGATTGATCGTTTTTTCAAACTATATTCTCAATGTTCAATCTTTCTCAATAACATGTATGTACCAGGTGTTACGTTTAGTATGACCGACTGACTGACTAAGTAAAGACGACATAAGTGCAGGAGTAGTATTTTAATGATGATGTTCATGTTCATTTAGCGTCATTAAATTTTAATGTAGTTTGTAACTCCATTCATATAGATAAAGTTAAATGAAGAAATACACAATGGCTTTACATTAATTACTAACGGAGTTCCTTATTTTCATTGCAGATTACTGTAGAATCTATATACTAATCTTGCTTTTATGACTGCCTAAACTATATTATGTGAAATTTTTCTGTAGATAATATCGTATATTCTGGTGAGAAATAGTTTCAGTTCATTACGTAGAATATATAGTATATTCTTTGCTTGGATTGGTGATATGTCATTGGAAGTAAGTTTCAAATTATTTTCATTTCATTCAAACATATTCTCCATTCTCTATTAATTGTTTTTTTCTGCACGAAAAATTGAGATTGTGTGCTAATAGACGAACTACTAAACAACTAGTTAAAAGCATATTTCTTTTAGACATTTTACTTTGTACAACCCACCCTTTCTTAATATATATGTGGTATATGGCTAGCAGTGGAATCTAGGATGCGTATTTCGTCCTATTTAGGACTAGTCAACTGGATTCATCTGCATTCCAGAGGTTGATATTCACACTGAGACTCGAACCCAGTTCCTTTTGCCTCAAACACCGTTGTTATCTACTGAGATACTGAGTTCGTATAGTCACTCTCTCAACAGGCATGAATTTATGTGTAGGGGTTTTTAATCTCCCACTGTTAATGGTAAGTCTCAATGAAGATAAAATTCGCTAGCCACATACCAAATGTACTAAAACTTGCAACATGACTCAGTTTCGAATTAATCCGCTCAGGATGCGAATATAACTGCAGAGACTGATCAATCGCCTTCCTGAATATCAACAACCGGAAATCGCAAATCTTTACATACTTTTCGTTTTTTAGTCGTAAGCTTTATACGTATAAGTGTATATGTTTGAGATACACCTTACAATCTTATATCCTAACTTTTATATATCTCGATGCTCTAGATATCTGCTTTATTCTAGTACGGAACGCTTTAGACTTATGTACCCATATCCCCCCCAGGCAGTTTAATACTTGGAGAATGGAGAGTCATATTTATACTAAATTGACTAAACTAATATGAAATGATGCACAATATCTTCGAATGTTTACTAAACAGTTTCGTCTATTTTAATCTTAATAATACCTTTCCCATATATAATGTATCATATTGTAATCGTCTCTACATCCATCATTTTTCTCTAATTCCTATTTGTTTCTTTTTTTCTTAGTTATTTATTGCTCAATATCATATCTGGTTATCAGCCGATGCTTATGGTATACTTGTTCTATTACCAGGTTTTCCATTGATCAACTTAACTTGACATCATTTATTTTTATATGTATATGTCATGAAGTGCATATATTAACACGTCGATTACAAAATTATATTATTCCTAATTCCCCTTTAAAACTTGTTCGTAATATTTTAATTTTTACATTAGTATTTCATTTAATTACTAATTCAACATTACAAATGATTCAATGGGATTTTTCTTAATTATTATCATTATTATTATTATGTTGTATTTCTAAAATAATCCATTTTTACATACTTTATTTCAATGTTTTTTCAATTGGTTCCATTGTATACTGTTGTTTGTTTTTTTCTAGTTTTTCATGGTGCATTCATTCTTCATAGATATATTATTTTATTTGACATTAACATTTTTCCTCATATGTTTTACTTCATCTAATACAATCATACAAGTGTACAAATGCATATGTATAAATGAAAAGACTGTGGTGAGACTATAATTTATGGGCAACCTTTGAGCGATGCTAGACTACTGACCTTAAGAGTATCCACTTAATAACCAGGACCAAATGAGGATTATAAACCTGTGTAAAGAATTAGAATTATAATTTACAGTTGATAATTAAGCTTAGGAATTAAATTTCGAGTTTTCATCATGAATGGACATCAGCTATAATGCCGAAACTCTATTTATCCGAATGGATGAGTGAATTTCACGCCAACATCTGAGACCTGTTATCTTATACGTGATTGGTTCGTCCATAAATTATAGTCGCCCTAAGACTGTTTTAATGTTAGTCGATTTTTTTTCTTTTCTGCTGATTAAACAGTATATTTGATCTCAGTTAATATTAATACTATTGTTTATTATTATTGGTAAAGATCTTGAAGAAATCACGCCACTTGTTCTTATGATCGAAATTCTGTGATATGTTATTGAGCAATCACCAATGGTAATTTTAGTACTACATATCGATTTTAAAAATGATTTTCTCATTTCTTTGTCAGTTGCTGTCTTTCTACTTTTCAAATTACATATTACCTTATGTAACAATAGAGACCAGGTCATAATTGAATGAAATTGAATATAAAATCTATGATAGAAAAACGTCACAAAAGCTAAGATGATTTTCTTATTTGTCATATAGTTTTTAAATCTGTACATTCATATTAATACCATATAGAAATAATAATAATGACTTCTATAAAATTACTGAGTAATAAAAAGTGGTTTCTCGGTAATCGTTACATTTTGTAATTTACACCACGAACTAACCTTCGTTTGACAACCAGTAACAACCAAAAAGCACAAGACAGCTGGTTTTTCCAGGTATTTGATTCATCAACAGTGTCCAATCACAATCCCACAGAGGATATTCAGGTCCCACATCGAGCATTTAGCCTTTGAACTACCGAGTCAATGACTTATGATTCTAACTCCAATCAATTAGTGATATTGCGCAGTCACCTTGCATTGTCTGCAGTGGATGGCTGCCTTACACCTAGCATGTTTGAACTCTACTACTTATTGCTTTTCCCTAGGACTCCTGGAATTACATCTCAAAATTAGTCACCAGTGAACATATGGTTATTATTATTTGATGGCGATCTAATCGAAAACTATTGTCCGCTTATATGTGTTGTTCTAATTTGTGTAAATTGTTGCATTTTGCAGGTTACACCACAAACTGACCTTAGATTACCATTGAAAATGTCCTGCATTCAATTTCGGATAGGATAGTGAATGCTCACTCTCAGGGGGTTTCATACTACAACGAAATAGCTATCCAGTGTTTCATGGTCTTCGGTGGTTATTTGAGTGAGGCCAGTTCGTGATAAAAACTATGAAAAACAGTAGATAAGAGCAATAAAGGGTCACCTGGTAGAAAGCCATTGTTCACAATCTATTTAAATCATCTTGTTAAACTTATGATTGCAAAAGTTAGGTGTGATTCATAGAAAGATTAACAAATAAACATGTTAATTGTGTTGCAATAGCCTATCAAAAAGGATACACCACAATGGTTTGAAATGATAGTGTTGTGGAGGAAAAGTAAGAAATGAATAATCAATGAACATAAATGCAAAAAGTAGTATTATTTGGGAAATACAATTGAGTTCGGAAAGCAACAAGAATAATGCCATAACTTCATCAAGGTTCACTCAAACTGACATATACCACTAGTCACAAATTGATTTCATCTACATTGCCAACACTTTAACGGAGGTTTTGTAGTCTGATGTACAGAAATTCTGTATCAGTAGTGGCAAATGAACAATTAGTCTCGGGAAGTGACTAAAGAAGACATATTTTTTTCTCCTACTATTTCTTGGCTATCCAAGATAAACTCTAGAAACATTTTTATGAACCTTATATACAATCGATGTAATGTTAAGGTATTATCTCGTCAATTAAGCATTACTGAACTAGGTAGGGATCTGACTTTTTTTCTGAAGAATCTCCGCCGACAACACATTTCTACTTCGGATAGAGGTTGAGTGCATTTTGTGGTTTATATTGATTTTAAGTTAGACATGTACACCACTAAATGCCGGACCAATGGTCTAAAGGTTAAGCGCTTGCCATGTGACCTGAAGGTCCTGGGTTCGATCTTTGGTGGGGCTGTGGATGAACACTGCTGAGGAGCATCAAACGAGGACGAAACACCTACAAGGCGCTTACTGGTTTTCAGTGGTTGTCTAACGAAGGTCAGTTCGTGATATAACCTAAAACAAAGATATATTACAATAGCTACCGTTTTAAAGTATCTATAACAGAACTGATTTGTATGAACTTAATAATCAATCAGATTGGGCAACATTACAACATTTTAAGTATGAAACGTGACAGAGATAATACCTGGAAGCAAAAGAAGTCGAGAACTCAAAAATTTAAAATTAATTGGGAGAAAATATGTGTTCAGACAGTTAGCTGCGAATTTGCTTTACCTAGACTAAACACTCCTCCCAGTTTATACAAAAAGCAAGCAAAGCCACAAATTCCTACGAAATTAAAAGACAAGTTGCGAATATTCGATCGTAACTCCCTTTGGAAAGTTCCTCTTGTATTTTATAATGAGCCTATGTAGAGTAATTCAGTTCAGTCGTAAAAAGTCATGAATACTTTCCACAATCATAAATGTAGGGACGAAATCAACGGAAAATGTGTAACTCCAATAGAAAGTTCTACAAACCAATAGATCCCACCCACCAATGGTTTACCTGGCTTAATACTCCCTTGCTATTTGTACCACGACCATAAGGCACCGATTATCGTGGATGTATGACGGTCATTAGGTGGGTTCAGAAATACCGCCCCGATTAACTAAGGAAGGTTATAATTAGGTTTGTAAGGAACGTAATTATAAAATTTCCTGTCGATACGAGCCATCCAATCAAAACAGATTTATCGTTTGAAATCCTCTACAACATGAACAGAGATCTACCAAAAGGCAGTCCTTTTCATCTTTGTACTGCCGAACTCCGCACAATAGACAACAATGTATCTAGATGAAACTTATTTGACTTCTTATCATGGACTTGACCTATAAAATTTGAAAATTCCTTTACATTTCATCTGTTAAATTTGTAAAGCATCCTATTTGATTCGCCCTTGTTTACATACTCTTCACCATTACATTCCGTTCTTAATATTCGTCTTGCTGTTACGCAAGCTAACACTATATATATAAGGCTGGATATAAACTCAACTCCTGTTTAGAATTTTGGCAGTCTACTTAGCGACCGATTAGAATGAAGCGGGAACTATCATTTCCGCCATCTTTGTGAGCAATGGCAGCCGGCTTTCCTCATTTTGTGTTCTTCCGCTGGCTTTTTGGTGTCGCTACAAAATTTAATCCTCCAGTGTGCTGGAATTTCACAATTTATGTGATACTCTAATTTTTTAATCGGTTTTGTCTTCACGGTATTCGCTATTGCTACTCATGTCGGTGTATCCTTTCCGGCGTGCTTATGTGCCTACATGATAAAATATTAATCCGTTTTGTATTGAGTACTATTTTATAGATATCAGAAACCAGAGTAAGCATTCTTCTAACCAAAATAAATGTTGCTGCCACCTGGGTTTTTTTAACTGGTTGTATGTTCGTTCCTAAGTGTCATTTATAACGTTACTGAGAGCAGTGAAAGAAAACGACCTCCAGTTAGTTATGTTCTTCAGTATTATGGATAACTCTATCCAATCAACGAGTCAAATATATATATATATATATATATATATATATATATATATATATTTGCGACCAATAAAATTACTTTTTATCTTCATCAACTTCATTATTTTGTGTACCCCATTAATACAAATTTTCACATTTTATTTGTAGTTACGTATCATAGATTCTGCCACTTATTCATTTGTTTCTGGGCAGATCACACTTTCGTATCTCAGAATTATCAATTGTTTCTCCCAAAATAAATATTTGGAAAGTGTATAAAAGCATCCAAGGGAACAGATGGATTGTAATAAAACTTATTCATTAAGCTATGTGTTTGTCTATAGTAAGCAAACACTTGTGCTACATACCACGGTTATTGCACCTAAATTTTAACCCAATACGTTTCCTAAAACCGTCCAGACTATCCTGGGAGAACTGCACCATATCACATGATTTTGACAGATCTCGTTTCCTTATTGTGTGGTTTAGAAAATCGCTGTCTATATTTATTTATTTATTTGAACACATAAACATTGGTAAAAAGGGGCACCAAATACATATGCCCTCAGTCTAATCTGAAAATTAGATCGATTATCTTTTCTCCATTATTTAACCTTTGACAAAGTTCACCAGCAAGTTCTCTAGTGGTATTAGACAATCCATTATAAAAGTGCTCCGAGATGTTAAACTTGTTAGTCATTAGCCTATACTCCTGAGACATTAATTCAATAGACACTATGAACAAAAACATAGGTAAAAACAGCCCGGTTATCAGTTTTACTCATTCCAAGTTGTTATCATGGATGCATGGAAAAATCGACGTTCAAATAAAATTGTCGAGAAACCAACTACACATTGCCGTTAAACCAAATCAAGGCTTTGTATTTAGCATAGAAAAAGTTTGTTTTGTTGGTAATCGGTTTTCCTGAAATACGAGTACTTCACAACTTAGCATAACTAAGAACGAGAGAATTTCCGGAAAGTAAGTTTTTTAAAGCTTTATTAAAACAATAACGGTCTATTAGTTAGTCTAAATAAAAAAGTAGACAAGCAAAGCAAGTAAGACAGAATCTTAGTCTCGGAATGAACTATTTTTACGTTGTCGTTACATTGATACCAAGCTGTTTCCAGGCAAATTCATACTCTCGTAATTCCTCGAATACCTTAAGAATATATTTGAACCTTGAAAGAGATATTAGCGCACCAGTCCAGTCCGATTTGGAAATTAGATTGATTATTATCTTTTCCTCATCATTTAATCTTTGACGAAGTTCACTAACAAGTTCTCTAACGGTACCATACAATTCACTAAGTGATTTCTCAGAACGACTGGGACTCAAAACATCGCGAATCACCTCCTCAACCTTCTCCCTGATGTTCATTACTTCTGATAAAAACTCTGTATCATCCGATTTCTTGAAATCTACGTTATCAGTTGATACACCATGAAGATGAAGGAGATATTCATAACGTTCAACGGGCTTTTGTAGACAGCTATATGCTTTGTTTATATAGGCTGATGCATCTGAAGCAAGGTCTTTTTCATACTGTGTTTTCGCACTAAATTTGTCAGGGTGTAGCAATTTCTGGGTTTGTCGCATCCGATCTCCTAAATCGATTACATCTATCACAGGTTCCGGATTTGGATAACCAAGAACATTGAAATAAGACCAATTGGGACTAACCGGCTGCACTTTTCCACATTCACAAAAGAAAGATAGGTCTTTTACTAACCTGCTGCAGCTCCAGCATGTACGAAAACTTGACGCAGAGTTGTGAACATATGAAGTGATGTAGGAACGATTATGCCTACTTAAAGATACTGCGAGACGATTAGTATTGTACGAAAAATACTTGTGACAATGACACGGAAACGTAAGACTACGGAATCTGCATAACTTTGAAAACTCTAAAAGCGTCAAGCAACTAAATAAACGTAACGGTAACGCAGACATCACAAAAGCCGCCCTAAATGCTAAAATGTTGAGGCGACGTAGCTTATTATACTAGCTTCCCAAATAAAGGGAAAAAACCGCAGTGATGCATTTTAACTGCCGTCATTTTCAGTGCCGTGGAGAATCAGTCTCTTGTTGAAAATATAAAGAGAAGTCCCGGATACTGTGTTGTCATTGATAATTCCAGTAGTTTATTACTAATATTTATATTTGTGCTTTATGCACAGACGAGTGAGAAAATGTTTCAATTATTTATTCTTGGAACTTTTGTTTGCGCCTAATCTCTCGAACTGTTCAGATATCACTATTAAGAGTTAGGATGTAGGCAGTGGTCAAGTAAGCAAAACACTAACAAATAGTTTCTGACAGTGGTTAAGCAGAAAGATGAATCTATAATCGACAGTTAATCTTGTCTCGCTTATACCAGTGGATAAGTTGCAAACAGATGTGCATTCGTGTTGCATTCTGACTGTACTTACGAGTGGTTGATGTTTTAACAGACATATTACATTGGAACATCTACATAATCCTAATGTGTGTTAACGAACCACGGTAGCTTATTATAATCGTAGTTGATTGGTTAGCTCTATCGATTGAACTAACCAACGTTTATATGAAGCAGCGAAAGTTCATAGTAACTGATTAACATAGCGACGATAGAAATGAAAAAAGTATAGAATGCAATAAAGAAAAAGAGAATAATGATAGGTTGCGTTATTCGAAGTCTTGCTCACCAGTGTAGATCACCAACGTAGATGATCTATGTCAAATGATCGGAGATCTACTCGAGTTAAACGGGAATGGTACGACGGACCAGCTAACATCGAAGTAACGCCTAGCTGTGCGCATCCAACTTGCTTTACCCCTTCGACGTATCAAAGTTCCATGGCTGCTTTGAAGAGCGTATAACACAAAGGACGTTATCGTGAATTCGCTTAAGTAACAATGAGTACAGAGAAGATAATGAGACCACTATCATATGGTCCACTCCATCGTAACGATTAACTGATACACGTTGCCTGTCCTTGAGCTTAGCAGAGACTGATGATCGGTTCGATATTCAGTGACCCGATTGCCGGATGATATATTATTGTTATTCACAAACATCTTATGGGTACATAAGTGTTTTGAAGAAACCATTCCGGGTTTCTTCAAAAATACAATAATACAAATGTTTCAATAATGTTAGCATTATATTTACCATATTTGAAAAAAGAGGGTAATAATAATAGAATAATGATAATAAATCAGGTTCTGTGTAATTGAGAAGAATAGTGAATCGACATTAAAGAGGGAAAGGGGAAAATAAAGGAGACGTGAAATACGCAACTAGTTTAATAAGCGTGTTTATGAACACAAAACAAGAATAAACGACTATGTATGTATCGCTGAATTAGTAACAAAAATAAAATAGAAAATAATTAAGAAAAATAACTGATTATTGCACTAAGACATGACGTGAGAACAAATCTTTGTGCAGTTATCGTGTGGATTGATGCTATGAAAGTCTCAATTAGGTGCAAAGATAACTAAATATTAATATGTATGACTCATATATTCATAGTGAAGATGAAACGAGTCTGAGAAGTTAATGTAGTGTAACACAAGTTATTGTCTGAATTACAAACTTCAGAATCTTAAGAATAATATTTATTTGTAAGGAAAAAAGGGAGAAAAAATGAACACTTGGTGAAACGGTTCAACCACGATAATAATAGCGCAGTGAATATCGGCCTCTGAAGCAAACAAACAAGTTTTAAAAACTTTGAGTGCATTCGGACAACTACATGTAGATTTATGTAATAGTATGTACAATTATGGGCTACCATGGTATTAGTACTGCTCTAATGATAGACCTAGTCCTAAAACTATACATTTGTCATGATGCAACCGCCCGATCTACAAGATCTTACATGGAAGTCACATCCTTGTCTACACTGACTCACCGTATCGTAACAGTCACCAATACATGATGGAGAACAAGCTTAGACTAAAGACAGAACAATATATTCAATATGAATAAAAGATACAAGATAACATTCAATGGGGACCACGCCTGCAAGACCGAGCCATGCCATCCGGTGAATTCGAACTCCTCCAATTCATTGTTACCGCTTTCTCCATCGTTGGGTTTTTCTCCGCGTCAAATGTTAAATGTGTATTCTCTCAGTTGGCTTGTGTTCAGCTTTTTATTTTCTTTCTACTCATCTTAATATATGAAGTATACATATGTGAGTATTTATAATCATTACTCTTATTAATATCATTTTTGGTCCCTCGGACATAAGATATTCTTTTCATCCATTTTTGTCCTTTTAAACATATTTTATTCCTAAACATCCAAAGTCTATAGCTAAAAACAAAAAATACAGATTATCTTCTCATATTCGTTTTGTCTTCATCACATATATATAACACATGCAAATTTAAATTTGATAATCCTTTGCAATTAATTGTGAATTTTATAGCACCATTCTAAATTATTATTACACAAATGCTTGTAGTAATTTCCGTTTCACCCTGCATACTTGTAGCGGCACAGAGCCACAACCACGCGGAGAAAAACCCAACGATGGAGAAAGCGGTAACAATGAATTGGAGGAGTTCGAACTCACCGGATGGCATGGCTCGGTCTTGCAGGCGTGGTCCCCATTGAATGTTATCTTGTATCTTTTATTCATATTGAATATATTGTTCTGTCTTTAGTCTAAGCTTGTTCTCCATCATGTATTGGTGACTGTTACGATACGGTGAGTCAGTGTAGACAAGGATGTGACTTCCATGTAAGATCTTGTAGATCGGGCGGTTGCATCATGACAAATGTATAGTTTTAGGACTAGGTCTATCATTAGAACAGTACTAATAACATGGATGACCATAATTCTACACACCTTCATCTTTATTCAGGTCATTATGCCTGCGATTACTGTAAACTAGTATACCATGTTCAGGAGTGGGTTAGATACATTTTCTCCATAACAGTAATCTCGATTCGACATTATTGAAGTTTACCATTATGAATCCGATGTGCTTTCTAGATTTGGATACTTAAAATGCAATGTGCTCGGAAAAGTTCAAACGTCGAAGTCACACCTCGTGGTCAGCACCTTAGGTGGACAACCACATTGACGTATCGAGGTACTATTAATGCTTTGAATGCTGCACAACACAAAGGACGCCATTACAGAAATATATTAGCTAAAGTAGATACAACGGAAAGTAAGACCACCACTGTATGGGACAGTCCACGGCGTACAATTAACTGATTCGCGTTGGTCATCCTTGACCTTGACAGGGATCAGTGAGCAGTTCGATATTCGGAGACCCAACTCCTGGACGACTTGTCCAGGGCTTGGTGGAATGTCACTAGCCCTACAGGACGATCTGGCTACGTTATTCTAAAAAAGATTTGAGCCGAGATAAAAGTGGATTCCGTATGCCATATGAAGAGAGTTTTAGAGGAAGTTTGTGTGAGACACTGTCAAAAGCCTTACTAAAATCGAATTACAGAATTATCATTGACTGACCAACATCTCTCGGGTAATTTGAAAAAAAATTCCAGGTGCGATGTGAATCATGAACGTTTAGTCATAAACCTGTGTTGGGATGAGCTTGAAGATGGCACAGGTATTTAGTGTTTGACAACGCTTCTACCAGTAACACCTTCTAACATGATTTGTACCCACCGAGAGAAATCAAAAGACAGAGTCGATGAGATCGGAAGAGTGTATTTGGCGATAACCAAAATATCGGAATTCTCTGATCTAATCTGGCTAGCGATTGCGGTTGATGTTGAGCACGGCGTTACCACACGTGATCTGGTGCGGATGCCTGACCGAGCGCCTTCAGCTAGATGAGTCCACTAAAACATATGGTCAGCATCCAATGTCGAAAACTTACAGAGCTATCTATTTTGGGGATTTATTTACCGCTACAGATCACTCCCCCCTAGTGGGTTAGTGATGACCCTAAGACGTGGCCAGCCAGAAGTTTAAACCAAGCGAGTTTGTCGTTGGTAAACACTTCTGATAGCTTGCTAGGATTAGCAGCGTCTGGTCGTCCTTCCTTACTATATAGGACCGAGGTACAACATAGCAAAAAAAGAAAATGTACAATGAAAATTTCAGTTCCTCATAAACGTCATCGTTCTTTTCCAGCCGTCCTGGAAAAAAAAAAAAAATGTAAGTGCATGTCGAAATACACTCGTATGTGCGTAAAAACACAATGTCGGCGAAAAAATTGGAATCTTAACTAATTTACACGTAATATCGTTAAAAAAAATTTGTTTTTTTTGGAATAAAAAATAAAAATATATAAGCATATTAAAATTGTTTTTTTTAATATTATATATTGTCAAAAGAAAAATCGAGATAATATAAAATGTCGAGTAGTGTCTTACGTGCAGTAGTCGTTTAAATGTTCTGGAAATCTAACTCTTCTTCCAGAACGCGTCGTTTTAAGTTTGTTTTCAGATACATTCGGAGTATCATCGCCAGTGTTGGTTGTCGGTTGAGGAATTATGAGTGGAGTCGTGTCGTTCGATTGTACCGAAGGAAAATCGACGTAGATAGGATTTCCTTCTAAATACGCTGCTTTTAAGCGATCGATGCTGATGCTATCGTTGGTTCCGTTCTTATCGACTATATAGTACTTAGATTCACGTTGAAGAACTTTGAAAGGTCCTTCGTATGCTGATTCGAATGGTCGTCGATGCGAGTCTCGACGAACGAAAACGTGTGTACTATATCGTAAGTCAGGTTGAACGAAAACATCAGTTGATTGAGGTCGAGTGGAAGCAGGTTTAACTGAACGCATTGCGTTTGTAAGCCTGTTCGTGTAGGAGGTTAGATCCATGTTCATTGAAGAGGACGAAGGATCCACGAATTCTCCTGGAAGTCGAAGTGTCGTTCCATAAACGAGTTGAGCCGCAGTGTATCCAATGTCAGCTTTCACTGCATTGCGGATACCTAGTAAGACGAGTGGAAGAGCGTCGGTCCACTGTGAAACGTTTGCAGCTGATAGTGAAGCTTTTAGTTGTCGGTGAAAACGTTCTACCAACCCGTTTGCTTGTGGATGGTAGGCGGTCGTTCGGAAGCGAGTGATTCCTAAAAGTGTGGTCAGACGACGGAAAAGATCAGATTCAAACTGACGTCCGCGGTCTGTAGTGATGGTTGAAGGGCAGCCGAAGTTTGCTACCCATCGTTCGACGAAGGCGCGGGCCACTGTTTCAGCAGTGATGTCCTTGATAGGTACTGCTTCTGGCCATCGAGTGAAACGGTCTACGCAGGTTAAGAGGTAAGAGTATCCATTTGAATCTGGTAAAGGTCCTACCAAATCCAGATGAACATGGTCGAAACGAGCATCGGGAGTTTTAAACGAGCCTAAGGGACATTTATTGTGTCTGATAACCTTAGATTTTTGGCAGCTTACACAGGAGCGTGCCCACTCCCTCACGTCTTTATTCATGCCAGGCCAGCAAAACCGTTCTGCTATAAGCTTGATGGTTGCACGAACACCTGGATGAGAAAGTTTGTGCAATGTATTGAAGACATTGCGTCGATAATGTTTCGGCACGATTGGGCGATCCCTACCTGTAGATGTGTCACAAAGTAAGGTTTCCTTACCTGTTCCCATCTGTTTGATGCGTAGTTTAAGGGTTGTGGACGATAACTCGTGCTGAAGATCAGTGTCTTCTTTTTGAAGCTCGGCGAGTTTAAGAAGGTCGATTCCTTGGAAACTGTTCAAGGAAGTTATGCGAGATAAGGCGTCTGCAACTACATTGTTTGCTCCAGAAATATGTTGAATATCTGAAGTAAACTGCGAAATGTAGTCCAGTTGTCGAGACTCACGGGGAGAGTACTTGTCAGAAGGAGAGCTTAACGAGAAAGTGAGCGGTTTATGGTCCGTGAAAAGAGTGAATTCACGGCCTTCGATATAGTGTTGGAAATGCCGTACAGCACAATACATAGCTAGGAGTTCCCTACCGAATGTGCTGTACCTCGATTCGGTGTCTAGCAACCTTCTAGAGAAAAATGCCAAGGGTTGCCAGGAGTTGTTAACCCATTGTTGTAAGACTCCTCCGATTGCTGAGTCGGATGCGTCTACTGCGATGCTAATGGGTGCTTGGTGTCCTGATGTGCGAGCATTGTTGCTTTAGCGATCAGTTCCTTAATTGTGGAGAATGCTTTTCGTGCGGTGTCGTCCAAATTAATGGATTTCGCATTTCCACGAAGTTGGTCGGTAGGAGGTTTCATGAGTAATGCGCATTTGGTATGAAACGTCTATAGAAACTTACCAGGCCGTTAAACGTGCGTAATTGCTTGACGGTGGTCGGTTCTGGGTAATCCAGAATGGCCGCCACTTTGGTTCTAAGGGGTCGGATACCTTGAGCATCGATAGTGTGTCCTAGAAAGTCTAATGAGTCGGTTCCGAATTGGCATTTCTGAACGTTTACAGTAATGCCATGTTTTTGTAATCGTTCGAAAACAAGATCCAGATGCTTGAGATGTGTTTCTCTGTCCGGACTTGCGATTAGGCAGTCATCAACATACGCATGTACGAAGTTGAGACCTCGAAAAACGTCGTCTATGAATCTTTGGAATGTTTGAGCAGCGTTCCTTAGACCGAAAGGCATTCGCAAAAATTCATAGAGTCCGAAGGGAGTTATGATAGCTGTTTTCGGTATGTCGTCAGTAGCCATAGGGATTTGGTTATACGCTTTAACCAAGTCGATTTTCGAAAAGACAGTTGTACCTTTCAAGGTAGCTGTCAAATCGTGAATGTGAGGCAACGGGTAACGATCGGGAATGGTTTTCGCATTCAATCGCCGATAGTCACCAGTTGGATGCCAATCGTTGCAGGTTGTAACGAGATATATTTGTTGGAGATCTCGTGATATCGAAGGAATACAGAGATCGTACCAAAGAAATACAAGTGGAACCAGTGGGCGAACGTAAGAGCGTACAAGGTCATAATCCACGGAAGGATAATGGAAGAATGATGGACGTTTTTAGTACAGTTAAACAAACAAGTACAGTAAAACAATCACTGGTACAATTGGTAGTAATAATGATTGTTTCCATTAAACCAATCGCGTTCTCTTGATAAAAGTAGGTCACTACAGTATATTGACATCGTGCCTACCAAGAGACGGCAGTGCCTGTAGAAGATATACCATAAAGATTGCACTCTCGAAGCATTAGTATGTAATAGATATTTTGTGAAACAAATCTGATTGTTTAACATGGGTAAATCTGACGAAGGTCACTGGGAGTAATTTCCACAGCTGTCTCTTGAAGGTCATCGCTGCCAGAAATGGAACATGAAGCTGACGGTCTGCTTTGGAGACACAAAGGTCGTGGTTCCTTGTGGTTCAGGGAACTTAACGGTTAGAGACTTGACTCTTAGTGGTTTGAGGAGGGTTAGGCATACTTTACCGAAGGTTTGTTTTCTGGTTTCCTACATGAACGTTTTATCATCACAATGATTCATTAATACTTAAATGTTTCGAGATACACAATCTATCTATTATGATGACTTATCACCATTTATCAATGATCTTTTAGCTCGGACCACAGGATCGCATTGTCGTCCACAGCATCAATGTTGCTAGAGATGGTGGTATGCTTGATTGGGATGATTTGGTCTGCGATGTGGTAGACGATCGTGAAATGGTACGTTTCCCACTTTCATCCTCGTCATAAAATTTTTGTGGCTTTTATTATTTAGTTGCCACCATAAGTTCCTCTGAGTTCTGTGAAAATGCGTAAAAATCTTTTAAAACACGTTTTATCCGTTTGTCGTATATTTATATATAATTTACTATCTAGTTGTTTCGAGTGGAATAGTTCTTGTTATACTTCTTCGCCGCCTGAAAATTTATATCCCGTTGATTAGCATTGCAGAAGCCGTTTGAATAGACGAAAGTTAGTGTCATTCTTTGTTAAGTTTGAGTTCGGTAGATCCTACCAACTATTCGTATAGAGTGTAAGAAATCGTTTGAAGTATAGCTTAAGGGAATACAATATATGCTCGAAATCTAAACTCAGTGGTAAATGTTTTACAATTTTATTCGGTACTCAGTCGATAAAAGAGCTGTAAGCAATCTTAAATAACATAATATGGTTTGTTTTCTCTTCTACCTATTCCGTCATCCTTTCCACCTTTTATGCTTTCATAGCCTCATATAATCAATCTTGTATTCATATTGCATCGATTTTAAATTCAAATAACATTGCACGACATGTAGTAATTTTCAAAGTTGTTGGCTTTTCATCTTTTGGTAGGTTACTGCTCACTTTTCGGTCGCCACCTTATCAAACAATATCAAGGATTCTTGTCCAAATCGACCCTCAACTGCCCTTGATTCTATATTTCAATCACTTTCCACACCCTTAGTTGTCGATTTATGTTCTGATAGTGCTATCGAGCCTTCATTTCATAGTCCCATCCAGTCTAGCGGGGCTAGTGAATTTAGAGATAGTGGATTAAATCTCGCACCTCCTTGTGGAACTGGATTAAGACAAACTGACATCAATGGTCATATCGCAGACAGGCTTCTGCGTATCGGAGATGGAAGTACAAGCAGTAGTAACTTAAGTTTAAATCTAAGTAATGATAGCTGTGGGTTGCATCAACCAAATGGAGCGCATACATCCCAGTTCCCTGGTGATATCCACGAATGGCTTCTGAATGAGTCTTCCCATGATTCTAATGCAGCGCTGCGTGAGTTTTTGATAGATGCTTTGGTCATTTATATCCTTTTGTTTTCACATAAAAATAATAGTGGACTTTACGTGTGGAATTTATAACTGTCTGATATGCCAACTAAAGACTGTAACTTATGTACCAAGTACATGTCTATATTCAACATCGAACTAAACTCCTTGGGGAACAGATATACTATGGAGCTGCACAAACCGAGTCAAGTATTGTGGAATCAAGACCTGTGATCTAACACTTGAAATCCAAGCATTTAACCACAGCTACTGCTAAGGTCTAAAAGTAAAATGTAAGCTCCATGTCTCTGATCATCGTTGATAGTATATTGTACCGATAATTTCACTGTTAGATCGTTCATAAAACAACCGGTTTACGTTTTACATTTAAGAGACTAAAATCCAGTCCATGGATCAAACGCAACTGTGTGACAAAGACCTGGTTTACGTACTCGGCTTCAAGCTTGTATCGGTATAATATCTAGCAATATAAACTGAAGTGGCTGGGTGGGCATTCAAACTTGTAGCCCAACGTATGAAAGTCAAGTATTTTAAGCACTAAACCATCACCCTACTCAAGATAGTAGGTAGACCGATTGATTGGTTGTTAAAATACCGCTTTACCCCAAATCTTGAAACACTGTTGGATATACTCTAACTGGGTGCTCTTATTTATAAAGTTATAATGGAAGACAAACTACGAATGCATCTACTTTCATCGCTCCCTGTTTTGAGCCATGTCATAAGTCATAGCTAATTAATTATAAACCTGTAACTCAAATTTGTACCTCAGCTGTCGTTTGTACATATGGAGATAAATTATCTTTTGTTGTAAATGGAGTAAGAGTGACTTTCGAAAAAGCTAAAAGCAGCCGAACGATGACATGGATTTAGTCCATAAAGTCGCTGACTTTTTGGCTCAACCGTGTTGTACACTTTTTGTCTCCGCTTAGGTCCTAAGTCTCACGATCAACTTGTACTTTTTATCCCAAGATCTCGCCCTTTTCTCTCAGTTCCTATTGTCTACACCTAATCGTCTGTGTCCTCACGACGACCGTGTTCACATTTGTGCAATATCCTACATTGTCTCAGCTGTCCGACTCTATTGAGTCACGCTATTCCTCATTTGTGAGTTACCAGGCCTTCGTTTGTAATTATTTTTTTCCTTGCAACAGATCCCAACATTAAAGTGAATTGTGTTTCAGAAGTATCCTCTTCTGGCAATAAAGAGAAATGTTTTACAACCTCTTCAGCTTCTCAGTCACCACCTACTTGCTTCAATACACTATCAAGTACTTGTGAACGACTGAAAAGTTCTCCAGTTTCGTGCAATAAATCCTGTTCGAATATTATCACCATAAATGATACAGCAATTTCAAAGCATTGTCAAAGAACACTTTCACCGAATGTCTTTGAAATGGTTAGTTCTTTATATATATACATTTATATAATGAGTCGTTCAGAATTATTTTAATGGATACGTTTAATGGTTTAGTGGAATTTCACACTGTTGAATTCATTGAAGAATCCACACTTCAAATATCTCAACAAGAGATGTAAAGAACTATCAAAACTTATAGGAAAGATCTTTAGAAAGGTAGGATATACGTATATGACGAAACGAATCGTAGGCAAATTTTAAACAGTTAAACATTCATGAAGCCATGTTATGTACCGTATTTCACCTCAAACTTCAATTGTTCTTGGAAAAAAATATTAGTGTACTGTTTGTTGTTCGTTTACTGTACGTTCTAGTATCTTGAACAGTTTAAGTTGTTGATTCTCAATTAAATCTAGCATTTTACCATTTAATAGTTATAAATATGAAATAGGTCTATCTGTGCTAACTTTATTTGTCTATAGTGTTCACAAACTCATTTTCTATCCATAAGTCGTATCGCTGCTACTGATACTTTTACTAATCGTGCTATGAAATTTGTTTTGGAAATTCACTTTATTGTACTAATTCAGTCGATCAGTCAGTAAAAACATCGAACCTCCTACGTTTGTACGTGGATTCAAGTTGACTCACCCTATTAGCACCGAGAGATGAAATTGCTAGCCCAAATCCCAGAGTAGCAGAGGTAATAACAATATTAATAGTAATAGCAAAGATCAAACATCGAAGATAAAAAAAGATTTACAACCAATTAACAAACTTAGGATCTAAGGGAAGACAAAGAGTGAGTATATCTATGCCATTGTAAATGATTCCCTGTCATGTCACTCAAGGCATCCAACCATTGGTTATGTTGATGACATGAATCCAAATTAGGTGGCCTGCACCTACCTACATGGTTCAGTTCAATAGTCAGTGTCTTCATGGACTGGTGCCATGTCTTAGCTTGAACACTCATAGCTTTCCTCCAACCTACTCCCATATCAGTCATCATCGCCTATCGAGGTAATCTACAGATAAGCACACGTAGTATATGTTCCAACCATCTCAGTCGATAAAGATTCGCTACCTCGTCAGTTCATTTGCCACACGTACCTAGTACTCTGTAGCTAACCTAACAATTGTTAACTCATTGGTCTCACAATATACGAGCAATGCCTTGAAGATACCCGTGATCGCATGCAAGTAACCTGCGAATATCCTCTATTCTTAATAACCATGTTTCACACCTTTAAAGTAGAACAGCGAACTGTTGCTTGGTAAACTCATCATTTTGTTGACAAACGGATATCCCGCCTACGCCACAAGTGACGCAAGATGGCAAAAGCCAATCGATCCTTCTGAACCCGTACCGAAATCTCATCAGACACCAGACCATCAGGACTGATGAGACTGCCGAGGTAAGTGAAGTGGTCGATGCGTCCAACTACTTTACCGCCTATCGTTAATTTAGGTGGTGACACAAGCTAATCCCTAAGCATCATTTTGGATTTAGAGGAGAGAACCGTATCCTGAACATGCTTGCATTGCTGCTTAAGGTGGTCAGAAGACTGCATTTTATCATTGTCTTCATCAAAAAGAACTATATCATTTGCGTATCCTTAGTTAACAAGTAGATCTGGTTGATCAAACCCGGGATAGCCAGATGATGAAATGACTATCTCTAAAAGCACCGTGCTGACGTGGTGTGGGGACTTGGACGGATGCACATGTGTTCCAGGTTCTACTTCTAATCACAAGTTTCCAATATCTCATAAATTCTGGTCAGAAAACCCGTAATTTGTCATAAAACTTAGACTGGTGTCTACTAACTTCATATATCTGCTTGTCACGGCTTAGCTGAATTTTCCCATGTCGTGTTTTTAATAAATATCACTGAGTTTATTAGTGAATTAGTAAGTTTAGCCACACATCATAGTTATCTCAGACAATATCCCTTATTTTTTATTAACTTAAACCCAACGCTTAAATTAGTTATCAAATCATATGCTTTTTGAAATATCTGTTTCATATATTTAAATCTCTTTAATTTTAAGCTTTCAAATGTCCTATCTCGCCGTCGTGATCTTATTGAGTCTGGTTGGGATTCTGATGATGAAGATGAAGATGCATTTGATCCTGATGGAGGCTATTCATACGATTGCCAAGTAGGTGAACAGCAGAATGAATTTGTGTCATTACCCAATGGTGATACTATCCTTCACTCAGATACCATAAACAATAATTCAGATATAATACCTAATTCTTTACCTGGAGGAAACCACTGTTGTTTAGATGTCACAGAAAGTAATAGTCACCATGGAAATACTAACGATAACTTTTCGACTGTAAGATATCCCTCGGTGACTCTTACACCAAGCGGAACTTGTGATAGACCAAGTAATCACCCTGTTTTATCAAATGCAGATATTTGGCCTCTCCCACCTCCACCTTTTTCTGCTTCCGATGTTCCACATGTTAATATTCCTACTAATCTCCCATGTAGAGTACATTCTCCAGAAGACGAATATCATATAGGTATAAATACTGAACGACTGATACGTGCAGTTCAAAGTCATAATTCATTTTCAAGTTCGAATGGTTCCGACCGATTTTGCACAACTTCAGACATAGTGTCTAATTCATTAGTCAGTCATTCAGAACTTCGAAATCCCCTCAGTTATTCTCAGGTGAGTTTTCTATCTTCTTTCTAATGATCCTAACTTTTTAAATAGGAGAGTGTATTTTATGAATTTCACTATAAGACAACACAAACTGAAAATGGTAGTGTGAAATGAATGAACTAAGCAAACCAAATTATAAATCCGAGTAATTGAGGTTAGGTTACTAACTTCTATAAGCCACCCACCTGAGATTTGTCAAACAAAACATTCTATCATTCCAGTTACTCAATTTTCCAAGTTCATGTGCGATTGCACTAATCTTATTTGAGTAGCATTTTTATTAATACAAGGCATTTATCAACATACTAGTTTGATCAGTTATGATATATTCTATTCTTTTGTACCCTTTATTAACAAGGAGTTTGCAATTTAAAACCCTTATAATTAAGACAATCGATTGCATCAACATAGAACGTTTATTAGGAAAATGTCGACAACATTACATTTTTATTTATTTTTCTGTATAGACATGATCGCTAACTAAAAGTTGTTCTCACACTAGTTCAAACTTCAAAGTATTGCCGATTTCCTGGATGCACTCAAGGATTATTCAGTTTTAATTTAGGACTGAGGAACATTTGTATCATCATTAATAACAAGATTGGACATGGGAATTTCAGTTTTGCTTTATTCATATAATCACTTGAATCAAAAACCGCTGTTTCGATCGTCTAATGTTCTAGTTTTCGTTCATTTTCCTGAATTGATATGATTCCTTAAGTTCTTTCGTTTTATTTTGACAGAAACTTAGTCATTTGGGATCACATTGCTCCTTGATTCATACATAAAAGTGATCGAATGACAGCAATCATAAAAGGTAGATTAAGGTATCGTTATCTGTTTTTTCTCAGTTGTTTTACGCCAAAAGACAATTCTCAATCATCTATAATCTTTATCGGTTAATGGTTTATTTTTCATTTTACTTTTTAAGCCTAATTTGGTCACACAGTATGACGATTCTATTCGACAACAAAATATGCAACATTTATCGAATACTCATATAGTAGAAAATAATATGGTTAGTAATTCATTACATCAGTCAAGACCGGACCATGTACAGTCTCGTAAGTATTTAAAAATTGTATGGTTATAAGTGTAAAAATTTTGATTCAGGATTATACGTATGTACTTAAAAGCCTGGAGTTATACAACCGTAGATATGCAACATTACTCATGCCTTATTTTTAATTGGTAATACCAAGTGTTCAAATGAGATAGTTCAATTCACAAGCAGATTTATCACCTAAATTCTCACAATTCTCTTGAAAATAGTTTCAAATGTCAAGTTCCCCCTTGACGCAAGTAACTTTTTGTTGTACCTGTGAATAAGAATCTCACTACAAAACAACCATTTTTTTAACAAGTTAAAACGTGGTTCAGATGTTTATATTGTGTACTATAGTAAGGTCATGAAATATTCGATGTGAAAATCGTTTACAATGTGGCTACGACGAAGTATTAGTTAACCGCTTTTTTCTTACAAAATAAGTAGTACATATCAGTAAGATAACCCAGTCGAAGTTTGTGTAGATTTCAAATAGTCGTATAGTCAATGGAGACGTTAAATAAAAGGCATCCACAGATAACCCCAAACATTATGATTCGATAAGCGTTCATCTTTGTTGGGGTCAAGCTGCGAGCGGTATCGACAGCTGATTAGATATGAAATGCCATGTGTTTATCTGTTAACCAACAATGACTATGCAGTATCCGACGGTATTCTGTCTCCTGTCGGCATAAAACCTCAGCTGCTAATCTTCCCTCATGAGTTCCAAAAACTTTCCTTCAAAGTTAGTCTTATATCCCATTTCTAATCAGTATAGTGCTATTGCTAATCTATTTTCGAGCTTCTTAAGTTCTTCTGAGAATTTAGGAACATATTTCAAAGTTTTTCTTTGCCATGGCATTTAGCTCCCACCACCCTACTCATATGGTGACTTACTTCATAGACAGTCTTGTTTTCACTCTTGATATCCTATACCTCACTTTCAGTAATACCTATAACATCACTACCTTGGATATAAACTTTTTATCATGCATATTTAGAATCTTTCTTATCCTTTCTGAAGTTTCTTTAGGATATGCCATGACTGCAGTGTTTTTTCATTCCCTAGGTGAACACTCTAATTTAGCTTTTCTTTCATTTTTACTATGATGATCTATTTATTTATATATCAGGCATAGTAGACACCAAATCGAAACAAAACTGGTTTTCAAAGTTATTTATAGAATTCCATTGCGCTCGCCCCGTGATTCCTTAAATCGTATTTTTACGCACAGCAGAGGCTATAGAAATACACAAATAAATCTAATCTTTGTATACAAGAAACGTTTGTGCAACCACACAATTTACTCTGACCTACTTAATTATAAATAAATAATATATTTTTAATATTCCAAATCATACCTTGGTAACGATACCTACTCCTACTTAATTATTCTTACTTTTCTCAAAGTTTTTTTCAATTTTGTCTAATTTTAATTTCTAATCCTATTCTTACTTAATCCGTTCTCATAATCTGGCTGTGTAGTTTTTATGCCATCCGTTTTACTAGCTACTTATTTTTTATGCTTACAACTAACACTAAACATTTATATTCAATTGCTTAATTTCAAGCTTACTCAATTCCTTCCACTTTATTCTTACGTAACTAGTGTTGCAGTAATTCGCATATTTTGTAATTTTGTATTTTAGTTTTAATTTCGTATCGGTCAAGTTACGGACTACTATCTTTGGAGAAAATGTTGATATTGTCAAGCGGATCACTATTTATTTAGTATTGATTTTATAGTTAATCATAAAACCAAAACTTCATGACAAGTTAGAATTTTTAACAGGCAGCACAGTATAATACAAATTTGTAAATTACGTTTTCCTTGTGTAGTCTAAATGCTGATCCATAACATATACACTCCCTCAGTTTAGCAAACTTTTCAGTTGTACAGAGGGAAAACTCATTAAAAATAGTTTATTATTAAACGGACAAGTATGAAAACGATATCGAACAAAGAAAAAATGGGTAATTCTACATTATTCAAACAAGAAAGTCGGAATAGACAGCGTGATACAATCTGAACAATTTTCCTTTTCTCTTAATAAACCAAAAAGCTAGATGGTTTTTGTTGTGCCGTCGTTATAACCAGTCTCCTTATAATCCATAATCTCAACTTGTATGATAATTAAATTCACTAATTATGGCTATTCCGTGTCATAATTAATCATAATTAGCTTAGTGTAAAGTAAGTTTGCATGTTACTCCCACTGTATACGTTGTTTTGAGTAGTCTCCTATTTTAACTTATGATCCTTACTATCTAATTACTTCCTGACAAGCATAATTCATTTATCGATAAGGGTTTTTTAAGTCATCCTAATTCTTGTGAAAATCCTTTTCTCTTTTTGTAGAATACTCACACACATGTAATATCAACTCAACAAAATCCCTTGTTATAACAAGTCGTCCTGTTGGCGGTCTCTCCTATTCTCGAACAACAACACGTTTAGGAACAGCATTTCAAAGCAATTTAACTGTTCCAACTATAGTTGAAGAAGAAGAAGAATATTCGGTAGATTCCGAAAGACAACTTCCGAATTTGCCGGAATATGAAACAGAACACCAATTTATCGACATGTTAAAGTCTAGAACTAATCCTCTACTTAATAATAATATTGATATTAATGAAGCAAATGAGGAAGATTATCCACTTCTACGTAAAGATTATGTTTTGGAGTGAGTTCTAATACTGTTTGTAGTTTTTCTCCCATGTCAGGTTATTGAAAATAATATTTGAAATTTTTGGGCTTAGGTTTCGCTCTCTCCAACATTCATCAACAGAGCATACCTGTAATCTCAGCGGGTCCATATTTCATCAGAGTTTTAAATATATGCTACCTAATAGTAAGGCTATAAATAATACAAAAACTGTTCAGCCTTTAGGTTTCCAACTGCAAGATTGCATTTCAGACACACTTTGTTTACCAATGAGTCGTGAAATCAAGTTCTACTTCGGTTAGGGTGTACACATAACGTTACTAGCCATCACACAAAATATTTGACCCCAAACTGAGTTCTGAACCTGTACCTTGTTACCGACTCGTAAAAAAAAGAAACGTTTCTTAGCCAGGTGGTTCACACCAACAATCAATAATTTAATCAACTGATACCAAATCTTGCTTTCATCCTTGCCCATTATGCCAAACATTTCTTGTCAGAGTAAATGGTAGCTGAAAATGCGCAACACTTATTCTACTTACCTCTGAAGAGTTCTACCAGCTGACCTCCCATCTTTGTCTAGCATCCTACGGCTAATCTCAATCAATTATTTTGTAGTTAGAGGATATGCAATCAATAATTCAAGAACATTCATGACAATTTAGATTATCACAGCAGTAAAGTGGTGTTCACTGTGCTTTATTTGTTGTAATGTTTTTTACCTACTAATTGGAGATATGTATCTGAATTAAATTCCATGACTTACAGTAACCATAATGACAACGACACATATTACTTCACTAACATGTAACATGACCAAGAATCAACCACAGTGGCGTGGTGATATTCATCCTCAACCATCCTCTAGACCCCAACTACAGTATCATTCCTCTATTTTAATTCTTTGGTTTCGTTCTACTTTAAAATGTCCTCCACGTTTAGCTTCCCATTCCAACTAATGTTCTTCCATTGCTTTACTCCTTACTAATTTCACAACACTATTTCCACTATGAAGTATTCCATCGTAGACTGATATGCATTTATTTTAAGTCCTACGCTGTCTGTAACTGACTGCAGTAGTTTTCAAGTTAGTTTCTAACCAAATTGTATGTGTATAAAAGTCTGATAGATTGTTTCGTCAATAAACTAAGTATTTTGATTATCAAACTTTCCAAACAGTGACCACTGTATTGAAATAATATTCAGTACTCCATATCATGATGACAGTTACTGATTTGTTTCTTGAAATTTCATCATGCTTTCACTTTTCTTCGTGCTAAATTCAAATGTTGCAGCTTGAATCGATAAACAAGTACATTTCTATTGTTATTGTTTCTGTTTTTGTCTACTCATCTCTGTCTCTAATGTTTTAGTACTAGTGTGTGTGTGCGTGTGCTTATCATCAGTATTTTCCTACTTCATTTCATTGTGATTTAGGTCGACAATCTTAGATAGGAATGACGTTCTCACTCTCCTCTCGATTCACTTATTTTAATCACGTTTCTGTTTTTTGAAACCCGAATGCCCTGGTACGGCCGAGAGTGGGGAGAGTCCGCTCTCCCTCGAAATACTCTCACACGGCCGCACGTATACAGCCTCTGCCAGGGAAGTCCTACTCATTGCCTTCTCGTGGCGGGGGTGTTGTTTACGAAAATGAGAGGACGAAAAGCGAATGTCCGGCGCTTTAACCGGATCCCAAACAAATGGTGCACATGGGCTCCAGTATCCTGCGGGAACAAATGGCGTATGAACCAATCGTTGGTCACCGGCTACCATGGGACTGCATCTCCTTACGATGCTCCACTGCCTTGTGGGTTAGACCTTTAGGTCAAAGGCTCGGGGAGTGGCCCCCTAAGATAACCACCTGCTTCGGTTTGGGCACCCGGGCAGTATCACAGCCCACACACAAATGATGAACTCTTTATGTCTATGGAAATTACTTTTCTCGCTTTGAAAAACAATCAATTGATTCAAATTATTATCATTACAATTATTGTCATTATTAATACTACTGTTATTATTATTACTATTATTATTATTATTATTATTATTATTATTATTATTATTATTTTCCACATTATTCACCCTCTTTTATACTTATACAGCGGCTCGTCTTTGGTGGAAATTCGACTGTATCTAAACGTTCTCGAGTCACTGTCCGGTTGAAAATTGTATGTTACCACCGAATACGAGGACTGAAGCAGTTTTTCTGAAACCACGTGCACCATTCAAACTGGCTGCCTTCAACGTTCGCACATTTATGCAGGTCGGACAACAGATAGGGCTGGCTATGTCTTTGGAAAGTCTTAATATCGATGTCTGTTGTCTATCCGAGACTCTGGCGAAGTACTACAAATTCGATCTCCATCTGTCGCTTCGAAAAGCTTGTTTTACGTGCGCTTATCCGGGGACCCTGTGGCATCTTCGTCTGGTCTTGCTGGCGTTGGTGTCGCACTAAGCGCTAGAGCTGAGGCAGCACTAGTCGATTGGATCCCCATTAACAGTCGGTTATGTGCTGTTAGATTAGAAAGTTCCATCAAAGTGAGAAGAAATCGGCGTGAGAAACGATGTCTTTTCGTCATCTCCGCCTATGCCCCGACAGATTGCAGCCCGGATGCAATCAAGGATGAGTTTTACCACCAGTTATCAGTTCTTCTCCAGAAAGTGCGTTCGACAGATATTGTAGTACTAGCCGGAGACTTGAATGCTCAGGTCGGGCGTCTAGGCACAGAAGAGAGTCGTTTAGGTGGCCGATGGGGACTCGTTGGTCGCAGGTCAGATAACGGGGACCGTCTACTGCAACTTTGCACAGACCACAACCTGTTTCTGGCTAGCACTAACTTTCGGCACAGTCATCGCCGATGTGCCACCTGGCGTCCTCCCTCTGCATCTCAAGCCTGGACTCAGATTGATCACATCGCGATCAGCTACCGCTGGCGTGGTTGTGTACAAGACTGCCGCTCCTTTTGGAGTACCTATCTGGACTCTGACCATGCCTTGGTCTGCGCCAATCTTGCCTTACTTTTCAGTGGACAACGAAGTGACCGCCATCAACGGATTGATGTTAGCAAGCTGGTTGCAACTTCTGTTGCAAGTAAGTATCGAACCGAGCTAGCCTCTAGGCTAGCTACCACTCCACCGAAAAGTATAGATGAGCATTGGTTGCAATTGCATGACGCCATGAAAATGGCGGGAACAGTCAGTTGTGGGTTTGCGAAACGTCCCGCTTATAAGCACTGGGTTTCTTCTGGTTCCTTACAACTCATTGAAGCCCGTCGGTCTACTCCGGGTGACCGTGAGTTTGACCATAAACGAAGGATGTTACGTAAGGAAATTGGGCAAAGCTTGCGTAAGGACCGAGAAGCCTGGTGGTCGATGCGTGCTAATGAGCTGGAAGCAGCAGCTGCATCTGGTAACTACCGGAAGCTCTTCCAGCTCATCCGAGCCACTGGCAGCAAGAAGTCTGGTGTGAGTGAAACAATCTGCGAGGATGATGGGATGCCAATCACTAACATCCATCGACGTCTTGGACGATGGGCAGAATTTTTCGAAGGGCAGTTCAACTGGCCTGCTGCTCCGGCAACATCGGTCAGACTGTCCTGCCCTCCATGGCCGGTGACGACTGATCCACCAAACGAGGAGGAAGTCCGCAAGGAACTCCAACTCTTGAAGCGTTACAAATCACCTGGCCCAGATGACTTACCTCCGGCTCTTTTTAAAGATGGTGGTGACTTTTTGACTAAGGAATTGACGACGTTGTTTACAAAGGTTTGGGAACTAGAGAGTGTACCAACGTCATGGAATGAGTCGATAGTTGTCCCTATCTTTAAAAAGGGTTCACGTCGTTCTGTAACAACTATCGGGGGATAAGTTACTTCCGATTGCGTCCAAGCTATTGGCTTCCGTCATTCTTCGTAGGTTGTTCAAAACCCGAGAAAGATTGACTCGCGAGGAGCAGGCTGGGTTTCGTTCTGGTCGAGGATGTATTGATCATATCTTCACCCTCCGCCAAATGTTAGAACACCGCCATACTTTCAAAGGCCAACAATCGTAGTGTTTCTTGACATCAGGGCTGCCTTCGATTCGTTGGACAGGACTGTTCTCTGGGATTGTCTATTGAAGAAGGGTGTGCCTGAGAAGTTTATTAACATCCTAAAAGCCCTATATAAAAACACCTCAGGCAGAGTGAGGGCATACAACCACCTCTCTCCATTGTTCCATTCGAGCAGTGGGGTTAGGCAGGGTTGCCCAATCTCACCATTCCTCTTCAACTTTGCCATCGATGACATTCTGGAAACAGCTCTGATGAATGTAAGTAATGGTGGTGTGGATCTGTTGCCTGGAGAAAGACTTCTCGACCTTGAGTATGCGGACGATATTGTCTTACTGTGCGATAATGCCCAAGGCATGCAATCCGCACTTAATCAGTTGGCAATCAGTGTCCGTAGGTATGGTATGTGCTTTGCACCTTCGAAGTGCAAAGTACTTCTACAAGACTGGCAGGATTCTAATCCTGTACTCACCCTGGATGGTGAGCAGATAGACGTAGTTGAGAAGTTCGTGTATCTGGGTAGCTGCATAAGTGCTGGTGGGGGTGTGAGTGATGAGATCAATGCACGAATAGTGAAAGCCAGAGCGGCTTATGCCAATCTGGGCCACCTTTGGCGCCTTCGTGATGTTAGTCTGGCTGTAAAAGGTCGGATCTACAACGCGTCGGTGAGAGCAGTTTTGCTCTATGCTTGTGAAACCTGGCCTCTCCGAGTTGAGGACGTTAGACGACTCTCTGTGTTCGATCATCGCTGTCTCCGAAGGATTGCTGACATTCAGTGGCAACACCATGTCAGTAATGCAGAGGTTCGGCATCGTGTGTTCGGGCACAGAGATGATAATCAATTGGTGTCACCATCTTGAAACACCGACTTCGGTGGCTTGGACATGTTCTCCGAATGTCGTCCCAGAGAATTCCACGTCGTGCATTATTTGCCGACTCTGGGACTGGTTGGAAGAAGCGGAGAGGTGGTCAGTGCATGACATGGTGTCGTGGCATGAAAGAAAGCTGCAAAGGACTGGCTTGTGTTGGTCCTTCACGACTCCCTGGTTGGGGTCCGAGAGATGGTGCTACACAGTGGCTAGAGACGTTATCAGATATGGCTCAGAATAGAAGCCAGTGGCGATCCTGCTGTAACCTTCTTTTACTTTCTTCATAAAAAGTGGTTGTGTCTCCTTTACCTGAAAGATTTCTTCTGATTGTACCTTTTCGTTCCGTCGTTACTACCACACTACCTTACTCCAATCTCTTCGTTATTGTTCTCTTTTTTGTCTATTTCTCTTCGAATTCTCATTGTTTTGTGTGGCGCATATATATTGGCGCTCTCTTGTACCAATATTCATGTGTTCAAATAAATAAATAAATATTATTATTGAAATAGACATAACCAAATCTAACTGTTTGTAAATTTAAATTCTAGTTTATTTCTTAGTTTCTTTATTCTTTCCACCCCATAATTTGATAATTTACAGAAAAGATCAAACATCTGTCCAAAAATGCGGTGTACTACATGTGAATACAATTAATAATGATAAATGTAATCCTAGTTCAAATGAATTACACTTGTCCAATCTTCAATTTCATTCAAATGATAATCCATTAATAACAAATAACCATTCTATTCGTGGTCTACCTAAACCGGATGTAATTCGTTGGCTTGAAAATACTCGTGATGCTACTATAAGTAATAATTGTCAAGTTATAAGTAAATCTGGTTTATCACATCTTTCATCATCTGCATCATTAAATCAATCAGATTTCAATACAGATGATCATCAAGCAATTAATGAAGTACCTGAAAAAATATCTTTGAATATCATTGAATCACCTTCGGTGAATAAATCTCAGGAATCAATAAATAGTAAAGACTCAGTAGTGACAATTCGTCTGATAAATACTAAACGTGGTGAAAATTTAGGTATACAAATTAAACCTGTCTTTTCGGATGTCTTTAACTCTAACAATGATAATTGTTCAGATAATAATGGCGGATCAAGAATGTAAGTGTCCAGTAATATTCACTTATTTATTTATTTATTTATTTATTTATTTATTTATTATGAGTTATGATGAATGTGCACTCGGGTATCAACCATTAGGTTGCAGATATGAAACTGGCTTGAGTTTGAGCATTTCTCGTAGTATTACTGGCTCAAAGCGGAGTATTTAGGCCTGTTTTTGTTAACTAAGTTCATAGTTTCTCTAAAAATATTTTTAAATGATATCTCAATTCAGCGTTTAAATTATTATCTGATGTTATATTGAGAAATGCCTAAAATTAGATACACTACTAAGTTTGCACTATTCCTATTCAATGAACCTTCCCAACTAATTTTGTTATCGGTTCACTGCCAGATCTTCAGAGTTTTTCAAGGACAACATTATCGTGGAATCATGATTTTCAAATCTTCCATAGTTAACAAGATATTTTCATTGCTAGTCAACCTACCATTTGGATTTGTGTGTTTTCCAATATCACTAACACGTACATCTACACTTTTTTTCACTCTAGTTTTATTTATTTATTTGAACATATAAATATTGGTACAAGTGGGGCAGCAAATACATATGCGCCACACAAAACAATGAGAACGGGAAGAGAAAAAATAAGGTAAGGTGCGTATAAGGAACAAAAGAAAAAAAGAATTATAACGACTGATTAGTGTAAGGTAGTGTAATGATAATAACAATAATGAGGGAAACGGAAAGGTACAACCGGAAGAAATCTTTCAGTTAAGGAAGATACAACCACTCTTTTTATGAAGAAAGTAAAAGAAGGTTACAGCAGGATCGCCACTGGCTTCTATTCTGAGCCATATCTGATAACGTCTCTAGTCACTGTGTAGCACCATCTCTCAGACCCCAGATAGAGAGTCCTGAAGGACCAACAGAAGCCAGCCCTTTGTAGCTTTCTTTCATGCCACGACACCATATCATACACTGACCACCTCTCCGCTTCTTCCAACCAGTCCCAGAGTCGGCAAATAATGCACGACGTGGAATTCTCTGGGACGACATTCGGAGAACATGTCCAAGCCACCGAAGTCGGTGTTTCAAGATGGTGACACCAATTGGATTATCGTTTCTGCGCCCGAACACACGATGCCGAACCTCTGAATTACTGACATGGTGTTGCCACTGAGTGTCAGCAGTCCTTCGGAGACAACGATGATCAAACACAGAGAGTCGTCTAACGTCCTCAACTCGGAGAGGCCAGGTTTCACAAGCATAGAGCAAAACTGCTCTCACCGACGCGTTGTAGATCCGACCTTTTACGGCCAGACTGACGTCACGAAGGCGCCATAGATGGCCCAGATTGGCATAAGCCGCTCTGGCTTTCACTATACGTGCATTGATCTCATCACTCACACCCCCACCAGCACTTATGCAGTTACCCAGAGTGGGGTGAGCCCACCCTCCCCCTCAAAATGCTCTCACACGACCACAGCCAGGGAAGCCCTACTCACTGCCTTCTCGTGGCGGGGGTTTTGTTTACGAAAATGAAAGGACGAAAAGCGAATGTCCGGCGCTTTGACCGGGTCCCAAACCAATGGTGCACATGGGCTCCAGTATCCTGCGGGAACAAATGGCGTATGAACCAATTGCTGGTCACCGGCTACCATGGGACTGCATCTCCTCACGATGCTCTGCTACCTTGTGGGTCAGACCTTTAGGTGAAATACGTGGGGTGTGTTCCCCTAAGAAGACCACTTGCTTCGGTCTGGGCACCCGGGCAGTATCACAGCCCACACACAAATAAAATGAAAATGATGATATTTAAATCTAGTTAATTTCACCTAAATAGTACGGTTATTGCTTATTAGTCAACTTAACTATTTGTAATTAGTAGCCTCCCAATAATTATCCTATTCATTCACATTTTGACCTAACCTTGATTATAATTTAAGGTTATTTATTTGAATTCTGACTAACAACTGACTAGGCCCAATTTATCGGAATGGAGGTTAGTGAAGATTGTAGTAATTTTAATAGTTGAATTAATGAGTCAATTTAAGCTAGACCACTATTGAAAACGCGGGAGCACTGGGCGGCCATTTCGTCCTATCATGGAACTCCACAGCCATTAAAATTATTACAATCTTCACAAACTCCCATTCTGATAATAATCATCACGTGATCACTAGCGACTTGCTTCAAGATGAATTTCCTGGAGCTCTAGTGAGAAGCCGTGACCGGTGAAGTTCAACTGTGTTTGTTGTGAGGCAGTTACTCACTGAAGACAATGGTGGACGGCCGCGTAATATCGTGGATTGGTTGAAATTAGATATTAACACCGTTGGATGCTGGCTCAGTAGTCTAGAGGTTAAGCGTTTGCGCGCGCGACTGAAGGCCCTGGATTTGAGTCCCGCGTGCAGGATCGTGGGTACGCACTACTGATGAGTCCCATACTAGGATGAAACGGCCACCCAGTGCTTCCAGATTTTCAATGGTGGTCGGGTTTAAATCGAATCATTAATTCAATCATTAATTTTTCTAACAAAACCATCCAATTTCCTCTCGTTTAACATACAGCAAGATATAAAACACATGAGAATGTATTCACGTATAGCTGAAATATACTTTAATTAACATTTATGATTTAATGATAACGTTCTAAGGGCAAAATTAACTCTTTAAAACTGAAAATCAATAACTTTATCAAACCTGGTATAAGATAAAATGGTTTGTAGTTTACCTAATGAAATTAACTATGACAATGATATAAGTTTACTGCGTTTTCGTAACTATCTAAATATTAATAATGGTAATAATACGAATGAGAATTCCATAAGTTTAGTTTTTAACCCACTATGGAACTTTTATACATTATGCGTGGGATTTTTCATTCTGAATTACTTTTTATTATGTATTAAACCATTTTCCTGCCTTGTTTTTATTGCATAGATAATCATTATCTTAAATTAATCTTTAAATTGACACACTGAACTGGTTTTTCTCAAATGACTATAATATGTAATATTTTATCCCGATACTATCCTGTTTTTGAATTGCCCATTCATTATTATTCTTAAAATAGTTTAGTGATTCCATATATGTCTGATCAATATGATTATTCTTTCTGAGAAAATAAAAATGGAAGAAAAGGTAACGATTTGATTTCGAGAGAACGAAAAATATTACAAAAAATGAATATTATTTAATTTCCTGTACTCTTCATTTCTATCAATGAAACATTAGTACTTATAGTAGTATAAACTATGTTCTAAGAAATGCATTCAACTAGAAATTGTTTTCAATTTGTATTGTTCTTGCCTGGTTTATAAAGTGAAGACTTTCATTTCATATAAATAATTGCTTAATTAAATTACGAATTAAAATGATTTACAAGTTGTTTGTTTTATTTCGACTTTGCAACTGGAATACTAGAATACAAACTACCTAGTTGAGGTCCACCATGATTATCATGGGCAACATGGCTTGGAATTGTCCACAGTAGTATACATAAATTCACTATCTTCTTTTAGATTCTAAGTCTCGAAATCTCATACTTTTTTTCTTCTTTCCACGCGTAGTCCTGTTTACTACTACTGATAATATTGTTAACCCTAATATTCTTGGATTTGTTTTGATAATATTTCCCCGTGAAGCTAATGTTGTGCGGCAACTGGAATCGATGCATATATGTGCCAGGTTCTACGTTACGCATGATTGACTGACTGCAGCTGGAATAAATCAGACATAAGAATTAAGGTAATTGTAATAATAATTATCTAAAATAAATATAGAGGAGTATATAACGTAGTATTTTTTCAGTACACCAACCATATTTTTATGCAGAAATTAAGCTGTCATTTACACCATACTACGTAATGTATTTCAACCGGAAGCTTAACTCAGTACAAAAGCACTCGGTCACTACACTACTGAACTCGTATCATCAGTCAAACAGCTGTTAATATTAATCGTCACCGGATTACCGTAACTCAGTAGCTAAGTACAAGTTCAACCCAATTTTTGAATTACATGTTTTATGAAAGCTAACTATATTACACGACTAACCTAACAGTAGTTGGTGTAAGGTTCGAACCTGGGTCTCACAAATCGAGATTTAAATTATCTAAGCACTGAGCACGGTTCTTAAGTGAAAAATCGATAGGGAGTAGGTACCCATACATATAACATAAAGCTTTCATTAAACTTAACATAAAACTAGGATAGATTTCTCAACTAAAAAGTTGCAAGAAAACCATCTAAACAGCTGACAGGCTAGGTATTGTGTATTAACTAACCTGGCGATTATTAAATTAAAACTAATGGTTGCATGATAAATAAGTGATATATCCGTAACATGTTCAGTGGTCTTTTGTAATATATTCCAACTGATTATGAACTCAGTTTATCAGAAATAGAATTCTTGACATAATATCTTTTCTGTTGATGTATATAAGTGAAAAAGAGAATATCGCTATTCACTTTATAACCCTTTATAAATCTATTGAAAATATCGCAGTTTTTACCAATGCTTTAGATAGTCTAATTTAAAGCAAAATAAATGGGTAATCACTTTTATTTCTTATTTCTTATTAAGTGAATGTGGTCTTGAAGTTCATTGTATTTTACCGAATGGGCGTGTAGCACGTGAACAATGTTTATCTGTTGGAGATCGGATTTTAAGTATTAATGGAATTTCATTAAGCGGTATACCATTTGAAAAGTTAGTTATATTTTATAAACCATTATTTATGTTTATTTTCTACTGAAGTAAAACAGTAGTGCATCTGTTTTAATTAAAAATGAAACTTTGCACCCTAGTGAGGTTTTTACATTTAGATCAGTTGACCTTAATCTGTATATTTTCATCTTTTAGCAAATTTGTGCCCACCTGGGACACAAGTAGTGCCGTTAACCTTTCGGCATAATGTAAGCAATCTTGTTTTTCTTTTGCTATTTGGTTGTTTGGAGGGAATCATGGACCTACGTCTCTTGATCGGTGGCATTGTAAATAAGGCTTACCTGCAATCTTGAGGAGACTAGTGCTACTTCGTGGGATCGAAACGGAGGCATTCAACTTCACAGTTTGCGAAACCACTACTGAACTATTCGGGCTGCTACTGACCTTGTTTCTTATGTTAGAGAGTCTATACTACTACCTAGTCTAATACTACGAGAAATAACGTCTTTATGAATGTACGTTAATAGTGTAGTTTTGGCTCTAATATTCAATAAAATGCTGATAGTACCACCAGGGCTGTACACTTTTTGTTTATGGCTTTGATATAAACCAAACATACTTCATGAATCAGAAACCTATTAGCCATGCTACACTGTACATCCGCGGGAAAGCTTTCCAGTATCCTAACCAAACCCACTCGTTGTGTAATTCACAACAAACTTTTAAATATAGATTGTTATTCATTAATCACACGTAGCAAAATGATGATGGCTAACCTTTTTCTACTGTTAATGAACATCGCTACTATGTATTGAACTATCTGTTTTTGAGGTTGGAGCAATGGCTTGGTGGTTAAGGCTTTTGAATTTCAGCCACTAAGTCTCAGGTTCAAATTCCTCTCCAACCACTTCGGTTAGGTCAACTTTGTAGTATCATTAGCCCTCACACGTAGTGTTGATCATACCCAAGTACCTGGGGAACGAGTTAATTTAGATTTGGAAATTAAGATTAATCTTTTCTTAAACATGAATAAATAGAGGCTAATTTAGTGAATATCTAGATGGCCTATTTATTATTTTTAAGGACAAATTGTAAAATCGGTACTAGGAACCACTAAATAACGTTATTTTAATTATATTCCATCTATTCTCTTCATGAATAGCTGATACAATATTAAAAGCTAACTACTAATTGGAATATCTAACCCCTCTATCTTATTCATCGTTGAGGGTCCATTTTTAACTAGCTTTGCGGTAGCTTCGCTCAAAGTTTTGGCGATAAGTAAAACTGGTGGTTTTAACACCACGGGAATAAAACAGTAGTTACTTACGAACCTAGATGATTTTTGCATTGTAAGATGGATGTACTGAGTGTGTAGATTTAAACTATTTGAACTTCGACTAAGTACTCTAAAAGTGTCGTGCTCACCTTGTAGTACACATAAATCCTGGTTGGGTTCGTAGAAGTCCATACTGTTAAGAAGTCTGTCTAGTGGAGTGTTTAACCTTCACTTGTCTTCACACATAAAGCATGGCTCAAACCCGAATACACGAATCTTTTCTTAATAAATGAGTTACTGCCCAGTATTGTTTTCTCTAGTATTGTTCATTTTCAATGCTTCTCAATCTTATCCCAGTTTATGGTGAAAATTACCAATAAAATTCCATTCTGTTAGTCCACCTAATAAATCTAAGCAACATCATATAGATCATGTCCACAAATTGGTTCTATTTTAATAGTCATTTTAGTTTTTTCTTGTAAAATATTTTTATAATACTTTTTTTTTCTGTCAAGGGGTCGTGATATATTTCAAGAGGCATTAAATGAACCAGAAATAATACTTCGTGTACTTCCTCATTCAGCCTACCAATACAGTTCTTCACTATCTATACAAAACATTGATAAAATAAACAGGACAACTACAGAGAAATCAGAGAAACCTTCATGTGGTCTAATTGTTATCGTATCCGATCCATTGTCTAAAGCTAAAGAAGTTGAAATAAAATCTAGTTCAAATCAGTTAAAACCTATACCACCACCACCACCTCGTCGTTCTCCCAACACTGTATTAACTCGTATTCCAGAAGGGATTATTAAACCATTAATTGACGAATTTTTAAAAGAGAAAAAACAACAAGAAAATAATAACAATCAATTACCATCATCACAAGAACTAACAAAATCTGTTGTCAACTCACAAACAAATATTGTTAATAATAATAATAGTGATGATTTGCACACATTTACTTATCATACAATTCATTTATGCAAAGGTAAAATGGATTTTCTCGTATAATAATATAATTATTTCAATATTCTATGTATAGTCAGTTAGTCATATAGTTGATATAGAGTTATCCAATAATAATGTATGCGATTCCAGGTTGATATATACACCATACTAGTACAATGGGATGGAACTAATAAGATGAATAGCAAATAAAGTTAAGATAATAGTAGTAGTAGTACTATCAACTATAGTTAAAAAAAAGTCTAAATATTTAAGTATATGGTTAAATAGAAAGGTATATACGAAGGACAATTGGAACTCTAATTCTCGGGTGGAGATAAACGATAAATGCAACTGTGTTACACAGTGCTTAACTATTGTATACACTTGTGTGTGTAAATACTCTTTTTTCCTGAATTTCATTCAAAATATTGATGAGAAATATTCATACAGCATTAATAAGTACATTTACTAATACTTTATTCAGTTCAGTTAACAGAATTTTATCAAATTCACAGAAAAGATTCAAAGAGCGACAAATCTGTGGGTGAACACAATTGTTATTTAATTCCCATAATACTATTAGTATTAGTAATATTATCATTACAAAGGTGCCTTTTGTAAGTCTTCGAAAATTAATCGACATGAAACCGACCATTTTCAGCTCATATGACTTCATTAACATACTCTAAATTGTAAATCAGGATCTTGTACACCGATGACCACTTTCCATAATATTTCTTTTAAAACTTCATCTTTAATAATAGGTTACGAAAAAAAATAATGAAATACGCAGTCGGACAATCTATTTTTGATCATATCTGAATGACATTGTTAAAATTGTGTTAGTCAAATAAAAATCTCTCCTTTTTTCATTATGACATTAATTTATTATTATTTTTTGTGAACTTGATCTGTCAGCGATGGTGTCTATTCTCAGAGTTTAAAGGCAGATAATATTTACTGTTAAACTACTTGGTTGTGGGTCAGTCTTTAAAAACATCTATACTTAATTCATCGGAACTTACTGCTCTGTTTTGCTTCGAATCTTCGTATTTCTGCTGTCAGACTAATATGCTGCAGTGACCCAGGTAGAAGGTCTCATATGACTAGCTGAACTTAAAAGGACCCAGAAAGACTCATCGTTTCAATTGTCTGAATTGATACTGGACTCCACTTATCCTTCTTTCTTTGAAATATTCTAAATAACTGCTATCTCTTTATTTCAATCCAATTTTCTTGAGATATCTGAATAGCTTTACTATTACTTATCTTTCATGCACCTTTTTTGCTTTCATTGTTATCAAAAGAGCTTATACTAATTACTTACACTTTTGATCTATAAAAAAACTGCTTAAATTTTACATACTCAGTGGTATCAATTATTCTCATTGTCTTAAATAAAGCAAGAACAAAGATTGGTGCAGAATAATATGAATTCATTTTATTTCGTTAGGTTCTCATCAGCTGCTTACAATCTGTAATATTTAAAATTCAAATTACTACAGATATTGACATATTTATACATAAGAGTGTGATGAAGGATCAGTACATGTGTATGATGATGTAGCAAAGATTCAGATAGAGTTAATGAGCTCATAAAATGTTTGATTCGAATAAATAAATAAAGTTAGAGAGGGAAAGTTCTGGAACATTGAAATAGTGATTAGAACTCATGAAAATAGATTAATGGTAATAAAGAAAATATGAATTGAAATCAATCATTTATGTATGATGTAATTTAAACTTCAGAAAGAGTTGCAATAATGACGCAATAAATAAATAAATAGGAGCAAATGAATAGAAAGGGTGGGGGTTATTGTTACCAGGGTAAAGAAAGATTTATTACTGTCTCTTTTTGTATACATAGATCTGGTTTTAAACGTTTGATTGCTAACGCTTCAGCGAATTTCAAAAGGTTGGAGTTTGATTGTTTGTTAATCACTTTGAAGGACTTCAGTATATCAACTTCATGTCCTGTATCAATGAGGTGTCTTGCGATAGCACTGTTGAATGCCTTCAATCCATTTAACCTTAAACTTTTCGGACGTAGGCTCTCCTTTCTGTTCTACCAATGTAACTGCTTTGGCAGGTACATGTAAATTTGTATACACAGTTGGTGGTAACATGAAAGGGATACCTGTCGACCTTTGGTTGTGTCAAAGAACATGTTGTTTTGGACAGGACAATCAATTTCGCTGCAGGATAAGTTCTTGTCAGTGTAGTTTTGAGTCTCATATTGATTGATCCTGTGACATCGTCACCTTTGAATTGAAGTTGAATAAAAATAGGCTTTTCATTTGCTGTAATTTCCTTCGGTTTTTTATCTTCACATTTGCCGTATTTCTCAATAAATTTCAGTGGGTATCCGTTATTCTTTAAACATTTTTTAACATTCATAACTTCCTCTTTTAGTGTATCGGAAGTACATATTCTTTCTGTTCTGTGAAACAGTGTTTTGACCAGTGCCTTTTTGTAACTGATTGGACAAAAGCTATTGAAATTAAGATAATTACCATTCCATATGTCTTTCTTATAAACTGAACGTTGGACTGTACCATCCTTTCTTCTTTTCATCGCGATATCGAGAAAATGGAACTTGTTTTCTTTTTCATGTTCCATAGTGAAATGGATATTCGGATGTGCTTTGTTGAAAAACTCTAGCAGATTTATTGCATGTTGTTTAGTATTACATACGATGAATATATCATCAACATACCTCGAATAATACGTCATTCCGACATACAATACTAGATGACGATAGCGATTCGATTGAATCCTCATCTAACGAAGTGATTTTGACATATGTTACGCAGATAGACCCTGACTTTCTGGTTAGAATCCGCGTGATTATCGTAACCTATGGTTAGAGATGTTTAATAATGGCTCATAAACGTAGATACATTCACTTTCTGTCTTCTCTTGAATCTTGAGTCTCGAAATTTCCTTATAGTTTTTCTCATCTCTATATATAATCTTTTGTACTACTGATTCAACTACTATTAATTCTACTATTTTGGTATGTTTTTTAATAATCTTACCTTTCTGTGCTAATGTAGTGTGGGAACTTGAACCGATGCACGTGTGTCAGGTTTTACTTTGCGTATGACTGATTGACCTGCACTAATCATTTCGTTAGTTTGATTTCGTTGTGCTAATATGATGTGACAGCTTGGTCCAAAACATGTTCGTTCCAAGCTCTCCGGTGGTTTTGACTAAATAACCAACAGTATTATTATCTAACGCTAATGTCTTTCGGGAATATCAGTTTTCTGTACCTAGTTTTAACTGTTTCTTGTTTTTTTATTGATTGTTTTTTCAGGTTCTAATGGATTGGGATTTAGTTTAACTAGTCGTGATTCATTGACATCATCGGGTCAAAAAGTTATCTGTGTGAAAAATATACTACCAGGTGGAGCAGCTCTAATCGATGGCCAATTAAAACCTGGTGATCTTCTAATGAAGGTAAATAAATGGTCTTTCTCCCACTAAAAGAAAAAAACCTATCTAATTTTATTCTAATTAACCTTAAATCAAAAATTTTGATAGTGTTTAATCAAGAAAGATTTCGTAGCTTTTGAAAGTTCCAACCTATCTTGGTGAAGCAGACCTTGTTAGCTCTCACCATACATAATGTTGCCACAGAATTACAATAATAAAGTAGAAGTTCTACAACATAAATCGAGCCGTTATCAAGAATCTCTAGCTTCATGGCTTTAGGTTACACAAGTTCAAAAAGAAGCAGGTTTCATTGAAACTTTGTTTAGTCAACCTAGCGAAGTATTCTATCTATGGTAGAAGAATAGCGGTGAATATATTTAAAGATTTTCAACAAGAAATATTTTAAAAGCTAGCAGTTCCCCACAGACTTATCCGAATTAATTTATGCCGAGAAACCTATTTCAGCTCTCTCCGACCTCGATATGAAAGTTTAAAACAAATTTGTCAGATTTCTATACACTGACTTACTAGAAACACTAAATAAAACGGTATGTAAATGAGTCAAATGTCTTTTAGTACTAGTCAGCAGTTATTTAATGCTATTAAAAAGACTAACTTAATAAATTGTATGGCTATTCACTTAGCTACGGAGTCTATATGACTGCTGACTTGTGCAACAGGGATGAATTTCAATTCATTCGTAAGTAAATGGCAGTATCGTGATAGCCCACGCAAGATGCACATATACAGGAAAAGACTGATCAGCTCCGGGGAAGATTTTAAAAAAGTCCCTACAAATTAAATTAAGATTCATCTTTGTTACACAAGTGAGTGGCTATTTGGACTCAATAGCTCGTTGGATAAAATTTCAAGCGTTTGGGCCAAAAGGTACTGGGTTCGAGTTTCACTGTGAACACCAACACTGGGATTCACGTGCATCTCAAATAAAATAAAATATGCTGTTTGAATTCCAGTCTTAACCACTACTCAACTCTACTTAAAAACAATATAATATTCTAGAAAATAATAGTTCTACTGTCTGTATGCAAATGCAATTTCTAATCTTTGTATTATTTTCTGTGTATAAATTTCGGAAGTCAATAGAGAAAATTGTTTTCTATTATCTATTTTTTATGCATATATATATATAGGTTGATAATATTGATGTGAATGAAATTGGTCAAGCACAAACTGTCGCATTATTACGTAGTAAACCTGTAAATACTTTTGTTACTTTAGTTGTCAAACGATCAAGAAATAATTCCCATAATGCAGATATCAATAATAATAATAATAATAACAATAATAATAATAATAATGACCATAATAATCTTGATCAAGCATGTCTACCTGATTTGAAAACTATGCAACCATCTGTTATCTGTACAATAGCATCAAGTTGTTGTATAAATACTGTAAATGAACAACCAACAAAATCAATATTATCTTCAATATCCTCATTATCATCAACATCACAACCAATAACACAACAACATAATGAAAGAGTGATTGTGGAACAACCATCTAGTCATGATATAAAAATACCTGATAAGGTTAGCATTGATAATTGTATTTTTTTCATTAGTGAATAATATTGTACCAAACCAACCTGATTTCTAGATGATAGTCTTAATTTTTTTTTAATATTCGTTAAACTACATCAGATCTGTTACAATTGTATAATGCTTACGTGAAAGACTAATCAACTACTTAAAATTCTAACGGAATAGTACCATTGTTCATACTGTGAAAGGTCAAAAGTTGAAAGTAAAACGGTTAATAAAACAAGTTCATAAAAACAGAATGTAGGAGGGGGGATAAAAGTTGCATCCATACATTTCTCGCTGTTATTCATTACTATTGAATGTAAGTTATTGATTTTGACCTTCTTCCCATAAGTCTCCTAGAAATACCTCAAGTTACACTGTTTTTTTTGTTGGTTAATTATTGATAGCCTCTAGCTGGTAAAGATAACCACAATAACAACTTTTAAATTAACTAGTCTGGATTTAACAACATGGCTCAGACCAGAAGTTAGTGACTTTAGGGATTGATGCCACGTTTTGGTTTGACCACCCCTAACTTTCTTCCGTCTATCTCCAACACTAGTCACATGGCGCACCGTGGTATTCGGTGGTTGAGTATGAGTAATACGTGGCTTAACCAGTCAATGCAGATTCACAATCTCATCAACTGATTTACTATCATTCCCTGTTATCCTGCGTCTAACCTACAAACTACGATTCTGATTAAAGAAGTAAATTGTAAAAGAAACATTAAAATGTAATAAACTGTTTATTTCAATCTTTTATACACATAGTTCCCTTTATGATTTTGAAAAGAGCAAGAACAAAGATTCTAGTTGTAGTATTGCTATACTATACGAATATGTCTTTAATATAACAATATAACTTCGACCAAACTCTTTCATGTAAATAATTTAAACCCACTATGTAATTATAATTTTAAATATCACAGGTTATAAGCGGCTGACGAGAACCTACGATAAAAAATGAATTCATGCTATTCTGCTAGAATCTTTATTTCAATCTTGTAAATATGAATATAGGGTATTAGCAATACAACAAATCTACCGGTCTAAGAAGACTAGATGTTATGTTCTGAAACAATTGTTCATTTCAATATTTTTATTTTTTTAATCATGTATTTTCTATTACCATTTACTGTTTATTCTAATCGATTTTCATTTTTGTGTATGTTTTGTATGTTAATACATTGTAAAACATAACAGTTTTTTTTAATACTTTTACTCTCATGTACTAGGCTTTGCATTCAATAGTACATATTATATTTTTATCTATTACTTGATAGTTAGTATTTTGTTCTGCAAAGTATCCCATTATCAATTTTTTACTTATTGACTATCCCTAATGAAGTTTAGCTTATTTTTCTTTTTTCACCGATGATTTATTGAACTACTTCGCTGACTTGGAAATCTATCTTAATAATAGTAGTAGAGTGATCCTCCTTCGGTTTGACGCCCGTGCAGTATTCCAGCCCTCACACAAATCGAATGTCGAAGTGTGATACATATATATTTGGTGCCTCCTTATACCAAGGTTTATATGTTTAAATAAAATAATAATAAGTAGAGTGATACTTATGTTATAATTTGTCGTTTGAATGCCTATTGTCTTGGCTCTTTTAATGCTACTTTTCGTATCTGGTCGTCGTTGATTGTTATGTCGGAAACGTTTATCACTTATACTCGGAACGAGGGACCTCTGCAATTCCCACGACGCGAAAGTAAGAACACAAATACGACGACGACGATTCTAGTAGAAAATACACTCATCTATATATTGATTGTACACCCTGCGGTTACGCTCCCAGGTTGTTAAGACCAGCAATAATCCAACTTCCTTTATTGATTGGCCAGTCAGTCTGTAACAACGTGGAACTTCGTACGCAAGTACATCAGTTCGAGTTGCTATACCACATTAGCACAGAGATGCAGTTGTCGATTCAATCCCGTAGTGTTAGAGGTAGTAAGAGTACAAGCAGTAATCGGAAATTTCATACGCATCGTTCCCTTTATCATTTTGGAGAGAGCAAGAACAAAGATTCTAGCAGAATAACATGAATTCATTTTATTTCGTAGGTTCTCGTCAGCTGCTTACAACCTATAGTATTTAAAAAGATAATAATTACATACCGGGTTTAAATGCTTACATGAGTGGGTTTATATTGAAGAAATAATCGTAAAGTATGACATGGGTGTAAATGAAATTAATAGGCTGAATATTGTAAATATATACCTACGTCATCAATTGATTTGCCATCCTTACCTAGTACCCGTTTCCTAACAACTGCGTTACTTACTCAATGGTCCCAGGATATACGAGCAATGTTTCGAAGACACCTATGGTCAAATACTAGTAACCTACGAATATCCTCTACTCTTACCGGCCATGTTTCACTGCCATAAAGTAGGACGAAACGAACTGCTGCGCAGTAAATACGTCCTTGGGTTGATAGACGGATATCCCGCCTACGCCATAAATGACGCAAGTTGGTAAAAGCTAGTCGAGCCTTCTGTATCCGTGCTGAGATTTCGTCACACACCATACCACAAGGGCTGATGAGACTTCCAAGATAAGTGAAGCGGTCGACCCACACAACTACTTCACTCCCTATCATTAGCTCGGGTGTCAATGCAACCCAATCCTGAAGCAACATTTTACATTTCGAGGGAGAGAATCGCATCCCGAACATGCTTGCATTGTTGCTTAGAGTGGTCAGAAGACTGTATTTTGTCAGCGTCTTCACTAAATAGAACAGATAATAGCGACTGTCTTCTATCGAACCTCTCCATCGGTGGCTGATAGCGATGTCATCTATTGGGTTTCACAAGTGTAAGAAGTCACTAACAGGTGGACTGAGTGAGCCATGTTGGTAGGTGTAGACTACCTGGTTGGGGACTGCGAGATGATAACAACTGATGGTTAGAGACCCTGAATGACATGGCTCAAAATCGTTTGCAATAGCTCAGGTGCATCCACTCTTTGTGTTCTCCTAAATTCTAATCTTCTGAATTCTTCATGTCCCTTTTTTCTCCTTCCAAATCTATTTCACTGGATTATACTCCTTGGATAACATCTTCAAACCCTAATCTTTTCGATTACTGCTTGTACTCTTACTACCTTTAACAATACGGGATTGAATCGACAACTGCATCTCTGTGCTAATGTGGTGTGGCAACTCGAACTGATGTACGTACGTACGAAGTTCCACGTTGTTACTGACTGAATGACCAATCAATATAGTAATATTTGCAGTAATTATAGTAATCATTAGCTTCAAGATGGAATTGTAATGTCAAAAGAATAGCCGTGATTTATGGAATTTAACTAATACTAAAAGTGATACAGATGGATGACATTTAATAATCGTCATTCTGTATCCGCAAGCTTACTGAAATCGGAAATGTGAACCAGTGAATTTAGTCCAAACTGCTAGATCTGAAGATTGAAAAATCTATCCAGTGTTCAAACATAGCCTTCTCTCTCTAATACGAAGAACGAAATAAGACAGGAAAAATAATTTTGATGTTTTCTTAGCTCATGTTTACTAGCCTTCAAAACTTATTTTAGACTGAACCATAATTGTAATTCCCAAATCTAAACAATAATGAAAGTCTCTCAATTCCCTTAGTTGTAATTTTCGTGTGTGTGTGTGTGTGTGTACGGAATAACCAACAATAGTTTACAAACTAATATTACTATTACTACGACTACCATTACTATTACCACTACTTGCATTCTGATCCGCTAAAAGATAAATCAAACTTTTCAAATGGATTACTTCTTTCCTTAGATTAGGTTAATTATAGTCTAACTAAGTTTTGATTATTTCATTTGTTTTTATGATTGGATTTTGTTGACAGAAATATTTACGTCAGCTTGTAGGATAAGAAAGTATAAATGTTTGTTATTTTGTAATTGAATACATAAATTATGAACTTATAAATAGGCTTCTTGTACTAAGATATTATATCTGATTTCAAGTTTTCGGGGTTAATATCAACTCATCTATATACATAATTAACGCAAAAATAACCCCGTTGCGCTCTGCACCATCATGCGGCTCTAAGTCAATGGTTGGTTTTGTTAATGTTTCTGATGCAAAATGAATATTTACTGGGTTTATGACTTGTGGAAAAGCTTATTATAAGTTATTATTTTACATCATCTTAGTTTGGAATATTGACAATGGTTATCTACCTTATATTTTCACACAGCTTGGATGGATTTGCCTCTTGATAATGACCAATTGAATTGAGATAATCAGTAAGGATAGATTGTATTGAAGAATATAAATTGTAGATAAACATTTTACCTCCTCAATATCTTCTGTGTCATTTATCAAATGAACAATGTACCTAGATGAATTCTATAATACAATAAGTTTTCTGATTTAATTATTTAGACTATGTAAATTATAAATCAGAATCTAAGGTCAAAAGACTTCTATCTCTTTGGATAACAGCTTTATTTATCAACTTCCTATAGCTTTTAGAGATGACACTCATTTCGTCTAACTTGGTAAATTTCCTAAGGTCTTATTTGAACGTTTTACCGTCAAAGTGAAGTAAAGTTAACAAAATACATTCTTTTGAATAATTTAATTCATTTATCAAGGACCTCTTTTTTTTACCTGAGCAATGTCGCTTTAAGGTTTGTATATTTCAATGCCCAGTTTGTTATTAGAGTAAAGCAGTTAAGGTTGTTGAACTATTCAGTTATTTGGGTAGCCTTATTAGAATTGATGAGTTGATGTCTGACTATTACTACGCATCTTACTGTGACCTAGTAAAATATCTCTACACAAAATGATTCTTAATTATAATAATCCCGCTTTGTTTAACTCTTAAATAATCTCCACATAGATTTCGTTATCAGTACTGTTCCTAATCATAAAGTTGTACATTTGTCATAATGTGAGTGCCTAATCTATAAGATCTCATGTGGAAGTCACATCATTGTCTACACTGACTCGTCCTATCGTAATCATCATCAATATATGGTGGATAACACATTTAGGCTGGAGATGGAAAAATATATTTAATATGAATAAAAGTGATAAGACAACACACAAGAATGACCACGCCTGCAAGGCTGAGCCATGCCATCCGATTGGATTCAATTAATCCTTTCCGCCTTCTCCATAGTTGTGTTTTTCTCTGCATAAAATGTTGAATATCTATTTTCCCAGTTCTCTCGTTTTCAGCTTTGAGGGTTGTGTGGTTAGAGCCCAATGCCCTTACAGACCAACTTTTTTATACATCAACGGAGTTTACTGACTATTAACACCCTCTTTGTCTGTACTACAAGAACAAGTTCAAAGCGATTGATTGTCAATATTGTTTAGTCCTGTAATCGCGCATCATATTGATATTCTTTTCCTGCTCAAACTTAGAAGTGCTTTCGTCACTAAATTCGCTCTCTATCGGCTTAACTTTTTTCGCTCCCTAAAATTTAAAAAGATATAATTGTCCTGAAACAAGTTTTGAGAATAGGGCCACATATGATACTTTGGGTGAGAAAAAGTCGTACTTAGCCATACTAAGTTGATAAGTTGATGTCTGACTAGACCCAGATTTCCGATACAAAAGATTCTTATGGTTCTCATCAACTTGTGATCTTGATTTTAGCTATGTATTAAAATCCAGACATCCTACCTATAATCAAGAAGAAATTTGTATTTTATAGTTTAAATGTAACATAAAATATCGTGTCTAAAAATTGGCTGCAGTGACGCAGATTCATTCATTATTTATCTTCCCGCAAATCGCCGTGTTTATGTTTATCTATCTATTTGTGATACCTCCAGTGCATATAAAGTGTTCTAATGTATAGTTGAAAGTGAGTATACTACACAATATTTCTCCTTGTCCCATTCTACCGCTGTGAACTGTTTTCGTTGAGTTCGGAAAATATATACATTTAACATATATATGATTACTATTGTTTTTGTAAAATAATCAAACAGATAACAATGAATTGTTTGATGCTAGCTGTGGGTTGATAATAAATGAATTGTTTACCAAACACTGGATCAAACAGAGACTTGTTAGGTTGAACCTTACATTGATCAAGTAAAGGCATCTCATCATGCTACAAAAGCTCTGTCTTAACTACCTTTGTTTCTTACGCTTTTCAATTGTAGGTACTTAGTACTTTTAAAAAAATTTATCTCTCCCTCTTGTTGTTTTATCCTTTCTGTTTATCTCATTTGAACTAATCAATTCGCAACCACTTTATGTCTCCAGTCCCTTCGTCAAGATGAAATGTTTGTTACATATGAAGCCTACCTATAAATTGGAAAAACTATTATAATGATGTAACCATAAGTACTACTGATTCATTCGAACGAGTAGTGTGTCGATGTACCAAGTTCATTAGCATCCATAAAAAACTCATTGGATAAGTAAAACGCTTATCTTTAGGTAAAAAATTTGTAGATGATAATATCAAAAATATTTCTACTTTTTCTAAGACATCAAAACTTTTTACTGACTTTTTTCAACATAAAATAGTTTTTAAAATTGTAATTTATTTTCTCGTAAATCTTAACTTACACATTTGTTTTTATTTTTGCATATCCTCTATTTTAAGCTATCAGAATGGAATTGTTGTTCATCCGACATCTCTCAAAAATTCCATCCCCTTCCACCTTCACATCCTTCATATAAACTTCATGAAATCGATTCATCTCACTGGTCAATTTATTTATTGAATATACATTTACCTTTGACAAAAGCCAATGAATCCGATAAAATTACAACAATACGACAATATACAGATTCTACTGTACATCAATCAACAGTTAAACGACATACAGGTAATCCTGTCACCTTAGGTGTAAGTGTATCAGTAAGACGCTTGTCAAATAATTTTTGTGTTAATAGCAATGATGCCCTTGGTGGTGGACTCAGTAGTTCTACTACTGCTACTGCTAATACTACTTTTACTGTTAATGAAAAACATTCAAGTGTACAAATTGATAAAACTAATGATTCACAATGGAATGCTGTCTTTGTAAGAACTGTAATTGATGGTGGTCCTGCTTATCAAGTAAGTGTTGTTATGACTTGTTTATTATTTATTTATTTTCTTTTTTTTTAAATTATTTATTGTTTTGTTTTATTATTTTTTCCAAAATCTATTTTTCTGTTGTTTCTTTTTGTAATTTTCAGTTAGACGCAAAGTTTTGGTTAGGAGATTATGTTGTTTTTTTTGGGTAAAATTTTGACAGTTACAATCCTACTGATTATCTATTCATTTGTGATTTTTCTTTTTTCTTTTAAAATACAATACTGTATGCTATAATTTCATCTTGATAAAATAAGAAATTACCATTTTCCAATTCAAGGGTATTTAATGTAAACACGCATTTGGATATGTATATGCATTGATCATCCTTAAATCCCTCAGCTAATTGATATAACACATTCTTTAATACTATAAGTGATATTTCATAAAATTAGCTTGGTTAAAGAAAAAAATATTGTTAACAAATAAAGAACTACAAGATTTATAAAACAAATTGAATTCCACTGCTTCTTAAATAGTTATGAATGAAATGTAGTTTGACGACCTGCACTTATCGCTTTCAGTTGAATTTATGGATATCATGTTCTTGAGGTAGGATGTATTTATGAAGGACTAAGAAATGTTTTTATAATTGATTGATTACTGAATAGTGATCAATGTCAAGTTATTCTTAGTGCAAATTCAATTTTACCTATTAAATTGCCATGCGACCACTAGTCTAGGTGGCTCGGCATCGCATGTACTATGTTGAGATAGATATATGGTGTTGGTTGGTGGTAGTCGACAATTTTCGTGCTATTTGGCACTCATCAACAAGGTGTACCCCGCAATCTTGAGATAGCCTTCTGTAAGGTTTTCTAAGCATATTACTCGAAATGTTGCATTAAGGAAAACATTGTTTCTTCTAAGTGAAACAACTGGTCACTTAATGTATAATCGACATTAGGAAAAGGTTAAAGCATAAACCATTCAAAATTATTGATAAACTACAAATAGCGCTTTTACTCCGCTTTTCAGTAGGCATTAATACGAGATGTTTTTGAACTAACTTTTGTATTCAAAAGGAAAAAGGTTGTAAACCTGTACAATAAAAAAATAATTGTTATGAACTATTGTTTGAACTATTATATAATTCTTTTTCTATTGTATCTATTCATTATTGTCTACTCATTCAATTAACTTTTCCTCTTATTTACGATTCTTGATTACATAGTTGTTTACTTTAATTATCACTATTCATATGACCTAACACTTAATATATAAATACACACTAATTTCAGCCACTATATTCAATGCCATATTTTGTGATCGAACGCATATTATGTTGCATCTGCTGAATACTTAACTGACTTAGTACCTGGTACCGAGAGCCGTGAATCAAACGATGTTTGTAAGAACATGAAGACGACAGACTAGGACTTGACACACATGATATTGATTACCACCCAGTGATCAATCAGTTGTGAATACATCTCAGTCTTACAGGAGGTCGGTCGCGGCCCGGATAGCCCAGTGGTAACGTCTCTGACTGTGTAGCTGGGTGACACAGGATCGAATCCGTCAGGGATCACCGGTTCCCTCAAGATTACAGGTACACCTTGCTGACGAGTGCCAAGTAGCACGAAACCCGAGTCCAGGGTTTCCTGTTGATTACCTCCAACCACCATCTTATCTCAACATAGTGCACGCAATGTCGAGTCACTTAGATTAGTGACGACATTGAAACTTGTTCGATATCATTCGATCTGCACTAAGAAGGACTTAACACACATGACATTGATCACCACCTAGTGATCAATCAATTGTGAATAGATAAGGATTTATTTGACGCTTAAAATAAGTCTAAATAAACACCTAAATACTCTAATTTTCAAAGAGTTTACACTGATTAAGAGTCATATTTGTATGTAGAAAACTAAGTAGTTCTTGACACTAATTAATAATTTACTGAATAAATCTAAATATATAGTATCATAGAATTAACTACCTATAACCAACTGATGTAACTAATATAAGTGATTACCCCTTAAAATGTGACTATATGTCACGGAAGATTTGAAAAAGAAATCAATATTGTATATCAATCGCACTCAAATCAGTTAGCATCTGGCTCACCATATCATGTTATATGATGGGAACGATTTAACTCATTAGTTCTTGTTGATCTTCGGGAAATTTATTAAAATTCTTACTTTAATGGATGATATAACTAATAGTGGCAGCACTCAAGTATCAATAATCATGTTGCTTATTCAATTTTTGTTCCTTCTAGGTTAGATTTGCAGAACCTCGTACTTTTTCTAATATTTACACAGCTAAGTACATGAATACGTATATGAGTACTAGGTTGTATTACTTATAGTTAAAAATTAATTAATGGACTACAATGAAAAACTTGTATGAATATTCTTCAATATTTGAATGAATTATTATTTATACTTGTTACCCTTCATGGATCGTTGGCCGCCGACCAAGAATCACCAGCCAACTCTGTCCTGCGTTATGCTTTCCACTTACTGCCCTAGTGCTATTCGCTCCTTAATGCCTGCCTCCAAATCCCGGCGCAATATGTTCTTTGGTCTTTCTCTTTTCCTTTTGTCTTGAGAATTCCAAGTTAGGGCTTGCCTTGAAATGTGGTTTGGTGATTTCCGTAAAGTGTAACCTATCCGCCTCCATCATCTTGTCCTAATTTCCTCCTTAACTGGAAGCTGGTTTGTTTTCTGAAACAGTAGGTCACTACTGATTATGTCTGACCAACGAATAGTTTGACAGAAATTATTCACCGAAAAATTTTATACAAGATTCCTGGACACAATGTTGGATTTATCTAAATTTCAATAACTGAGATTATTTATAATATAATTTTTACGTATGATGTACAACAAAAAATGTTAAAATCTTTCCATTACTATTTATGGTATTATTCTCTACATTCTATTAATGATTATATTTTTGCTACTCTATCAGTTTTCTCCAGAGATTGAAAGTTTTAGCTATTGTCACAATGTACTGAAATCAGTTAGTGAGCCAGTCCATGTATCATTACATTTTATGTAGTTGAACAGTAATATTCACTCAGGTGAAATCGATTCCTCGTTACTATAATGGGTCTGCATTTCTGTACAGTTTAAACATATATGACCCCCATAGATGTTGGTTTATTATGTAATATCTGTTTAAGTTTGTCATCAGAATGACTTGTGAAAAATTAAATCCAACGTAATAGTACCGTAAACTTGGTAATAAGTAATCTCAACTTATATTACTTGGATATTAACAAAATTGAACTAATGACCAGTACAATATATCGTTTTCAGTTAATAATACACTTGGTTATTTACAAAATACTCAACACAAAATATATTAACTGAAATTCAGAAGGTCACCAACTAGTCAGTCAGTGAACATGAATTCTGATTATTAATTTTCGTCGCTGACTATCTTAACATCATGTGTGGATAATTCACTCAATTTTTGGCCATACGAAAATCCAAACCCTTTTTATGTATTCAAAAACAGTTTGTTCTCTTCCTTAACTTACCCTGGTAATATTGTTTTTTGATTCAGCATGTTGAGTTTCATGTTATTTTCTCTATTAACCTTGTTTCCTCTAAACTTCATTGACCTTTTTAATTTCTCATATATAAATATTCTTAACAAGTATAAGTGTGGTCAGATTGTTAGACATATATTACGCTAATATATCACATAGTTCTGATAATCTCCGTCATTTTATTACACTGTCCAAGTTTGTCTAGGGAACTAATTATGTTAAACTTTCTTAAACTGTCAATCTTTAAACCGATTGCATAATACTATTTCGAATTTTGTGGTGTTCTACTAGAAAGCTGAGTGGTGGAGTTTAACCATCATTTCAGGAGTGAGACAACTGAACAACTGTGAAATAATATTGCAAATCAACTTAAGTTGAGTATTTAAATTATTACATCCAAGCTTAATTGTCTAACAGAAATACATGCACCACAAAGCCTGAAGGTATTAGTTTTGATCTCTGTCAGGTTTTTAAAGTATACAATCATGTTTATCTACCGAAAGTCAGTTCCTGGCGATAAACTATTATCAAATATACCAGTTTTCTGTATATAAAGTGTGAGTGTTGATGTTTACTTAATTGCGTATAATCCATTTCAGATGAATATATATATATATATATATATATATATATATATATATATATATATATATATATATACGTATGCTTACAATTTACAATTAATTGACCATATGCAGAATTTTCACATGACTGAAATAAAACAGATAATCTAAAATCTACATAATATGGGAATGTTTACAATGAATGAGAATTCTTACAAATTAATATTACAGACAAAATAATTTCTGTTAACATTATTATTATTTTCCTACTATGCATCCACACAGCTTTCTCTAGCTATTGAGATTGATTGTGTATAACAATGTATTAGTAACTAATGCCATTTCCATAATAACGTCGTGATAGTGTTACCTAAAACAGTAAACATAAACAATAAAAGACTTGTATAACTGGTTGATAACGTCGGTGATTATTGCGTAGGATAGTGTGAGTTCGAGCCTATAATTTTTCCATTAGTGGAATGATTGGTATGAGTCCCAATCAACATGAATCTGGAGATTTCCTCTTAAAGTAACATTTTCCGAGAATTCAATTCAAACTATCTCGTAGAAAAATTCTTTAAAGTCGCCATTTTGATTTTTAAGCCTCCTATATTTAGTTGAATTTAGCACTATAAACAGATAATCTTCACGGACCCATGTGTTTTGTCCTGCATTATTTTCTGGAGAAATAATAATAAGTCTTCTGCCTGTTTTATTTTTCCAATTATTGGGGGGGATATCAGGAATCACTAGGAGTGTAGTCTCAGTTTCATTGGAAGTGATTATGCGTTCCTGTCTCAAATTGCGTAACATGCGGCGAATTGAAATAGCCTCTAACTATCGAATATCAATTTAGGTACAGAGAGATATCGCGTTATCCGGCTAAAATAATCCTATTATGAAGTTGGTAGATAAAATTTGGTTGGTTATAGATACTACATAACCATGATATTTGTTCAATATTTACTGACAGATCAATACAAGAAAGAAACAAGTAGTTAGTTTTATCACATATTTAATCATTGCAACTTGTCAACATACCATCTTATCTTGAGAAATTTTCAGTTCATTACAGTTCAAAGGATTTGTATCCTTTGCACTGTAATTTTGTTAGTTATTATAAACGCCATACCAAATATTATATCCTAAATAACTCATTATCATTGAAACTAACCAAACAAACGAGTTAGCATGCATTACATGTCCTACTTTCTGCACATTACACTGCACATAAATGCATACTAGTCGTAAGGTATCGTTTTACATTTTTAATTGATTTTACACATGGTGAACATTTATAAATTTCCTCTCAAGATATTCTTTATTGTTTATTCCCCTATATTCCAAGTAATTGGGATGACTTGATATTTTGGAATAATAAAGAAATTTTTATTGCACGCCTCTTTCTGCATTTAAACAATTTACTGACATTTATCGTTTGTTTATTTTAGGATGGACGTTTACAAGTTGGTGATCGTTTATTAACTATAGATGGTCAAAATTTATCTGGATTATCTACTACTGATGCACTTAATCGTCTAAAATCTGTTATTGCAAAAGATTTGAATGAATCTCCTCATCCATGTGTTCATCTTTTGATTGCTCGACCTCGGGATGGAATTGATCCAGATAATTCTTATGCAAATTCTATGGAAAATAAAAGTGAGAATGCAATGAATAAAATCACCAGTTCTAATCAGCGTAAATCTTTCTCGGAAGTGGTAAGTATATGTGTATAATAATTGTCTATGATAAATTCTGAAATCTTTGAGTCTCACTGATCAAAATATCTCAGTTCAATAATAAAATGAACCAGTACACTACTACTACGTCATAAGTGAATGATCAAAGAATACTTGTAGCTTGAGATGATGTTGGAAATGTGATCTCTGAAGTTTCATTGTTCTTTTGAATAACACTATCAACTCGTAATTCAAAGAGAAGTTGGTTGCTAAAATTTTGATGTATGAAGTATTGAGGTCAATCCCCATGAAGAAATACTTGGATGTCGTCTGACTAAATTAAAAAGGCTTAATTACATTCATTTTTATTATTTATTTTGTAGAAATGCTTCTGTTAGTAATGTTTTCCTACATGTATAATAAGATAAATGATCTTATAGTATATCACCAACATTTATAACTTTGACTATTCATTCTAAATCTTTGATTTAGAACTTCTTTGTTATTCGTAACACAGTGCAGTAGTGTCTCTGTTCTTAAGGACTTCAAATCTCGCTTTACGTACTTCGGTTTAGGAAACCGGATAGTATCATCATCTCATAGATGGAGCGTGACTAATACGCAGATATATGGTGAACAAATTAATTTGCTATAACTAGCGCGTTGAAGTAAGTTATGATCGACCATACCTAACTCATTCATATCCCAACTACCTCAGTCAATGTAAGTTTATGATCACTCCATCAACCCTCAATAACAATACTCTATAATATTTATGGTCAATTTTAACTAAAGATATATATATATATATATATATATATATATATATATATATATATATATATATATATATATATATATATATGAACTCCTTAAATTTTGTTTATTACAATTTTTAGGCAACAAAAGAATCACATAATGATAATAGTGCTAATTCAAAACCGCTACTAGTCTCTGCTGTAGTACACTCATCGGAATCTGTTTCAATGGCCGGGGGGAATTCACATGATTCATGTAATCTACCTGGAAAATACTCTTTATCAACTAATCATCTTGCTGTAACCAACTTATCACCGTCATCATCGTCACAACATCTACAATCACAAAACAATCCACCAATCTCTCTAACACCTCTTATCCTCTGTGTCTAATTCAAAGTTCTCAGGTTAGTTAGTTGAATCTAATTTTGCTCATATCATTCACCATTATTCATTCTTATCATTGTTGCTTTATTAATTATTATTAATAATAATGCAATAAACGTTTTAAACTGTTAACCAATTAACTTAATTGAAAGAAATCTGATTTCATTAGAAGTCTACTATTTTTTGAAGTCGCTTGCAATATCCTTTTTCTCGTCCTTCGTATATTCGCAGTTTGTTTTTCATTCAACAATGTTAGAGACTCCTTTTAACTTATGAATTACTACTACTACTACTACTACTACTACTACTACTACTACTACTACTAATAATAATAATAATAATAATAATAATAATAATAATATTGTTTTGCCATTATTATGAACAATCAAAAGTCTTCCGTCTAAAACTCAAGAAAGTACTTAAATATGATCAAGAGTGAGTTCGGTTAATTAGGTAAACGAAATTAAACAATTACGTTCCTTTAGCTTTACTCATAGTTTATGAATACTATCTTCAAAATTCTTGCTTTTTCCAGTCTGCCAAATAACCTCATCAACCAAACTCCCATAGATTTTATTTATTTAATTAACATTCAACTTCGAAAAAAACGCCCGTGACATTCTAACTTGTACTGTAGTAGTTCAAGGTCAGAAATTCTGTACTGGTGGACTAATTTCTGTTAAATGCTTTAATTTATGTAAATTCTAATAGGTTAGTAATTTCTGAAAACTTTCCACTCTAATGATTAACCTTAACATTATTCTTCGACAAAACATAGATCAAGACCAAATGGTAATATATCATTTTTTTGCTACCCAATAACTTTTCAACCACTCTCACTTAGTGCTTGAATGAACTCGGAGTCTGTAATAATTAATCATGCTACAGTCTTAATGCTAAATATTCGACTAAAATTTTTGTGTAAACGTTAGAGATGCTGTGAGTTGGCTATGTAAATTGAATAACTGATGATACGAATTCTTTAACTGTTTAAAGCGTGAACATAATACTTAGCTATTGAATGTCTAAGTTTCATGGCATTTATGTTGATTGAATAACTGACTTCTATACACTGACGATTTCTCAGCCTAAATTAACCTTTTATTTACCACTAACTTTTTATTGTTACATTTTTTCTCTACAGTTTTATCAATGTACTTATTTCTACTTAGATCTTTATCTCCAAATTGCATCCCTAACAAACTATTATTATATCTGGAAAAGCGAGCAGTTAATTTAATAATGGATTAGATCTAATTGGCCCATTTATTGTTCTGATTTTTTCCAAAGTTCATTATACGTTTTAGTACGCTAGCAAAGCAAAGCATGATAATATGGCCTAGAAAAGTGACATTACATCGTTTTTATGCTGAATACAGAATATAAATGACACGTAATTACCGTTCTTTGTTTTCTTCTCTTTATCTAATGTAATCCAAATTTACATTCTTTTATTTTTTTACTTTTTCAATTTTCCCGAATTTTTACATTGTCTTTTCCGTTTCTGATTTGGTGCAATATAAATTACACTTCAGTTTTATTCTTATTTCATTCGCATTCTCTATACCAAGTTGTATTTATTTTATAACCATTAATGTATGTTGGAAATTATTACAAAGCGCAAGTTGTCGGTCTTTTCATCGCATTATCGATTAATCAATGGATGATTAAGATAAAGTCGACTTATTTCTATTACTATTAGTAGTAGTAGTAGTAGTAGTCATAGTGTTACTTCAACTGATCGATACTATGGTAGTCTTCACTTAATTACACCGATATAATTCAATATGACTTACAAATGGCTCATTCAATTTTCAAAATAACTAGACACCAGCCAAGCTCTTTGCAAACTGACCAACACAGAGCTCAACTCTGTTACAATCGCGCAGGTACCAAGATACTCAATTGACTAAAATTTTACAATTATAGATATCTATACTTTGTATTGTCCTCTGAGTGCAATTAACTTGTCTTTTTTCTTTATTTAAACCCACTCTTCTCAACCATCAACCCTAAGTTCGGAAAACGTGTTATGCCTTTCTATTTGAATTCGCTGAATTAGATACAATCTCTACTTTTGGCATGCTCATCGTAATCTGAAGTACAGTAGTACACAAATGTTGTATTAACACTAGCACTGTATTACCCTTAACATTATTGAGAGTTCAAATAGTTAGATCTAATCGATTATTAAATTAACTGCTCGCTTTTCCAAATATGGTTTGCATCAAATAGTTGTACGGGTTTCGTTTAATACTCACTTTTTCTTCAGTTATTTCACTAGATAACAATTCTTTAAAATGATTAGAAATTCGTCAAACTCTAATTTCCAACTTACATTTAACATATACTGCATGCACTGGACATTGTTTATGATTATCCTCTTACCTTTTCTTACTACAGTATGGTTGTGATTTAATGGTAAAAGAACATATTCTAGAATTGTATTGGGAGCTGTACTAGAGGACTGTTATTATAGGAGTATCTGTGTTGTTATCTAGATGGAGTATTGATTAATCTGCCTAGATTATCAACATAGAGAACCAATGACCTTCCTTCGACTAATAGCTCAATTGATATAAGTAACATTACAATATAGACATAACTACGCCATAAGTAGAAGGGAGCTGAATAATAAGTTCACAGTTAATTATCACTAACTTAAGGAAAAAAAACATAATAGTAGTTTACGTACCTAACGAAAGGTTGCAAACTTGAAAACATAAGAATACAGTAGTCCAAACTTCTAATAATAATTATACAATAAAAATACATAATAACTCTCTATAAGTTAATTGCAAAAGTCACAATAATAATTATATTTACCTCGTTGGTGTAAACCATGTGAATAACCTCTATTCAAACTAGTTTTTTGTTCTCATTTCTACCATCCCTCTTAAAGCAAATTTGTTCTGTACGTTTTTCTTTTTTCAAATCAATTTTTCAATTTACATATATTTGTTTTGGTTATAAAAAAGTAATGTGTAATTCTTCTAATATTTTTTACTAGATATCGTTCATTCGTTTGCTCGTATGTTTGTTTCTGTGTTTGTACACAGAAATACAAGAAGAAAAAAAACAAAGATTATTTTGCTCATCATTTTCAAATCGAATCCTATATGACTGTTTAACAATAACTAAAATAGTGATAAAAAAGGGCAAAGTAATTTTGGAAATGCAAATGAAAATAATAAGAAAAACAAACAAAATATTTTTTTAATCATAGCTGTTTTGTTTCCCTGTAAATTGTTTACTCTCCTTTGTGGATTACATTCATTAACAAAGCAACCATACTTTGCTTTTCTTCCATGGCACATAGGTTGTATTATTCTGTTATAACTGTGAAAATGAGGCTGCTGATTAAGGGTAGCGAATTATTGATCGGACCAAAGACGCGTAAACACGTAGAACAGCCTAGGGTTCTGATTGGTCTCGCTTCCCTATCTAACCCAGCCAGTTGAGTCCAGAACACAAGTCACAGCCTCTGGGTTATGAATCCTTATATTTCAAACATACTTTGTTTATATACCAGTCAAGCAGACCACATCGTACGATAAAATAGGAAATAACATTGCACAATATTAACCAGTAGGAAAATGACACGTAAAATAAGTACTGACCAATAAGTAAATAATACCATCTCCAAGTCCAAGAATAGTATTAGACTTAATAGAATAATTTCTGGGATATTTTCCTGAATATCCCAACATATTCTCACTTCAATTGATAATTGTTTTCTTTTTAGTTGAAGGGGTTTGTAGCGGTCGGCTCAATTTGTATCTGGCCTTCGACACAAATTAATCTCCGTTGAGATATCGTCGAAAACTAGGAACTACCGGCCCTGCTACTTCGTCAGTACAAACCCACAATACTCTCAGAAATCGAACCCAAGACTTTGTTTTGCGCAGAGTCCATAACCTTTAAGACTGCTGGATCAATATTCAATGGTTACTGGCTCTACCATCTTCCGTTGTCTTCAATTTGTAACTGTCCCACATTCTAAATGATTGAAGTTCACTGGTTATGGATCCTCGCTAGAACTTCAGAGAGTAGCTAACTTAATTACTTACGCTTGTTACCCCTCGTGGAAGAGCATAGGCCTCCCACCAGCGTTTTCCATCCAATTTTGTCCTGGGCAATATTTACCATTTGCTATTCACTCTTTTTATATCTGCTTCCAATTCTCGACACAGTGTGTTCCTTGGCCCCCTTCTTTTCCGTTTCCCTCCAGGATCCTAAGTTAGCGCTTGTTTCGTGATGCTGTTCGATAATTTCTACAATGTATTTCCTATGCACTTCCAACGTTTTTTCCTAATTTCCTCTTCATCTGGAAGCTGGTTTGTCCTCTCTCATAGTAGGTTGTTGCTGATGGTATCCAGTCAACAAACATTGAGCATGTTTCGTAGACAATTGTTCATTAATACTCATACATTTTTAATGATAGTTGTGGGAGTTCTCCAAGCATAGTAGAACTGTCTTCACGTTCGTATTGAAGATTATGAATTCGATGTTGGCTTGCAGACAGTTTTTTTGAGCTCCATATGTTGCCAATCCTTGCCTTTACGTCTGCATCAAATCCTCCTTGTTCATCAATGATGCTACCCAGATATACGAAAGTTATTACCTCTTACAGAACTACTCCATTGAGTGTGATCGTTTTGGTGATCGTAAATAATTGCTGTCATTAAATATGATAGTTAGTTATCCATTTGGTTTAGCTATGATTAAACAGTCAGTTTTGAATGTGTTAATCGTGTAAACATGGTATATATAAATGGCATTTTATAATTTTTGATGTAATCTTTTTCCTTAAACCAGTACATGATCACTAAAACTGGCATAGATCATGTTCATTTCTGATGAAAATTGGTTAGTCGATTTAATTCGAACATTTTTTTATGACCTCAAGTTCTTGCCTCCTTTAGGAACTGAATACAAAACCTACTGACATGCTCTTTACCTATAGATAACTGAATTATTGTTATTAACCAGTACGATATTATGTAACATCTATGTTTTCTTGTATATGATATTATGTAAGCGTAACACAATCCTTCATTATTATTATTATTATTATTATTATTATTATTATTATTATTATTATTTCTTTGAATCTTTCATTATAGTCCAGTGAAGAAATGTCAAAAACTTTGCATTTAAAATCAAATACTTATAATTCTACTGTAAATGTCAATAATTCCCATGAAACTGTGAGTATATAAAATTTTCCATTAACACTTGTCTAAAACTTGCTAATTACATTGTTTTGAGATGGTGGAGAAGATATGTAGCTCAGGTGGACGATTTTGGTGGAGTTTTGTTTGCTTAAATGTTTTTATCAGTAACTTTTTTTAAAAAAAATTCGATTGACTTATCTTACGTTGTGTGTGTGTATGTCCCCATCAATCACGTAATATTGGCATCAGTTTCATTGCATGAAGTTTAGCATATCCACTAGTCAAATCATAATAAGGATAATGTAAGATTGATCTGTTTTGTTAAGTAAGCACCAATAACCAATCACTATAAATCACATCCCGGTCTATATATATCATAAAAGCAACATGTTAAAATCATCTGTCCATTGAATGTGTTACTCATATTCATTCTGTGTTGCTCTGTTGTTCCTGTTTTATTATTATTGCTATCACAGCTACTTCTGTTATTAGTGTGTATTACTCTTGCTGGAAATGTAATTGTCATTTTTATTGACCAGTGGTGTGGTAGGTAGTTTTGTTTCATCACTTAATTATAATTTAAGGAATATATGCTTATGTATATATAAATGTATATTTACATTTACATGTAATCCCTATAACTCATTAACATTTTATTTTCTCTCTTTTTTTGTCATTTCTTTTGTTCATTTATTAATTTTTCGTGGCTTGTTTGTTTATCTACATGGATACCTGTGTATATGTATGCATAAATGCATGCAACAACATTTGTCGTTTGCATTTTCATCATTTTACTTGTATGTTATATAATTTGTTCAATATCATGCTATCTGTAGTACATGTAATCATTACATATCCATCTATAATGCATTGTAATTCTTCGTGTGTTTATATGTGTTTGCATGTTTTTTGTGTGTTAATTCTACACTGATTCATCATCTGCTTTAATTACCTGTTTTTCTGTTACGATTTTTATTATCCAAGACGTATGCATATTAGCGTGTCTGTCTGTGGGTGTGTTTACCCTCTTTTATTCCTCTGAGCATGCACCTGTTTCATACTAATTAAGTATTTCTTACGATTACCCTTTCCTGATAAATATTGTGATCTCCAGTACCTCAATATTAATATATATTAAAGTAAGCTCAACTGTTTTTCGTCTGTTTACTCTCAAGAATATTAATTTCTCTGTTTTAGTTCTCACATTAAACAACATTATGTAGAGTTTTTCTTCCGATTATTGACAGAGAAAAGATGAAAACACTTAACATAATTGTTGTTTCATCAATTTAACTTGGGAATTTTTTTCCTGCTGTGATTCATTTCATGGTTGACTTTGAGCATTTAAACTTTCCCTCTTTTGACAGTGTTATCTATGAGATGAATTCATTAATAGTGATACATCTGTTTTCTCAGCGGCTTCCTTTTATTATCTTCATACTCATTACTTGTTTATCTGTTAATGAGAAAAGTAATGCTATCAGCTGATTAGGCTTTTTTGTTTTTCAAGAATATTTTTAAACCTCAAATCAGGTCATCACGATTGTCATTTTTAATTACCACTTATATAGTTATTTAGTTATTGAAACCAGCCAATAACATCCACAGTCAGGACAAACGATTAATTATATTCTCCTTCGATACTAATTAATTTCTTCGTCTTAAAATTTATACTACTAATTGTAGATGTTATTTGCTCTGATAAATATACAATCTAAGATGGCCTATAGCAATAATATAAATAGATCGAGTTGATGCACTGAAATTATATTCATCATACTGTTTTTTGTTTCGTTTTTTTCTTTTTGTTTATACACAACAAGTTCTCTTTGTTTTACCATCTACATATGCTCCCCCTTTTTTTCTCTATTTTTTTACTCTTCCACTTTCAGTAATGAATTTAATAATCTACCTTACGAATTGAATTATTTGTACATTCCGGATACAAATCTAATTTTGTTGTTGTTGCTTGTAGTGTTAACTCACTCTAAATTATATTCCCCTTCTTTTTTATATACCATAAAATGTTTGAAAGACCTCCTTTGATGATTCTACTACTGTTTGCCTCTCCCTCTCGTTCCATTTGATGAGATATTTTATTCACGTAGTATTCAAAACAAAATGTTTATGTATGCACTTACATGTAGTGATACTTTAATGTGTATAAATTTGATCGGTTGTTTTCTACTATGGAATTGAATATAAAGATAGTATTATCGTTACTACTACTACTACTACTACTACTACTACTACTACTACTACTACTACTACTACCCTACCATAAGTAACATTCATCATCATCCTTATCGAAAAAAAACTAAGAATTGAGACAAATCTTTTCTCATATTGTGATTTGTTTGTTTGTTATTGCTCTATGCTCAACAGTTGTTTGCTTTTATGACATTATATAAAAGAAACATGAAATAGAAAGCAAATAAGAATGTGTTTCGTTTCATATCACAGTGTTTGACTGAACTAAGTAAGTTTTGTTATTAGATTGTTTTTACTTTGAGACTAATATTATTTCCTGTTATTATAGTGTTGTGATAATTCATTATTGATTGTGTTCATTATCATGTTTGTCTAGTTTCTTTTAATCCTTACTGGTGGTCGAACCCTACTGGTCGATTTGCAATTTGACCAGTAATCTAATTCACTTTAACATCTTACGGATTATATTTTTATGTTAAGCAATATTTGAAGATGGTGATCGGCAAGAAATTTTGTTTGACTTTCGTTCAACATATTCCTTATATCAATGTATCGCAAAATAAAACTAACTTATTACATTGATATACTAGTTTAATAATATTGGGATCAAATTCTCAGACATTATTTTTGTATCTCAACCTCTTACATTGATATTCAGATTATACACATTCCTTTTTATGTGGCAATTCTTCATGTGAATCATACCTGTATTCAACCGTCGTGTTTACATAATTACTTTTTTGAGGAATTTTTTATCTATCGGCGTCAATAAATCGCAATGACTATTTATTGTAAACAGATGTTAATTTATTTTTAAATTTAGTTTACTGTGTACTTGATAGATTATTAATCGACTACTTCACAGAGAAAGCTTCAATTAATAGAACAAATTTGTAGTTCAGGTAAATAGATTCATGCAGTGATGTTGCGTTCGCTGAAATATGTAGTTTAATTGAAAGTTTTTTTGTTGTCACCCTAAGTAAAATTATCAACATCAACTTCAAATGTAAATGAATATTTTAGAATGATTTCACAAGTTCCACATTGATCCGTTTTGATGATTTAATTAATGATTATTTACAATTGTGCAGGTGCATTAATTCTTCTTCCCTGAAATTCTGAGGTTTTATATTCCTCACAATGTTTTTTTTAAACTTTAGCTAATTTATATTTTCCTTTCGAGTCGTATCTTCGATGCATAATGCTTCCTATTACCACTGATACTGTTACTACCTGTACTATTCTGAGATTCGGTTTAACAGTTTTATCTTGGTGTGCTAATCGGGTATGGCGTACATATGTACAGTTTTTACGTTGTGACTGACTGAAGATTGTTGATTGTCTTTAAAAAATGTCCAGAGAAACACAACATCCCTTACCGATGACAAGGTCAATTGCGCTCTCTCTCTCTCAAATGCTTTTACTACTCAATGTATTCGGATATTTCTTTTAATTAGTTGATTTATTAAGACAAGTTAATAAAATAGTAATGTAATAAATTATAAATGAGAAAAAAATACTCAGGAAATTTTTTTGGCATTTCATTAGCGTAAATAAGCAGATAGAGAGTGGATGAATGAGTGAATAAATGAGAGATATAGACAAAGAATCTAGTTATTAAACTTGAATGACGAAAAGGAAATGTATATTGATTGTTACCGGCCTTTCTTTTTTGCTCCAACTTTGTTTCTTTCTCTCCTTAGTCAAACTATTTTAAAAATGTCATCGTTTTAATTAACTGGTACACGGACATATTTTTATACATAAGTGTAATGCTAAAATTATCAAGAATAATAAAACAATTCCTACTATTTCTCTTTATTTTCCACCTCTCTCTCCCTTCTGCATTCAATCTTCAGACTACCAAATCTGCTTCTTCATCATTATTAATATGTAATACAAAGACTAATGAAAACAACGATGAAAATATTGATGTCAATAGGACTAATTATCATGATGATGCTAATAACTGTAATACTGTTACTAATTCCCTCATTATTAATAATAGTTTTCAATGTGATTCAAAAACAGTTAACATTGATTATTGCGCGATGAAAATAGTTCAAATCCCTGTAACTTCCTGGTAAGTGCACAATGATATTATGACCAGTGTAATGTTAAAAACAGTATTCGCTTACATGTGTTGCTCTAGTTCATGTTTATCAATACTTCTTATTCAGTTTAATCATAATGTAAGTGATCTGTTCTCCAATATACATATTAACCAAAACTACTGAGATTGTTAGACATGAACATAACTTGAGAAATAACTATTCACTTTGTACTTAAAATCCCACTCTCACCTCGATAATCTATCCGATCGATCACTTCCTCTCATCGTAATTATCCCCTAATATTTATCATTCTTCAAATGTACGATAGTTATTTATGGGTGACGCCATCGGGCTGCCACATGAAAATAATGAAACGCGGAATGACAATGCAGATGAGCAACTTGTCTTTTAATGACTTTCACAGATGTTTAGAATAATGGAAACACAAATGGGGCAAGTGTATTGTCACAAATGCGGAGTATTATCGACAACATAAGATCAGTATAGTCTAAATTCTATAAAATGAAATTCTTAGAGCTGTAGTTTGAATAATTTTTGAGGGAGTTGTACCTGAGGACAGTATAAAAAGTCTATGCGTATCTGTCTAATTTTATCTTCAAAATGTTGTTTGCTTATATTGTGGGGAGTGGGCAGCGACCACTGAATCACTAGTGGGAAGATTCGTAAAAGTTTTCAATTTTTAATCAACCAAGTTAGTTTTCTAATCTATCGGATAGAAGACACCACATTCTAAAATAATCTGTACCTCAATATGAATATTATATGCAGCGCCTAATAAAAATGTCAATTGACCTAGCTGTGTTGTTCATAATATTATTCATTTAACTTCATCGATCCTCACTTAATGATGTAAGTTATGGCAGATAGTTCCCATAAAATACTGGGAAATTTTTGTGTAAATAAACGAACCTTCCGAAATTTTAAGTACCTTTTATTCTTTAGATCCGCCAATCTTCATAGTTTCGATCACGAATTGATCCTAGTTCAATCGTCATTGAAAACATAGAAGCACTGGGTGCCTGTTTCGTCTCAATATAGAACTTTTCAGTACCACATATCCACGACCGGGCATCGGACCCAAGACCTTCGGTCTCGTGCATGAACGTTTGATCACTAGGACGTAATCCAGTGGTGTGTGTCTAACGTCAATCAACTCACGATATTCCTCAAAAATTACACATTTTTTGCAGTGGAAGCTGTCTCACAATCGACGTAGTCGAACTCCACTGACCACTTGAAATCCAGGAGTTTTCTTTTCGGATACGAGGTCGTGAATGCTAACTGCCAATGAGTCTTTACAATTTTCTCAGTTCTTCGATGATGGTCGAGCCAAGATCAGTTCGTGATTTCAAGTATGAAAATCCTATAATCTCGACAAATCTTACTATACTACTAATCTTTTAATGAGTAGCATCGTTTTTATTATAAACAAACAATATTCATGAATGTCTTCTTGATATTATGAATTAGATTATTTTTGTCAGCTTTCATCAGTGAACTTAGTGTCTTTCGCTGAACTCTTTGTTATTTTTTTCGCGCCTTAATACATGGTTTACATACCTAATTGTGAATATAAACATTGACTGAAGTGGGAGATGTTTATACAAATCAAGCAATGTAGTGTTCATTTGTATGTCGTTTTAAAACTGGGGATACCACCTGACTACACGAATCCCCAATAGGTGAAAGTACCACCTTTTAACCATGGAATTTAGGCTTATCGGAGTCGAATTACTTGAATGTTATCATTGTTTGAGACAGCTTGCAGTTATTACAAATTACGAACGATTGATAGATTTTTATTATACGAATTGTGATCTATGCAAACTAGATAGATCAGACGGTTAGTACTCAACAACAACGTCCCAAAGTTATTAATCCACATGCGAATGTGGAAGAAAGATGTAACTTTCTGGAGAGTTTTTATATTCCCAGTTGAAATAAAAATTATAATAGAACAATTCCGTTTATATAACAACGAATATGACAGTTGCGACTGCGAAAATAGGAAATAAGTTCGAGAACAACCAATCAGATATCAGCCAATATCAATGCTAAACTCTCAATCAAAGTTTGTTCGTCAGAACTACAATTTATTAACATTTTTTTCACAATACTGGGATTGAAACTAGAATTTCCGAATTACAAATGAGATTTAAGTAAGCATGAAGCAGAAAAGTCGTTTGTTGATTTATTAACTTCGTATACAGTTCAGTGTTCATATCAGTTTGACAAAAACTGGTGAAATAAGCTTCAGTTCAACTTATAAGTATAGATGTATATATTTCTCACGGAATGATATGAAGTATATTTATGATCGTGTTACATTATTTTCTTCTTTCTTACTGCTTTCCTGGTTGATAATAAAATTCTGGATGTGATTATGTGTTCCACATCCTAAATAAATGTGGAAATACTGATTTTCAATAAAATCAGCTCAACTCTTAAACATTTAGATTCCATTCCTTCATCTAATTCAAATGGTACATCTGAGCATAGTCATCATCATTATCGTCGTCGTCATCATCACTATCGCGATAATGAAAATTTCTATCTTAATTCAAAGAGCTGTTATAGTAATTTAGGTAAGTTGATATATCTGTGCTTTCCGTTTATATGCAATTAATTATGTTATATTTAATTGTCATAATTATCGTTGGTTGACCACTAATTAATTAGTTACCGATATCATATTTATCTAATCCTAATTGAATTCCACCGACCAAGCAACAATATTTCAATTTAAGTGACTGAACATTGAGTTCACTGTGTTGAATCATTTACCATGACGCGCAGTACTGACTGGTGTTGGAGGCAGATGGGAGAAAGTTATGGGTGGCCAAACCAAAACGTGGCATCAATCCTTAAAGTCACTAACCTGTGATCTGAGCCATGTTGGTAGATGCAGACTACTTGGTTGAGGTCCACGCGATTATCGTAACCAATGGTTGTAGACTCTGGGTAACATGGCTCAAAATCGATCACAATGGTGTCGGTGTATACGCTATTTGTCATCCGTTAAACAGTGAGATTAAAATTGCCTTACCTTTCTTTCTACGAACTAGTTCTTTCTCCCTGTATCATATTGCTATATTTAATCTTTATCTACATACATCACTAACAATGAAGTGCCTACTTCTATGAATTTGGTGTTGATCTTGTTGTGTTAATGGGGTGTGGCAGCGTGAACCGATGCATATATGTGCCTGGTCCTATGTTGTAGCTGACTGACTGACTGATCATTGATAAAATTGTGTCATTACTGGTTGGACATGATGTCAGTTACTGCTCGGTGATCAACCATTTTAATTATTTCAGTCTTATATGAGATTAATCGTGACCTGAATACTTTAATAGTTATTCGTCAGACTGTGATACTGATCTGTGTGAGTAAGCAAACCACGAGAAGCTCCATAGGTTTGCCTTACTAAAAACGCTCTTTTAACACAAAACAGAGTTCTAGAGTTTCCTGCTGGCTGGTTTTAATCACCTTTTTTACTCCATATGCAGAGATAAATTATTATATATTTTAAATTTTATGTCATGAGAAGTAAAGCCTTACTGGTTTTGTGACTTTCATTCTGATGGTTTCTTAACTATTTATTATTATATATGTACGCGTTTGTAAAGAGTCTTCAAGTTAAATAAATAAAATGTCTAACGTGTTTTGACCTTTGAATGTGTTTTATTCAAACTCATTCCTCATTTCAACATGTCTGTTACAGCTTAGTTCTAAAAGCTATTTACTCAAGTTCTAAAAATTTCATTTCATAGAATTTAGACTATACTGATCTTATATTGTCGATAGTACTCCCATTTTCGTTTCCATTATTCTAAACATCTGTGAAAGTCATTAAAAGACAAGTTGCTCATCTGCATTGTCATTCCGCGTTTCATTATTTTCATGTGGCAGCCCGATGGCGTCACCCATAAATAACTATTATACATTTGAAGAATGATAAATATTAGGGGCTAATATTGACGAATATTGCATGCTTTTTAGCGCGACAATGGAACTACAATCGAAAATTACGTGATATCTCATTCGTTCTATGTTCTTATCCACCCCGAAGCTCGGTAACAGTTTTGCATCACCTGTCATTGAAGATAGAATGGTGTATATCTAATCTCTCAGAGTGGATATTACTGAAATTATAAAATAACTATGCCATAAAGCATACCCATATTACTGCTTATGCACTGTGAAATATATCCTATTCACAAGAACGTAACAACATTTCAGGAGTAAAGTTTTGCTATTATGATAACTCGGCAAAATGAATGCGGAAGAAAATAACTCAGTAAGATGAAATCAACAAAGTTATCGCCTAATTAATCAAAATCATGTAGTAGCAGCAATGATATAGAAGAATAAACATTGAAAACGTAATTCGAAAAGATAGAGTGGGAATGTTTGTATGAATATATACTGGGCTTCAACATCTACAGCAAAATAAAAAGTACCTGCATCCGTCCCATTGTGGTCGATTCTAAATCATGCTACCCAGCCGACGATCTCAGTTATCATCTTGACACAAATTAGATAATCTACCAACATGATTCACAGCCTCAGTGAGAGGTTAGTGATATTGTACCTGGCTACCAATCCTATGTAAATAAATATTTTGTTTTTCAACTGTAAATAAAACTGTCATTTATGGGTAAATACTAATGATATGATTTATGTAATTATCATTGTATTGTTTGTCTTCCTCTCCATGTCTTTACACTTTCAGAACAAGATTCAAAAAAACGGTTATCGAATTACTCATCGTCATCAACAGAAATATTATGTAATTATCAAAATAATTTATGTAAATACCGATCGAATGATAACATTGTTATTGATGATGATCGTGACAGTGATGATGATATGGATCGTGATAAGTCATCGATGATATGTTATCAATACTTAACAGATGATTCCGATTTGAATTATGATGCTACTCCTCCTCTGTCGGATCCTGAAACTGAACGTTATAGTTATAAATTAGATTTACTCAGTGAATTAAGTCTTTCTTCAGTCTCTGGCGCTGCTGGTGACCAAATATTAAAAATGAATATTCAGAAAAATCCAATAACCAATAAATCCACTTTACATAAATGTTACTATACACATGGTAAATATTTAATTGATAAGAAATGTAAATATCGTGTTGTATATCGTCAACCGAGAATAGACTTTAGTCAAATGGTACTTGTACCATTTGATCCAGCCTCATGGAATGGTCCAGTGTTAAAACCGAGAACAGCGTTGAACTCAGAAGAACTACAACTTATTGTCGATATGCCGAATTCATTTTCTTCTTTACAAAATAATAATAATAATGTTGAACAACCTGATAAAAATATAGAAAGAAGAGGGCATGATTCTGTTGTTGATGTTGATAGTATGTGTAATAAACAAAATGGTGAGTTGGATCATTTTTTTCTTTTCCTAAATTACTGCTAAGGAGAGATCGGGTTATGTAGTTCTTTGCTAATAAATCATGGTTTCATCTGGTAAGAATACAACTGCTTTATATCTTTATGCTTCGCATTTCCTCAGTGACCTTTGCTATTATATCCCCTTTAGTCTGGTAGTTTTATTGTCTCAAAGTAATTGCATATTACCATAGATGTACGCGGAGTTGTTCTTTTTAAATTTTGCCCATCCTGACTTCGTTGAATATCAACCTTTTTTTGCACTCCTATCTTCCTGGGTTTTATCGTTTGAGAGTAATTGATAAAGTGTTGTATATGACAATGGCCGTTCTACAGAGTTCGCGTCAGTTAATGTTTGTATTAAAAGAATCTCAGTCGTGAACGTAACAATTAAGCAGACTGAAAAAAAGTAAAACCGTTGGTGTCTGTCTCTTTTTTTCAATCATTTTAATTAATGCTGCTCTGCATTTCGATTAATTAGACTTATTTAAATTCCATTTTAAACTACACTTGCTTAGTAGAGATGATGGGAAATCGTCTACTTATCATTTTACTCGATCAAATAGCATTCATTTCCATTGATCTCTTTCAACAGCTATGATTTCTACCATAGATTGATCAATGCCTATCAGATTTATTCACACTATCAATTTTAGTTATCACAAACTGTCTTTTTCCAATAGTTTGATTCCTCTTCTGAAATTAGGGATAATGAGATGTGAAAAATAACTATCCCAGATGTTATTTATTTTCAGGTCACTGATTAATTGTGTTGTAGCTTTATACAGATGAGTTTTGTCGATCGAGTTATATTATTGTCATCATGGCATTCTGATATTAGGTGATTGTGTAGTGAACAAACACTCAGTCAGGGACAACCAATCTATTGTTTATGCAAAACACTGGATTAGTAAAATATGAAAATCATCCATTAAATACATTTGCATATCTTCTTTGCATTGTACTTTACCTACTCCATTATTTTTCTATGTTGTTATTATGATTGCTCTCTGATTTCGTTTCTGTTTTCTTCAATTCAATTTTCTGCTGCTAGGCTTTCCACTTCCTATTTCCGCTATATACTACTTATAAGTGTCAGCATAAACCACAGTAGTCTCAATTTATGAAGTTTTGCTACTCATCAGTAACAAACATCAAAATATTTTAAATTTGCCATAGATAATATCTCCCACATTCAATTTCCAGTAGCAAATGGTGATAGATATGAATAGGTTGTCAAACAATCGTGATAAATCGAACCAAAGATTTGCTTCATGATGCTCTTATACAGCTCCATAAGATTTTTTTTTGTATAGACCATTTTCTTAGTTCTATTATCATTCATAATCTCCTGAGTCCTAAAAAAACAGATTGCGTATCGCTCTGAAATATTGTATCGATCCATACTTTACTGACTGACTTTTCTTTCTGTAAACCAATCACCTGTATACAGTATGCTGATTGAATGCCCTTTTGACATCGAATTAAGAAAAACAATAAACAAACTTTATTTACAGCCTAACTTTTCTTACCTACTGGCAAATTTCGTTTATAAATATTGATGAATATTAATGAACTGTGAAAGATTTTGTCCTTCACCAGTCATCCTTACAGTAATAAACTTTATCAGTAAGTTGCTTTTTCATCCGTACTTTTTTATTATCGAGTTTCAAGCTACATAATCAAAGTATCAGCTAACAGAAAGATACACAGTTCCTTGTATTGACTTGAAATGAAATACGAGATAGGTTCACCTTTCTTCTCCATCAACAGTTACAGTTATTATTTTGCTGAAGCCTTTCGGGACTGGATCTCATCAAATTTATTCGGGAATTTATTAGAATAAGTATCTACAAGCTGAGATGGATGGATAATGGCTAGCAGTAAAATCCAGGATGGGCGTTCCGTCCTAGTTTGGACTCGTCAGCTGCATGTACCTGCATCCCAGAGTTTATGTTCACTCTGGGACTCTAATCAATTACCATCCTCTTCAAACGCCATCGTGTTATCCACTTAGTTGCTTTGTCTAGATAACCACTGGCTTGTACAGTAGGGTAAAGTTTAATTAATTTTTATTAGTTACTTGAATCTTCCCATTGATGTTTAGAACTGAAATTGGTCATTTTCTTTTGGCATATGTACATTTTGTGCGAATTCAGCGGGAATATTGAGGTATTCCTCACATGATACACATATGCAATAAAGAGATTGACCAATTGCAATCCTAAGCGCCAATAGGAAAATTCAAATAATCAATACAAAATAAGTTTATCCATCAGTTTGTTTGTTTTTTCTTTTATAATTTCATTGAACTTCTTTCAACTTTACTCAGATTTTATCCACCGTTGTAATTCTCTAAATTTTTCGTCATTGTTAATTTAGTCATCCATCTTATTATTTTCTGATATAACAGAAGTCCCAGTACAAATATCAAACCAGTTAAATATTCCTCAGAAATAGCATTTTTATTTAGATATGATTACATAATTGTAACACAGAAATTCCCTTACTTGACTCTTCACATATTTTCCTTTCCAGCTGTGGAAATAAAATGCACTGCATTTAATTTCAGCGATATATGTTTTTTCATAAATCAATTCAATAGTATAATACATAAACTCATCTGTATACTACAGAATTGTTTACAGAATATGTTCAAATGTGTTCACCTTGTATTCATCCTAAACATTTATGGGATTATTTTATTATAGATTGAGTTCATCACTAATATCGTTTTTTTCCTGGAGAAAATATTTTGACAACCTAGTTTCATACTCTGCTGGTTTAGTGCATTCAGTTTCTTGTATAAATTTGAATCAAAATAACAACAAGAAAGTTCTAAAAAATGTAATAAATGTGTGTTTTGCTTTCAACGCCTTCCCCGTAATCTGAAAATTTCAAACAGTTCATGTTTTATATATATACGAGTATGGAGTTATTTTGTGTAAAACATTTGAATCGGTACCAAACTGCTCTCTGTTACCTCTCAATTTTCATTCATTCTCTATATGATGTTAATCCGTGATGAATACTGCCTTTAAATTACATAAAACGTCTAACAATCAGTCATAATCAATTTAGATTCACCCATTATGTACTTTCTTAGTCCTTGATTAACCCAACTATTCAAAATGAAAATAGAAATTGTCTGTTAAGATATGTTTTTTTCAAGCCTACTAAGATACCCACAATTTATAGATATTCGTAGGCGGCTAGACTGACTTAAATAAGAATGTATAAGCAGTGACCGAGGCTAGTTAAATAAGATTGCCTAGATTAGTTTTTCCTCTGGTTGTTAGAAGGGGAATCGGCCCCCAAATGCCCTGGTACGGCCGAGAGTGGGGAGAGTCCGCTCTCCTCGAAATGCTCTCACATGGCCACGCGTATATAGCCTCTGCCAGGGAAGTCCTTCTCACTGCCTTCTCGTGGCGAGGGTGTTGTTTACGAAAATGAGAGGACGAAAAGCGAATGTACGACGCTTTAACCGGATTCCAGACCAATGGTGCACATGGGCTCCAGTATCCTGAAGGAACAAATGGCGTATAGACCAATTACTGGTCACTGGCTACCATGAGACTGCATCTCCTTACGATGCTCCACTGCCTTGTGGATCAGACCTTCAGGTCGAAGGCTCGGGGAGTGATCCCCTAAGAAAACCACCTGCTTCGGTTTGGGTACCTGGGCAGTATCACAGCCCTCACACATATCGAATGAGATTTGTGTGGCGCATATGTATTTAGTCCCTCCTTGTACCAATATCTATGTGTTAAAATAAATAAATAAATAATAATCGGTCTCGTGACTTCCGAAGGATCTCGGTTTCCACCATGAGGCGTCATAGTTTCCCCTTCAACTTCCAGGGCAGAGTTTGAATGTTTTGATTTGCTTATTCTGCTTAGCGTTTTTTTGGCAAGATTGTTTTCTACGGGATGGGGATACCGACCCCACGCCCAGCCCTCCTCTTTGACCTGGTCTTGGGACTGGCAGTAGCCCTAGAAAAGCTTATAGGCGGAGGCTAGTTGCTTGTCTTTATCCACATGATTAAACAGAATCTACTGTAAACAGGAATCGATTTCCTGTTAGTTAATATACTCATGAATACACTCTTCATTTTGAATAGAATGTAAAGCATACACGAAATTTTGTTCAGTACAAACACTATCATTCTTGGTTTGTTGAGTTGAATTTTCTTTACATTTTTTTTCATCGCTTTACATTATAGCAAAATGTATCGATAATGAAACTGTTCGTGTGAGAAAAACACATCCAAAAACTGTAATCAGTAAATTATTCAGGTTAGTATTATTGTCTTGATTTAATAAAACTATTATCTACAATTTGATGTCCGCCTACTATATATATATATATATATATATATATATATATATATATATATACGCTAAATAATGAAGTGATCTTTTACAATTGTTATTGAGTTTACTGTTCGGTTATATTTAGTCCATTGAAAACTTTGATTTGTTGTTTTCACCAAACTTTATGGTTATGAATAATTAATTTAATTCTCCTAAATAAAATCACTTTAAAGTTTATTTACCTAACTCACTTATAAGTAGTATGTTAAACCGTATGGATCCGTATAAGTGGCCACAACACTCAACCTTTATTCATCATTTTGCATATCTGAACGCCACTACACTTATTTTGGTACTTTTAGCAATTTCCAGGCTTCCAAAGTCTTTTGAGGAATTATCAAGGGCTTTATATGACAGACTGACTTAGGCTAGATACCCACTAAATATCTAAGTCAGTCCGTGATGGGAACCTTCAAGTTCAGTAATGTTCACAACACCCTATAATTGCGAATTATAACCTTTTTGGAGAGAGGTAGAAATTATTTTGAGTATTTCCATAGGTACTCAAGATTGTTTGTCACTGATTGAGGTATCAGCCAGAAACTTACTAGAGTTCACTGGGTACTAACCATCTTTCTTGTTCTAATTTAGAACTTTCCATACCAATGCACTTTTACGGCTACATATACAAACACGTCAACTCATCATAAGAATTCCCTTCCAAATCTTCAACAGAACTTAGAATTATCAACATAAATCTTTTGCGATGATGGATAATAGTTTTAGCTGAGGTATAGGACTTTAAAAGTGTTGTGATCTCTGAGATCAGAGAGATTTTTGTTTTCTGGTAAAATCATCTACTCGGCTGCATGCATTTTCGAAATTTAATTGATATGCTTTTTCAAAATGAAAGCCAAAAATTGCTAGCATTTCAAACAAACAAACATTTCCTATCGTATAATTTTCAAGCTATGCATTGTGGAGACGCGCTGCAGTAATCTCGCTGCCCAAAAATTTAAAGGAACTCGTCAACTGTCCATCTTGCTTAGAATGGGTGCCCCAACAACTTCACGAGAACGTTTTTTACAAATAAACTCACTTTCAAAAACCAACTTCATAAGCCAAGAAGTAGATCATCCTACCATATGAGGGAAAATATCTCAAGAGTCATTACAATGATTCTGAAATACTTTTCGTTCAACGTCTCTCACAAATCAACACAATCATTTCATTTCATTAGATACAGATCACGAAAAGGTAAATCTGATGTCATCTATCAAGTAAATTGCACCAATTGCCAGAAATAATACATTGGACGAAGTAGAGGTTCCTTTGACCTATTCACACATGAACATAGATTAGCACTGAGGTTACATAATATGTTTCACTAATAACATTGCATTCTAGTAACCATGGGCATGAATTCGACTGGTTAAACGTCGCAATTTCGGGCCAAGGAAACTCCAAGAATGCCAAAACAGTTCCTAGAATTATGGTATCAAAATCGATTGCCAACCAACAAGTATATCAACGTAAACCTAATATATGAATCTATACAAAAGAGACCCGATCGAAGCTGCTACCTTGACGCGGTGATCGGGCTTGCCTATCGTGATGACCCAACCGAGCTATATTGGCTGGAACATATGTTCCTGCAGGTTCTACCATGCCAGGCAGGTCGATTGGCGAACGGTAAGACTAAAAGCAGCAACTCAAGGTCTGAGGGCGAAGTCGTACTGCTGACTGTAGAGAGGTGTGACAGCAGTAAGGTGTTTCCCTCGGACAACCAGCATGACAGCGATGCTGCCTTCCCACAAGGAGGGGTGGGGTTAGAAAAGGTCGACCCTAAAAATGCACACCTCACCTTACCTCACGGATTTCCGTCTCCGGCGGTAAGGCCCTTTGAAGAACGGAGCTAACACGTCAAAAACCTTCCACAAAAAGGCCGTGCGCGACCGGCCTCAAGCAGTTGTCCCTTGGGCTCTGCGGTCACGCTCCCAGGTCGTCAAGACCAACACTAATCCAATTTCCTTTTCAGGTTCCTCAAGAAATACCCTTCCACGGTGTGGGCAGCCGGGAAGTGACATCAGCCCTCATACCCGTAACAGCACAAGAGACCAAGGTGGTCACATTCAAATCCTTCCTACACCTCCTAATACTTCTCTTATCCTCCCGACTAACCCTCCTCACGTCTTTTTATCACCTCGCACCGCTAGGGCAAACGATTCGAGTACGTGGAACGCCATTCCTGGTCTCCTGAAACCACGCTCTAAACTACACGTAGGAGCTTTTAACGTACGAACACTTTGCCAAATAGGACAGCAGGCTTCCTTAGCTAAAACTTTAGAATCTCGCGCCATCGATGTGTGCTGCGTCTCCGAAACGCGCATACAGGATCCAAGTAGCGTCATTCATTTGACCTCACCATGCCAAAATAAAGAACCGACTCGATTTACGCTTCGTGTATCTGGAAGCCCTGATTCTGCTTCCCGTGGCCTCGCCGGCGTAGGTATAGCATTGAGTCCTAGGGCAGAACTAGCTCTCTTAGAGTGGATCCCAGTAGACAGTCGTTTGTGCGCTGTCCGACTGAACGGAACAGTAAGAATCCGGAAAGATAGGGACACTCGTCGTTGCCTCTTCGTCGTCTCTGCCTATTCTCCCACTGACTGCAGCTCAGATGATGTAAAAGATGAGTTTTACAGAAAGCTTTCGGACCTTCTCCGAAAAGCTAGGCGCTCGGATGTAGTAATAGTGGCCGGTGACTTTAATGCTCAAGTAGGTAAACTAAGTGATAAGGAAAGACACCTAGGTGGATCTTATGGTGTCGTGGCTCAAAGAACAGATAATGGCGACCGTCTGTTGCAGCTATGCTCAGATAACCGCCTGTTCCTTGCAAATACTAACTTTAAGCATAAGGAAAAACATCTTTTAACATGGCGACCCCCTAATTCGTCCCAACGTTGGACCCAAATAGATCACATCGCTATCAGCCACCGATGGAGGGGCTCGATAGAAGACTGTCGCTCATTCTGGAGCACATGCCTAGATTCAGATCATGCTCTAGTGCGAGCGCGTATTTGCTTGCGTCTTACTGGACGTAGGAAAGACGCTGCAAGGAAACCTCTTAGGGCCCTACTTAATGATAGTCAAGCTAAGAGTATATTTCAGGAACAACTAGGAAAACAGTTAGGCAGCCATGTATGTGATGCCCACCCCGATGCAGCATGGAATGATATCCGAAAAGCTGTGGAAACAGCAGTGATATCTGCTAGTAAGGTAAACCAGAAGGTTAGGGAGCAACACTGGATCTCAGCAGCATCTATCTCACTGATAGATGCTCGGAAACTCATTCCACCTGGCTCTGAACATAATGAAGAGCGGAGTCAGCTTAAGCGCAAGCTGACAAGAAGTCTACGCAATGATCGCGAACAGTGGTGGGTAGCGAAAGCAAGAGAGATGGAAAAGGCAGCGGCAATAGGTAATAGCAGACAATTGTTCAGACTCGTTAAGGAAACCGGAATTAGGAACCCGACCGTTAGCGAAACAATCTCAGAGAAAGATGGACATATTATTCATTCTCAATCCAGGAGATTGGATCGATGGGCAGAACACTTTAGGGATCAGTTCAACTGGCCTTCAGCCACACTTCGGTTTCCCACGATCTCCAGTCAACCTGAATGGCAAGTTAATGTAGGTCCTCCGTCCCTTTACGAAGTTGAAAAAGCCATAGGAAATCTGAAACGAGGGAGAGCAGCAGGCCCTGACAGGTTTACTCCTGAGATTTTTAAGGATGGTGGTCCAGTATTAGCAATGAGATTAACTGAGGTCTTAGGTAGAATTTGGGAACTGGACGTAATCCCATCTGACTGGTCTCAATCACTGATTGTGCCAGTTTTTAAGAAAGGACAAAAGTCCTCTTGTGACAATCACAGAGGAATCAGTTTGACTAATATAGTGTCTAAAATATTAGCTTCAATAATACTTCGACGCCTAACTAAAGCTCGTGAAGAGCAGACTAGAGAAAACCAGGCTGGTTTTCGACCTGGACGTGGTTGTATAGATCAGATATTCACACTACGTCAGGTTCTAGAACACAGACACACATTCAGACGCCCCACAATGGTAGTATTTCTCGACCTTAAGGCGGCATTCGACTCGATTGATCGTGAGGTTCTATGGCAGTGTTTGTCACTGAAAGGAGTACCAAAGAAGTACATTAACCTTATAAAGGCTCTCTACTCGAACACAACTGGTCGAGTGAGAGCTTATGGCGAACTGTCATCAGAATTGATTACCTCAAGTGGTGTTCGTCAGGGCTGTCCACTCTCCCCATTCTTGTTCAACTTTGTGGTCGACGTACTTTTAGAGATAACACTCTCCTCATCTAAATTTCCAGGGGTTGAACTTCTACCGGGAGGTTCACTTGTTGACTTAGAATATGCTGATGACATCGTTTTATTTGGTGAAGACACTGACAAAATGCAGAGTCTTCTGGCCACTCTAAGCAACAATGCAAGCATGTTCGGGATGCGATTCGCTCCCTCGAAATGCAAAATGTTGCTTCAGGATTGGGTTACATCGACACCCGAACTAGTGATAGGGAGTGAAGTAGTTGAGTGTGTCGACCGCTTCACTTATCTTGGAAGTCTCATCAGCCCTTGTGGTTTAGTGTGTGACGAAATCTCAGCACGGATACAGAAGGCTCGATTAGCTTTTGCCAACTTGCGTCATTTATGGCGTAGGCGAGATATCCGTCTATCAACCAAAGGACGTGTTTACTGCGCAGCAGTTCGTTCCGTCCTACTTTATGGGAGTGAAACATGGCCGGTAAGAGTAGAGGATATTCGTAGGTTACTAGTATTTGATCATAGGTGTCTTCGAAACATTGCTCATATATCATGGGACCATCGAGTAAGTAACACAGTTGTTAGGAAACGGGTACTAGGTAAGGATGGCAAATCAATTGATGACGTAGTGAAACTTCATCAGTTGAGATGGCTGGGACACGTGTTACGTATGCCCAACGACCGACTGCCTCGACGTGCTATGTTCAGTGGTATAGGAGTAGGTTGGAAGAAAGCTAGGGGCGGCCAAACCAAAACATGGCACAAGTCCATGAAGTCACTGACAAGTGGACTGAGTCATGTTGGTAGGTGTAGACTACCTGGTTGGGGACCGCGAGATGACAGCAACCGATGGTTAGAGACCCTGAATGACATGGCTCAAAATCGTTTGCAATGGCGCAGGTGCATCCACTCTCTGTGTTCTCCCAAATTCTAATCTTCTGAATTCTTCATGTCCCTTTTTTCCTCTTTCCAAATTTCTTTCACTGGATTATACTCTTTAAATAACATCTCCAAACCCTAATCTTCCCGATTACTGCTTATACTCTTATTACCTCTACCACGACGGGATTTGAATCGACAAGTGCATCTCTGTGCTAATGTGGTGTGGCAACTCGAACTGATGTACGTACGTACGAAGTTCTACGTTGTTACTGACTGACTGACTGAATCTACAAAGAGAACCAATCACAAGCAACATAATTGAAGCGGATTGATATGGTACATATGAAATAACCGAAATCTAACTTCTATATAAAGTAAACCCTGAAAACCTCTAGAATGACAATCAATCTCTATAATTAAGCCACCTAACTTAGAGAACATAATCTTAAAAGAGAGTGAAACTATCCCAACAGATACACCAGGCGAGAATTGCGTTACATCACTTACACTGAAATGAACCAACTCAATTTCAGTCTCCATAACTTGATATTATTTCGCTTACAGTGAATGTAACTTGAAAATAGTTAGTTTGATCTTACTGGATTCTGTAAATGAACATTAGGAGTGTTAAATTGTCAGAAATTAATTATGTTCATTGGCTTTTCAATTTTGAATAATTCTCCAACTTGATTTCAAGTCACAATGTCAATTACTGTCAACCTATACAAAATCTTTACAAAACTAATTTGAACAAGAAAACATTTTTTTATTGCTTTTTTTTCTTCTATTTTCTTATTTTAGTCTAGTTAAAACAACTACTCATCGACGTACTATTGGTGATCAGAATACAATATCAGATTTCGAAAATAATACAGAATCTCAATTACCTACAGATGATAACGTTCAAACAATTTTATCTAGTGAAAATGTTAATGATATTGAAAAAAGAAATAATTGTTTAATCAATTTGCCAAATAATACAAATACACTTTCAACCATGCAAAATAATTTATATGTAGAAAGTTCAGCAAAGAACTTGCTTAAACCTCAATCGGATCAGTCAATCGACTTACAACTTTGTGCAAACAACAAAATTACTAATCCTATCGAAAGATCATCACGTTCATCTTGTTATTCAACACTTCATGAAAGGTAGTTGGTTTTCTTTTTTTAACATTATATCTTAAATGATTATTATTATTTAAAACAATTAGTCCCTTAGATAAATTTCGATAGTGCAATGAGAAGACGTAGTTTATCAGAATTATGTGATATACATTTCGAACACTCGATCACACATATACTTGTTAAGAACATTTATATTTGAAAATTAAAAGGTCAACTAGACAGGTTAAGGGTAAGTCATAACAAAGGAAAAATATTAAAGTACACAAAAAACAAATGTGATTACCACTCTGGATTATAAATAGTATTACCAGGGTATGTTAAGTGTAAGGACACATTGTTTTTGAACACATAAAGGGGGTTTCAATTTCCGTATAGCCAAGGCTTCAATAAACCTTAGTACACGTCCTTGAAGGCTTTTGTACAACACAACAAATGCTGATTTGATATCAACCTTCTGACCCGTCTCAATCAAATGTTATTATTATATTTTAATTCTTTCATTTATAAGTGAACAAATAGTAACAAGACGATTGACGGTTATAATTTATATCAAACTGCTAGATGATTTGAAATGAAATCCAAAACACAATAAGGTGTCTAATTAATTTTTTAAAAGTCATTCGAAACCCTCAATCAACATTGATCAACAATATAAGCAGAGATGGGTGGTAACTAATAGTGGAATCCAGGACGCGCTATGCATCCTGTTTGATACTCGTTATCTGAATCTAATTATATCTTAGAGTTAATGTTCACTCGATCAAAACGAACGGTACTGGGTCTGAGTCTCAGATGGGACGAAACGCCCTTCCTGGATTCCAATGCAAGACAACCTTTATTTTAGATTGTAATGATTTGTGTGATAATTGTAATGCTACCCATGTGTCGGTTTTCCTAAAACAATGATTATAAATTATATTCGATGTAGATTCATACTGTGGAATGCAGGATGCATATTTCGCTTCATTTGGGACTGATCTCCTAGGCGTGCACCTATATTTCAGTGTTATTATTTTCATGTTGAAACTCGAAATCAATGTCCATCACTTCAAACCCTAAACACATTATCCACTAAGCTACAGAGTTAAGATAATGAGTAATTTGTCCAATGGATCTGAAGTTATTAGTAATAGTTTGTAATTTCCCGTTATCTGTGTATCCTTAGCAAAATACACTGATATAGCTTTTCAGTTACAAGGTATATATATAAATATATTTAAAATATTCGCTTTTAGACTTGAACCTCCAATCCATATCTATGATACTGCACATAATATTCAAATAAATAACACTAATGATCACAAATCTGATTTATCGAATCCAAGTAATGAACAAGTAACATTACTAGATGCGAAATATCCCTCTTCTTTTGCACCTCAGTCTAATATTATTCAAACAACTACAGAAAATGTGGTTGTAAATCAACCCGAAGATACCAGTTTAACACAATTACAAACAACAAAGTATGCTGATTTATCGTTTTTACCAAATTCATCTTTAAATAGTCCGTTACCATGTATGCCATTATTATTGACAGATACCACAAGTCAGTCACTCCACAAACCCCTTCTGATAATTAAAGAGTTAACAAGTCAACAACAACAGCAGTCACAACATCGTTCCATCTCTTCTTCTAACCAACATCATCTCACTAGTTTATCTAAAAGTGCTGTGAATCGTCTGTATGATATTGAAATCAGCTCATGTTCAACTGCTTATGAATCAGTTATGGAGGTAAGATTGATTTATCTCTAATTTAATATCCATAAAGTATATTCAGTATTCCGTCACAACATTTTATTCATTGTATGGATATGTTATTTTGGTAGATGTTTACGATGGAATTCAAGATGCGCTGAAATTTATTCCATTTGGAACTTTTTCAGCTGATATTTAGATCGAAACTTGAACCTGATACCCAATGCTTTAAAAATTGTGGCTTATCGTACTACAATTTTTAATTTAACTGTTGCAACTCACTTTATAGGTTTGTGTACTCAATGTTAAGTCATTCCTTTTATTTGTAGATTAGTGATACTATCCTGCCAACCGAGATAGAAATGGGTAATGTGTCTGGAATTTACACGGTGCTGACTAAATCTTAAATCATTTAACCACCAACTTGTCTATTTTGTTTTATCTGAAACTTTTTTAAACTGTTTACTTGAATAATAAAAGTGGAAGTTGACTTGAATTTGAATAGTAATTCCTGTTTTTACTCAATAGTTGAGAATATCTGGTTTAAAACAAGTAATATGTTGATCAAAATGAAGTGTTGAATATCTGTTTGTCATTGTTGGGGAGATCCAGTAATGTACAAGTCTAATTTCAATCAATTCATAATATTGCGCGACCATCTTCCAGTGTCTTTGAAGGATACCTTCCCTACACCCGACACGGTTTAGCTCTACTGGTCACATTTAATCTGTTCAAATCTCACATCCTTAACATACAATTTAACTCGAATCCTAGACATTATAAATATCACATTTTTGACAGCCACCCAGATGTACACAAATACACATATATTATTTCACCTTTGACCTGATTGGTATGACAACACAATCAGATTTATACCGGAAGAGTTTTTTGTGGATATTATAGTAATTTCAGTGGTTGAGATCATGAGTCAATTGAAGCTAGACCACCATGAAAAACCTGGAAGCACTGGATGGCTGTTTCGTCCTATTGTGACCAGTGAAGTTCAATCGGGTCTGTTGTGAGATAGTAACTCACTGAACACAGTGGTGGATGTGTCGCTCAATTTCGTGGATTAGTTCAAGTTAGACATTAACACCGTTAGATGCCGACCAGCTCAGTGGTCTAGTGGTTAAGCGTTCGCGCGCAAGACCGATATGTCCTGTGTTCGAATTTCGCGAGGCGGACTCGTGGATGTGCACTGCTGAGGAGTCCCACAATAGGACGAAACGGCCGTTCAGTACTCCAAGGTTCTCCATGGTGGTCTAGCTTCAATTGACTCATGATCTCAACAATCAGATTTGTTTTGATTGTACTAAATATTTTTCAATGTTTCTCTGTACTAATTTTATTTGGTTATTTATTTAAAGAAGCAATTTATGCAAAGCATCAAAAATTCAATTTTCTACTAATTGAGATGTTAAAATAAATCATTATTTTATTAGTGCAAACACCCAATGCTCCATGTATTTGACATTATTTATTCAAAGACTCTAACTATGAATTTCTGTGGACTGTCTATAAACACGGCACTAACAATATTTACAATTCACTCTTGGTCTAGTAATAGATAATCATATTGGCTCCTTGGTTCAGTAGAATTTAATCAGGACGTACAACATATAAACTATTTTGCTCATCGATTTGTGTCAAGTGATCATATCAAAAAGTTGAACTCAGTGTTGTTTATTTTCAAATATTTTCATTTTAGTATACACCAACTTGTGATGATGTTACTTCCAAACAGAAAACAACCAGGTCAGTAGTTATATATATATATATATATATATATATATATATATATATATATATATATATATATACTTCCTGTTTTTGTTACGTGTAGCCATTTTCATACATTTGTTATTCATAATCTTAGATTATAATATAGATTGAGAGAAAAGATGAAAGTCATGAGTGGTGTTCGTGAATTAGTTTCTATTAAAATCATGAGATTCAAGTTGTTAAACTAAGACAAACTTTTGAAGTCCTGCAATTGCAACTCTTGTACTAGTTGTCATCTGTCAGTATGGCTTATATTTTATCGTAAGGGGAGATTGATGCTGCACATGAAATTTCAAACTGCCCATCACCCAATCAATTAAGTTGCCAGTGAGTGATGTAAACAGTGACTGATATACTTACAGTGGTTGATCACTGGGTTTTAACCTATGCGGCATATGTCTAATTCTTAAAGGTGATTAAATTCCATTTATCAAGTGTAAATATGATCAGTAGTCTAAATAACTGAACATTGTGTTCACTTGCTTGAATACTAGATTTTTGGAGGCAATTTGAAAGAAGCTTTCGACTTCATATTAGTTGATAGTCGTCATCAAAACAAATATCTGAAACCTCGATGGTAACTAATGCATATCTATCGGAAAGATAACAGTTCATTAAAAAATTCACAGTATGATGCATTCATTAAAATTAAAATTGTGTTATGTTGTTTGCTAGAAAATATGACTAAATTTGAAGCGCAAACTTTGATTTGTCATCCGAACATTAGTTATTTGTGTAAGCATTGCGTAAGAACACTAATTGCATACTATCCTATAGTCAGAATGTAGAAATGGGTTTAATAGTTTTACTTTCATACTTAACCTTGATTTTAAATTTATATGGTAATCTATGGAATAATTCAATAGGTGATATTTAATGTCGAATACAACACACCTAATTTTATAATTATTCCTAGTTAAATTACGCTAAGAATTTCTGTGAAATATGGCGAAAAGTATTTCACAAAGACTGTTGAGGTGACTTACAGAAAGCGCGACAAAGCCTCCGGAGGCTCTAAGGGAACCAAAGAGATTCCATCCAACCAGAACTCGATGGCATTTTCTAGAGTATAAATGTGGGATACGGTGTTTGAACAATTGTATGATTTCGTACTTGAGGATTGGCTGGATTATACTAATCCTATAACCTATACTAAAAACTACAGCCCTATTTTTCTATACATTATTCACACTCAACCGCTTTTCCTGTTTTTTCTGTCTTTTAAGTTTCGATGCATCCGAGTGCTGATAGCCATCTACCATATTAACCGTAGTCAAGTAGAAGATATAACAAAGAATAATTTACACACTCGTTACAAATGAACTCACATATACTTGCTAACTTAACCGCTATGTATTTCACAACTATTAAATAACAGATCATTTAGAATACTTTTGGAATAATTGATTTTTTTCGTGTGTTAAAAATATAGACAATAATATTTCTACATTTAAACTCATGAATAAAATTTTTTGGAACCATATCTATGGTCCGTACACTGAGAATTTTCCACTACTGGTGTGTTTAATCAGTAGGGATATGAAATGAACAAAGATTTGTTTAAAATACGATCAATTATCACTTCGTAAAAAAAAAATAAACCAAATTCACATGGAGTAACTTCATGATCAAGTAAATTTCGACTATTTGATCTAATTACAATGAAATACGTTTTCATTTTTCATTTCTAGAGAGTTGGTAAATATCAAAGATTTTTAATTATTATAGTTAAAATGACTACGACAGACAAGAAACTTTATTCTACTGAGCATGAATAAATATTTGAAAGTTTTCTTTTTTTCTCACTTCCACTATCCACCAGAAGAGATAGTACACAAATATATACACATTCCATCTGCAAATTTGTGAATCTTTTAAATTATCTTTAACTCAAGAAAAACCGTGTTTACTCTTTGCGTAACCTGAATGCATATATCTAAATAGTTTATATCAGTTCGACCTTTCGTATTAAGTTAATTAAGTTGAAGGATTTATATGGGAATTGGTTTAGCTTGTAGGTTTTATTCGTCACATTGACTGGAGTTGAGATTGTAACACTAAATGCCGTCACAGTAACTCCAATGTTTAGGTCTTTGCTACAAGACCTGAACACCCTAAGTTTGACACCCAGAGGCCTGACCCCAGAGATCCTTAAGGATGTTGGTCCAGTCTTAGCGGTTAAGTTGACCGAGATATTAGTTCAAGTCTGGAAACCGAATGTAATCCCATCTGACTGGTATCGATCGCTGATCGTCCAAGTCTATAAGAAGGGAGAAATCCCTCCTGTGATAGCCTCAGAGAATATTCAATCTTCTATCTGAAGTTTGTGCTGATGATGTCGTTCAGAAGAACGATGAAAGCTCCACGACCAAACCATCCAGCTCAGAGAACAAAACTCCACCAAAATCATCCACCTGAGCTACAAATCTTCTCCACCATCTCAATATTCAATCTTCACCAAGTTTTAGAATATTCGCATACTTACCCACGCTCGACCACGATGGTATTTTAACGGCAGATCCGGTACGGCCGATGGTAGGGAGAGTCAGCTCTCCCTCTCTAAATGCTCTCACATGGCCATGAGTATATAGCCACTGTCAGAGAAGCCCTACTCACTGCCTTCTTGCGGCGGGGGTGTTGTTTACGACATTGAGAGGACGAAAAGCGAATGTACGACGCTTTAACAGGGTTGGTGGCTATGGAGGGTCCACCTAGGGCAGTGGAAAAACTCTTATTCCAAACCAATGGTGCACATGGGCTCCAATATCCTGAAGGAACAAATGGCGTATAGACCAATTACTAGTCACTGGCTACCATGAGACTGCATCTCCTGACGTTGCTCTACTGCCTTGTGGATCAAACCTTTAGGTCGAAGGCTCCGGGTGTGGTCCTCTAAGAAAACCATCTGCTTCGGTCTGAGCACCCGGGCAGTACGCAGCCCACATACAAATCAAGTAACTTGTGTGGCGCATATGTATTCAGTGCCTCTTTGTACCAATATTTATGTGTTCATACAAATAAATAAATAGTAAAAATACATATAGAAGTTCTATTGTGATGTTTACCACTAAAAAGCGTGCTGGGTGGTTACCAGCCTATCGTATACTTAAAATATACATTTATCGAACAAATAGCCTATGTATTGCACAATAGGCCACCTTGTATTACTTTATGGCTATGAAGGGAAGCGAAAAAAGGAAGTCCGAAGAAGACACTACGTCAGGAAATGGAAGCAGATATGAAAAGGATGAATAGCAACTGAAAAGGATTGCCCAGGACAAAATTGGATGAAGAGTGCTGTTGGGCGGCCTATGCTCCTCAGCGAGCGGCAACAGTCGTAAGTTTGAAAATAGAAGACACGTGTAGGCTGAAGGCTTTTGACCACAAATGTCTTCGAAGCCTTGATCGCGTTTTATGGAATAACCGAGTGAGTAATATTAAGGCTAGGTACATGGTACCTGACAAATCAATCTGTGAGGTAGTAAGCTTTCGTCAACTGAGGTACGTAAGATATTTGTAACATACGGCTAACTATTGCCTGCCTCAACGAGCAATTCTTGGCTGTACATAATCCGGTTGGAAGAAAGTTGTGGGCGGCCAAATAGAAACATGCCACAAGTATTAGCCATGTAAGCAAGTCCAGACTACCTCATTGGGGTCCGCATGATAACCATAACGAATTTGTGTGGCATAGTTCATTATTGATCAAAACTGACCAGATGCATTCTCTCTTTATCTTTCAATATTAAATTCAATTATGTTTTCATGCATACCTTTCCACTCTGTCTTTTTAAGTCATATTCTCAAGGTTTATTACGACTACATTATTTTGATCTCTTTTTCCCACTTAGTGTTGCTAATCAAGTATGGCAACTTAGGTCAATACACTTTGTTCTAAGTTGATAATGTCTGTCTGTTGATTTCCAATGGGAAATTGAAAATATTCATTACTAAGGAGGAATGCTATACAAATATAAAACAACCATTCAGTGCTCCTCGGTTTTCAATAGTACCCTATTTCAGAGCAATTCGTAACAAATGCAGTCTATTATTTTCAACTATTTAATTTAACCTCTATTATTGAATTTCTATTTTTATTCATTTTAGAGAAGTTTACGAAGATGCTGAAGTATTATATCGACACTTATCTGATTTGAAACAATTCTGATATACAAACAATAGTAATAGATTCATCTCATTATCATTAATAAATTTTTTTTACAATCTTCATATACATACAGTTTGTACACAAATTATTAGTTCTCTGAATCAAAAATATTATCTGTGTATGTGTATTGTCACAAAAAACAATATACCTTATAAAATTCTATATTCAAACATCACTTCCTAATTCTTTCTACATTCAACTATCTATATATTTATTGACATTACTCTCGTTAGTACTGCGATTACTGTTTTTTTATTACTATTATTATCGTGATAATTAACACGTATTCTTAATCATTATTCAAGAGACAAACTTATAAGATTCTGTGATGATGGCGAATACTTAATAAGCATAACGCAATTCAACTTAATGCTTATATGTTAAATGTGATGATAATCGTTTTTATGCATTTGTTTTGTAGAATATAATGGGATTTATACAGAATAGGTAGGGGTTCGGTAATCAATGTGGATTCCTCTTAAGATATTCATGTGTTATATGCATTTCATACATTTTTGTCCTGTTATCCTATTATCATTATTATTCTTCTATTATTACTAACTTCATCACTAAAAATATTTTAGCATTTATTATCTTAATTATAATGATGATGACGATCACTATCATTATTAAGAAAGAATATTCTTTCAACTGTTTTCGTTTCTATACACACCTCCTACAAACGAACCAACCACCAAGACACGTGACTGTCTACAATGGTCGGGTAGATTTGTTTTCCTTTTTCTCTTTTGATAGTTGTATTTTCACGGCTAAAAGTGCAACTTTGATGATAATAATAATAGTAAAGATTAGAACAATGAATAACCTTGTCTCGTAAAAAGAAATTGACGTATTATTTGTGGAAAATTCTCTAAAACATTTTTTTCCAATGTGAATAAGAGGATGATTGATGATAGCGATATGTTATGTTATATCAGAAAGTGCTGTGATTCTTTTAACTTAAAATCACATTTAACATTATTATCATTTTTCGTATCTTCGGTTGACGTGATCAGAATTACACAAAAGCCAACTGTAAACTATTGATATACCATTATAACTCGCATTTTACTCTCCATTATACTTCATGTTTGTAATTCTATATCTCTTCGTTTTTTGTTTTGTTTTCAATAAGATGGTAACCTTGCATTTATTTAACAACGATGATCTTATTCATACATGACTTCGTTTACAGTTTTTTTTGTGTTACTTTACAATTTACAAACCCAAAAACTACTTGAAACTCATAGATTAAAAATAAAGCATTTGATAATTTTTTATTTGTCTACTTACATTTTACTGGTAATATAGTATCTAAATCAATGTGAAATTTGGATACTGTGTATTTTTGACCTGTATTTCCAAAAGAATTCTTCGACTTACATTCCAATGGTAACTTAATTGTCAAGGATTTTTATACTGTACTTCCAATTACGCTTGTGATTACGAACGGTCACATTGTTCAAGTGCTTAGGTCTGGTTGACTGTGTTAATCTTTATTTCTTTATATCCACCAAGGTAAGTTTCTTAAAATCTTTTCAATTGGAATGGAATATCGGCTTCTTAAACATAAAAGGGATGTAGCGAAACTAAATTAACTACATGCACAACAAAACAATTTAGCATAATTGTTGCCTCAGTTGTTTGAAATGAAATGTACTCATTATCAAAGAAACACCATATCTCTTAGCCCACTTCGACAATTTCTAGCTTCATTGAGATGCCAATTTCCATAAAATATTCGTTCTTTAAACACGGCAGCTTTTCTGAAACGCACTTTAACGAAAAAAGTCAAGTAGAGAGTAGACTGCAGTTTCACATGCGCAGTCCTGAGCCATACATATGTGGACTAGTGTTACTACCTATGAAAGCCCACTAACCATGGCAATTCATTTTGTGGAACAAAGGGAAGCTTATGGAATAAGTGATTAAGATTTTATAGGTTCATTCACAGACAGACAGTTGTAAACCACGAAGAACTAGTAACAACTCATACAGCTAAATATCGATAAAAAAACAATAAAGTTTGTCCAGTGAAGGTAAAATGAAAGGTATCACAATCGATATGGTTATGGGGAACAAACTGTTGATCGTGAGCAACCGAAACCACTACGTAAGCCAATTTCAGTTTTTGTCATCAGTGAAAAGCGAGTTCGTAGTGCCCAAGATTCTTGTTAAAATGGATACTCCGGCAGAGAATTCACTTCTGACCATCTAAAAGATGTCAGCTGAAATAATGAATTGAGGGAAATGAGTATTCCATAATGAAACTACAGTTACACCTGTGTTTACACTCTAAATTGCTTTAAGTTACATTCATGACCCGTTATTAGGAAGAGTAGGAAATTTTTTAAATGGCTTCGACTAAAATTCAGAAACGTCTAGTTAATACGCCAGTCATTATTGCTTCGTTTTAATAAGACGATGTTTCGCTACACAAACAAGTGTGGATTCATTTGACAAAATCAATCATTGAAAATATCTATTTTTATTCGATGAATATAATTGTACTCAAGTAATCAACATTTAACCTTGAACTTACAAAAAAAAAGCTGCTAACTATCATATACACTAAATTATGAATTCTTTCAAAATAGGATTCTACTTTTACCTATGATAAGGGAAAAAAGGCCGACCTACTTATTTCATTCATTTATAAATATCATAATGCACAGTAGAAAATAACAATCGAATAGTGAATAGCAAGGTCCCCAACCCAACTATTCCTACTCGAACTATTGTCAAACAAACAAAAAATTCCTTTCTTTCCATTTTTAAATACTCTTTAAAAGAAAGAATTTCAACATAATTATAAGTTATATGATCGACGATGACAGTAAAACTTTAAATGACAAAAAAGAAGTTCGCGTGTATATATATATATATATATATATATATATATATATATATATATATATAAAGAAAAGGGGAAGAAGAACATACGTTAGTTTAGAAAAATAATATCCATAACAGGGTGTTTTTACTTAGATAAGCAAAATAAACAAAGGATCGATCGTGCAGAACAAAAAGAAAAGTGCACCAATTCAAAGTTAGGTGAATAGATAGAACAGTCTCTTGTTTACTTAAATGTGCTTCGTTTGTCTGTCTATGGGTAAGCAATACTTAGTATTCGAAAGGAAAAAAAGAAGAGAAAATTACACTTTTGTACAAACCAACGAATAAACAACTTGGAGAACGAACAAAATGAATAAATAAATGTGTATACATAGACAGACATAATACATTCACATTACTACTGTTTAACACACGCTGTCTGACACATCATTCAGAGTTTGTATTATTAGTACTACAAACATTAATGGTAATAGTATTAGTACACGTACACAGAATATCGACTCAACTGCAATACAAAAAAACAACAAAAAGAAATAGAATACTAACTAAGAAGCCAAAGAAACGGATAACCAAAAGAGGGAAGGGCAAATCAATTAAAAAATCTATGGAAAACAAAAAAAGATTCAATAAAATTATCTTTGCTGCTAAATCAGTAGAAATATATCTAATTCATTCATGCATTATTCCTAGATCAAGTATATATATATATATATATATATATATATATATATATATATATATATATATATATATACACGCATATATTACACCGTTCTTTAAGTGTTCGCCATAATCTTCAATCATAGTATTTTTAAGTGTAGCGTAAATGCTAGCTAAAATGACAATTAACTTCAATATACTGACGAAGAATCATCTAAAAACTTCTATACTAAACATTAAAACAAGAGATACGAATAGTAATATATATACTACTGCTATTGTTTATTACATTTTTTTCATCAGTAGTGAACCTTTCTCGTTTACATCTATTCCGTCAGAGAAACCAAAATAGAACACAGACATTTTAAAAACAAAACATATGTAATGAACAGATAAGGATGGGGTCGATGGCGGTCGTGTGCGTGTGTATGTATGTGTGTTTAGTTACCAGCCGTGAAGATTATTAATTAATAGTAACAATATAATACAATAAAACAGGTGAATGAGATCGATAAGGTGTGTTCTGATTTAGTTGTTTTCTTTCAAAAAAAATTTTCTCAGCTCACTGATGTACATGGAAGTGTAGGTGAACCCATTTGTCGAAGTACACGATCAAGCCATTTTAATGGTCCATTTAAATGTACTTCTATCCAACATGGTGTGCTGGTTATTGTTTGTCTTCTAAATTAAATAAAAATGTTTTTTTTTGTTAACGTAAAAAAATATTAATCATTGATAAGAAAAAGGTAAGAACCTGATGAGAAATTATTGAAAAGAATATTTTTCGTTCATATATTTGTGTTTCAATATAATGGGAATTTTTCAGCGATTAAAAGGTGGGGATATAATTTTTGGATAAACCAATCAGAATTAAAGCATCAACTATTCTATTTTAGACGGGTTTTGTGGATATTATAGTAATTTCAATGGTTAAGATCATGAGTCAGTTGAAGCTAGACCACCATGGAATTCATTTATCCATATGATTAACTGGCATTATAGCTTATGTCAATATTCATGATGAAAAGTTTAACTTTCATTCTTAACCTTAACTTCTAATTTCTAGTACTAATTCATAATCCTAATTCAACCTTTGCAATTGGTTGAAGTTTTCTCATGGTTACTTTAGTATAACTGAAAGTTTGTTCATAAATTATAGTTTAGCTGAAAAGGATTCACAATATAAACATGCTAAATGTATATTATTCTACCAAAAAGAAAAAAACTACAAAGTATTTAGAAATGTCTTTTTAAAGAATATGACAATATTATATTTATTTATTGGTTTTTTTCCTTTGATGATATTTCAGATTGTTATATCCCGACGAAAATAATGAATGGCAACTGTTGGGATCTATTTATGGACTAATATTATACATATATTCTTATTGTATAATTATTAAGTGACTAGATTATTTATATTTATATTCCATTTATTAATAAGCTTTATTTTGACCTATACACTATTATGATACGATTTACTATTCATGAGTTATACCTAATTTATTCATTACAGTTTTCCACAATCATAGCCACTTTTCGGCTTGATCTTGCACAAATCTTATTTCCTACTTTATGATGCGATGTGATCTGCTTGGCTTGTATATAAACCAGGTATGTTTGAAATAAATGATTCATATAGTGGAAGCAGATATCAGCGTTCTGGACTAAACAGGAAGGTCAAGGCAGCAAAAAGGACCATTAAGGACGCTGGGCTACTTATACCAAACGATATTTCATTGGTTTGGTACAGTGCTAAGATTGTATAAGTCGTATTTCGATTGGTGAATAAGTCACGTGATAATTACCCGGGCTAAAATTCACAACACAGATCACAATTGATCCCGACAGGGATTGGCCAATAAAAACTCTAAATATTGATAAAAAAACAGAAAAGACAAAGAAGGAACCTTATGAACCCATCGTTGTTTGAAGAAATAGGGCGTTTTTGGTTTGAGTAACAGTGTAAGTGTCAACACTCAAATGCTGGTATATCTGGCTGATGAATCTTGAATAGGAAACAAGGACGCGCGTTACCTCCTATATTTGAGACTCTTCAGCTAGATGGATATTCGTAGGTTACTAGTATTCGATCACAGGTGCCTTCGAAACATTGCTCGTATATCATGGCACAAATCCATGAAGTCACTGACAAGTGGACTGAGTGAGCCATGTTGGTAGGTGTAGACTACCTGATTGGGGACCACGAGATGATAACAACCGATGGTTAGAGACCTTGAATGACATGGCTCAAAATCGTTTGCAATGGTGCAGGTGCATCCACTCTTTGTATTCTCCAAAATTCTAATCTTCTGAATTCTTCATGTCCCTATTTTTCTCCTTCCAAATCTATTTCACTGGATTATACGCTTTGAATAATATCTTCAAACCCTAATCTTTCCGATTACTGCTTATGCTTTTGCTACCTCTACCACCATGAGATTTGAATCGAGAATTATATCTCTGTGCTAATGTAAATATGACAACTTGCGTACGTACGAAGTCCTACGTTGCTGCTGACTGACCCCAGTTAGATGTATACCTGTACCAAAGTGTAGATAGATCCACCTAGATCTTGGCCCAGTAACTTTTACTTGGAATCATCATTACACTAGCTCAATTGAGTAGTCCACAATAAAACCATTTATTCATAAATAGTAATAATAAATTATAAATGTAGCAAAACACCAGATATTAATTCAAACTAAATTAGCTCACCTATATTCTGCTCCCCAACCTTTTACAAAACTAACACGTATTGAACACATATGAGTTAGTGAAAAGACAGATTCATAACTACGTGACATATTATCAGCCAATTGACTAGCAAATGCTGCACTGTCAAAAAGTTTTAAATTACACTCTGAAAAGAAAAAGAAATAACGTATATCGTTATAATGGGACGAGTATTTTAGAAGTTCGAAGTGGTTTTTTCGAATAATTATTTACTATAATTTTGTTACATAGTTACTGAATATCTAAATTATCATGTATATGTATTACCTTTAGTATAAGCTTTCGGCTAACCCATCAACTACTGTCATACGACTTACTATTCCAAATATATTGCCAGTCCATTACTTACAGTCCCCCCCCTATTCACAGCCACTCATAACTTGTTTTTCACTTTATGGTATGATACAGTCTGGTATGTCCGTATATAAACGACGTCTGTTTGAAATATGAATACGAAATTTATATATTAGCTTATGACTTACACTTATGATAATAAAGGAACATAACGCTTTATAACTAGGCTAGCGCGAATCAAAATCAAAAGAAAAAACTGAGTTGTGTTCAATGTGAAATGTCTAATTATTCTTCATGTTTCCAGAATTACTCTGAAGTCAAGCTGTGGATCAGTGGTTGGGGTGTTCAACTTTCAAAAACTAAGTTGTAAGTTTAAACCCCACTCGAGCTACTTCAGTTTAAGCATGCGAGTAGTATCGCTACCTCTAAAACTTGGAATGTGACTTCGAGCTAAGTACAAAAATCTGTATCCGATAAACGACTAACGAAAATAATTATCAATATATACTCCACTGGGAGTAACAGGTGTAAGCAATATATATATGGAGAGAGAGCTATGATGAAAACACGGCATAGCAAACACTGACGTGGTGATTGAACATGTATTTTGTAGTGATGAAAACGATTGTTCCTACCAAGCTAGGCAGGTAGGTTGGAGAGTGTTACGACTAAAACCAACATCTCAAGGTCCGAAGGCTGTCATGCTACATCCGGAATTTCCCACAAAAAGGCCGTGTATGACCGGCTTTAAATAGTTGTCTTTCGGGATTTGCGGTCACGCTTCCAAGTCACTCAGATCACTACTTAATCTAGTTTCTTTTTCAGATCCATCAAGAAAAAATATTTCTCAGAGGTCTGAGAGACCAGGAAGTGACAACTGTCCTCATACATCTAACACTACTAAGGACTATCTCGTTCGCGATTAGATCCCTTCATCACTTCTCGATATTCTTTCTATCCCCACCATTAACGCCTCTCCCCTGACTTTATCTCCCCACTACTAATGTTAACGAATCAAGTATACATGATGTTATTCCTTATCTTGATTAGTGATGCAGCAAAATTCTACTAATCTGGGATTTTCCTAAACAATTTCATTGTTTTATTTTAACGCACTATGGCAACTTGAAATGATCTAGACAAACACCAAATTTTCTGTTGTGTATGACTAACTGATACACTATGATAAAAAACTAATTGAAGAGAAATTTTTTCCACCTTCCATCATTTTTCTTGAAATACCACTCATACTGTTTTCGTGGCCTTGTAATATAAACAAAAAAAAAATAGTTCATTCAAAAAGATAACCAACCTTAAGCAATCAATATCAAGAAAAGTGAAAAAAGATAAGTTGGGTTTCAGTCACGATGCAGTTTGGTTTGAACGGTTTGGACGGTTAAATTACACCGTACCGCTAGATTCAAAACAAAATACCAACTATCATTCATCTGATAGACAACTTTATAACGTGTCTGAAATGCTTAGAATCGATGAGCAAAACTATCGCGTACAATACTGGTACTGTTGTTAGTTGTATTCAAAATGTAGATCAATGAGGATTGATTCCTTTTTAGCTTCTTCAAAGTGAACTCCTTAAGTAAACTATATAATTTTTTATATATACCCTCGTAAAACATGCATGATATTTAAAAGTACGATATCCAGATCACTGTATTATCACACTAATTCCCTTGAACATTAACGAATGTTCATAAAAAGAATTTAAAGTTGTTTATGACCGAATACAGAATCCAGGAAAAAACTGACCCGTACACCGTACAACAAAATTTCTTGATTTCAAAAAAGCCAATCGTGACAAAGAAATATTTCCAAACCATGTAGAAAGAAAAATACTTTGCATATATCCAGGTTTCATATTTTTAGCGGAGAAAATTTGCATTTAATCTATCTTCGTGCTGATTGGTTGGTTAGTAAAAAACACGAAATGTCAAGGTCGTTTGTGATTTCGCTCATGGTCAAAAGCAAATTGTGTTGGCTTACCGTTCGAACAATAATAATGATACTACTACTACTACTACTACTACTACTACTACTACTACTACTACTACTACTATAATAATAATAATAATAATAATAATAATAATAATAATAATAATAATAATAATAATACAATGTTTGGAAGTTAAAGCATATAAGACCGTATTTATGGTGAACACTAATTTTGATGAAATCAGGTGCTCTGTAAACACAAGAAATAGAACATTTCAAACAAAAGATCCAATGATAATGAGGTTTAATAAAATTAAAATATTTATGATCACGAACTTGGTGGAACTTTGACAACAGTTGCTGGATGCCAACTGTAGAAACGATTACAACTGGGTGATTGAACAAAAACCGCAGCATCACTTAAACATTCAAGGTAAACTTCACTACCGATATGATGTAGTCGTATCCCACGACCTAAAAACAAAAATACCCAATGAATTAAATTACCGTCAAAATAATTTATTCATAAATTAAACAAGACACAGAAATTAGAAAATACAATTATCAAGGTTACACACGATTTTTGTTCTGAATTATTCATACAAATATGAGCACTCTGTTCGCAGAACTATTCAACTAATGAACTATAAAACAATATTAGTTTTATTTTAATACGTCTAACCTCCTTCTCCCCCACAAACATACACCCAAATTGGTTGACAGATGAATACCTACAGTAATCGATTGTTGCTTGAAGGAAAACAATGAATTCAGATAAATAGATAAAAAGCAACAATGTAGAAGAACTACGTGAACACTTCAATCTAATACACTGGCATCAAACAAAAGGGAAAACCAAAATAGCGATAAAGAACAATAATGAAACTCATGATATTAAAGAACTGAAAAAACAATAGAATAAGAAAGAAGATAAACAAAATCAAAGAAGGATCTCAACAAATCAATGGAAAACTAAAGAGTTCATGGAATGTATGCTGATTTTCCTTTATAGCGATGATCAATTACTAAAGAGTTCATTGAATGAATATCATTTGTGACTTGATCAATTCAAAGGTTGATTACCCAACTAGGGATACCACTGCGAGGTAAATGATTGTAAATTATATACAACGTGATAATATATTGGTAAAATCTGCTATATTATTGAATTGATTCATAAAGCTATTTAGTGACTCATTAATTTAACCCAACACTAGAGTCTAACACTATTATTACTACCACCATTACCATATATAAGAATACATTTTGATGACCCTAAAATATTGAGAAATTTATTACAAGGAGAGTAAGTCAACTCAAAATCGTCCAGGTAAGTCTTGCTAACAACTGATTATATGCACAAAACCTGAGTCCACAGTTTTCTGACGACCACCTCTAATCACCTAACATTATTAGATTATTTGTAATATATGACATTTGATAAATGTAAACTTTGTTAATGTTTCATCATCTATTGGATTAGGTAACAAAGTTAATGAGATCAAAGTATATGATTTGGAAACATAATTCGGAAAGGGATAGATGAGATTCGAACGCTTTATAAATCAATGTACCACATAATCTTAGAATACATATGAATTTATTTATCTCTAATATATAATAAAACATTTTTTGAGATAACACTTACCAATATGTCTTCTAGTCATCTCAACTTGCAAAGGTCGATTAACATGACTTAAGCTGCCTAAACTAAATCGATCAGAACGATAGCACGGTTCAGTAAAACCATCAATTGTTAACGTTGGCCGACCAGCGTGAAATGCATCACCAACACGAGTATTTAATTCATAATAAAAGACACTACACCAATACTGTACATCGGAGAAAGTAAAATCTAATATAGGCGTATTTGAATCCAATAGATTATCAAATTCTTCTGAAGAATGAAAACGATTAGGACTTTGTTCATTATTTGAACTAATTTGTTCAATGAAGTGTTTTTCTATTTAAACAAATTATGAATACATAGATACATATGTTTGAATTACAAATAAGATAGGTATTTTCAAAATGTATTCGTAAATAATTACTCGACTTTGAAATGTCCCAATCAAATGAAATTATAATTTCATTAAATATTGCTATATGGTAGGTACGTAGGTAGGTAATCTAGTGTTTATCTCACTTGTGGCGCTTATGACAACCAGGTTTTACAGTATTCGAATTTATTTCGTTGAACAATTCTTCATTTATGAGACAGATACTTAAATTGTACCTTTATTCTACATAATTATAAGGTTTAGTAAGTATATCCAACTGTTCCCAACGACGGCAAAAAACGATTATATGTATGAAGTATACACTAGAGTGCAGCTACAATTCAGACAGACACTGATGTTGGTGAACCAAACCTATGCGTATATAGATCATTAAAAGTGAATAGCAGTTTAACTGACCTAAAAAAAACAGAATGTTAAGTAAAATATTGATAAGATAGCTGTTTAATAGAATAAGCCAAAAGTAGATTATGATCGATACATCACTATCTTGGCACAATCTCCTGTTGACAATTGTAAAGCACTGATTGTAATTTATTTACCAAACGAAAGTCCATCTACTCGACTTTGAGTTATATTCTGTTTAAACCTGCTTCCTATTACTACTACTACTACTACTGCAACTACTACTACCACTGAAGAGAACAGAAAGGGATAGGAATAAAAACAGGATTGAAAGAATCATAAAGGATGTAAAGGACAACTGATGGAAGATATGCAAATGAAGTATTTAATGTATGGTTTTCGTATTTTACGAAGACATTCTATAATTTTATATTAAACAACAAATTGGTTTTCACTTTACTACTAATACCACTACTTGTAAACTTTTAGCACAACAAATATCACAAAGTAAAAGCCATAATTTCTGTTAATATTAGAATTTATCTAAGATTAGATTTCAGTTATACTACTAAAAGAGTGTAAACAGTAACAAACAAATCACTATTAAATCATCTTGTTCTATTCTCAAAACAGTACTTCGCAATTCAAATACCACATTTAACCAACCAACCGTAGTGTTCTTATAACAAAAATCACGAAAGCTAAAAAAAAATAATAATAATAGTAATAAACATACCAGAACTAGAAGTTTTTTGACTAATTAATTTACTTTGATCATCTAATGACGATAAATGTATATTATGATTTGGTATTGTTAATGAATTTCTACGTGATTTATTATTCATCATTCCTAAATTATTATTAAGTGGTATGGTAGTATTACGTTCAATTAGTGAGAAAGGACCATTCATTGTCTTGTCTGCAGATGCTTTCGCTAAGGCAGCTGCAATTAAAGCGGCTTGGTTTATGATTGGTGTCGGTGTTGTTGTTATTGTTGTTGTCAGTGATAATGAAACTATGGTAGATTGATTCAATGTTGATGATGTATTTGTATAGTGTTTAACATCTGATTCATAATAATTATTATTAATAATGATAGAAGTAGTAGTTGTAGTAGTAGTGGTAGGAGAAGTAGACGTAGTAGTAACCGCAGTAGTATTAGTGGTGGAAGTGATATTACTAGTGCTGTTATTTTTATCTGCATCATAACGGTCAGAGAAAATTGAATCTAAATATTAAAATAAATGGAATATATTTGATAATATCCCTTATTATTATAATATTTAGCTTTAGCTTTAAATCATACAGGAAAAAAATGATAGTCTAACGCATAAAATCCACTTATAATAAAGACAGATTTTGTATTTTTCACATAGCTCTATCTATCCACTTTACACTAACTCAGTATAATTCTTACAGGTTATCATGCAAACTAAGCACTGAGATTTATGCACATATTTCAAACTGATAGGGAAACCTTATACAATACTAAAAACTTAGATTTGATTAGTTAATTGAAGAATACAGTCAGCCAGCTACGACATAGGACAAGGCACATATATGCATCAGTCCAAGTTGCCACACCTCATTAGCACAACAAGATCAACACCAAATTCATAGAAGCAGTTACACCAATGGTAGTAATATATAATAGAAAGATTGTGTACAAAGATATAATACAGGAAGAAAGAATTAGTTCGTAGAAATAAAGGTATAAAGCAGTTTCAATCTCACGGTTTAAGGGAAGACAAAGAGTGTATACACCGACGCCATTGTGATCGATTCTGAGCCATGTTACCCAGGGTCTACAACCATTGGTTACGATAATCGCGTGGACCTCAACCAAGTAGTCTGCATCTACCAATATGGCTCAGATCACAAGTTAGTGACTTTAGGAATTGATGCCACGTTTTGGTTTGGCCACCCCTAACTTTCTCCCATCTGTCTCCAACACCAGTCAGCACTGCGCGTCATGGTAATCGGTGGTTGGGTATGCATAATACATGGCCCAACCATCTCAGTCGATATAGATTCACAACCTCATTAGCTGCGAACACACCAGTTTTGGTTTCAAAAGAGGATTTTTACAATAAATAGAAAAATGAGGGTAAAACTATTCAAAACCAAATTAGTAAATGGACCAATTGTCGATGCGAAAACACTTTATTGTTATATAGTAACATAATAAGAAACGAGGGAAATAAACAATTGTTTGACGCTTTAATAGTAAAGAGAAAATAAGTACAGGCGAAAGGAAGAACATTAGGTTAGTGGTCACAGGGTTCGACTTTCATCCACTAAGTCCCAGATTAGGATTCCGGCCCACCTAACTTTGATTTGGGCAACCGTGTAGTATTATTACACCTCACACTTTGAGTGCTATTCGTAATCAAGTACCCGATAAGATAACTGACTATTACTGTTTACTACAAATTAAAGAGAATAAGATAAACAAGTTATCATAGTGTAAAAATAACAAGATACGTTATTTACAGTAATATAATGTGGAGAATACCTGGAACTAAAAAGAAATGTCATCCAACAACAAAGTCGTAATTTTCAGTATGAATATTAAGACAGTTCTGTCGTATAGAGTTGAAACTTGGAGAACTATTACAACCACCAGAAAAACAGTAATGCACTTAAACACAGCTGTCTACGCAAGATACTCCAGACCCATGGACCAGATACCCATCAGTAATAACCTACTATGACAGAAAAAACCATCTTCCAGTTAAGGAAGAAACTAGGAAAAGACGTTCTAGTTGGACAGGATATATATTGAAGAAATCACCAAACTACATCACAAAGCAAGTCATAACTTGGAATTCTCAAGGCAAAAGGGAAAGGGGTAGACCGAATTACATACTGCGTCGGGAATTCGAGGCAGACACAAAAAAGGAACAGCAGTTAGCAACAAGTGGAGAGTAGAGCCTAGGACAAAGTCAGTTGGAGACCCGTGGTCTGTGGTTAATGCCCCATGATGGGTAACAGGGTGTTGTTTAAGAAATTGAGAGGATGAAAAGCGAATATCCAATGCTTTAACCGGGTTGGTGGATGCGGATGTCCCTCACCTGCTATTATGGGACTGCATCTCACTACGTTGCTCCATTGCCTTGTGGATCAGGCTCAGGGTGTGGTCCCCTAAGAAAACCACCTGCTTCGGTCTAAGCTCCCGGGCAGTACCCAGCCCACACACAAAACAAGTGACTTGTGTGGCGCATATGTATTCGGTGCCCCTTTATACCAATATTTATGTGTTCAAATAAATAACAGGCGTAAATAATATGAATGGAATAATAGTGATTTTAAAGCAATTCATCTTATCACTTGAATCTTATACTTAACTAAATTATCGAGTACATATGTGTTTGAAAAATTGAATTCGAAGCATACTTTTCTTGTTGAGCCTAGTATTATTGCATGGTTGTCGAAACCAGAGTAGGGTTCTAACATGAGACCTAGCGTTGAAAGCCGAGACAATGCTGCACGGAAACACTGCATATAAATATAAATAGTTAATTACAATACTATCCAATATCCTAGCAATAATCAACATGTAAATACAGGTAGAACCGAAATATCCATTCAGACAGCCTCATATACCGATTGCAATTAATTCGTCCAGTCAGGAATATCAACTACAGGAACATGTTTATAATTATTATTATTATTATTATTATTATTATTATTATTATTATTATTATTATTATTATTAGCGTAAAAGATAGTCCACAAGCAACAATCATAACTAACGCTGTTTAATTTAATACCTGAAGATTGCCTTTCATACCAAATGTCATAACGATTTGGTTTTAATGAAATCCATTGCGAATAATCAATCATTCTCTTTCAATCATACATACATTTTTTTTAGACTATTCACTCATCAAAATATATATGCGTGCATGAATTTTTTTTAATGTAATGATCTCTCTATTATAATCAACACACTTAATTCTTATTGACATGTTAAAAGGGATTAAGATGAATATCCTTGTACATAATGCGAGAGAAATAAAGGAGGTATGCAAAGTAATCAGTGTATAGTTTATTGTCTTTTAATCTCAATCGCAACTAATTACAATTAATTCTACTTGATTAAGTATTATAGATAAGGATATAAGTATCAATTATTAGTAATTAATTAACGCCCTTTTTATCACAATGATAATCACTATTGAATAGACATTTCGTCATCAATAAGTCATATAAATTGATTTCTTTTTCAGTGAAACAATAAGAATATACTCGTTATGGTAAATAAGTTGACTTCGGATGATACACAAATCATTTGTTTACACAATTTTTTAAATCGGATTCAAGATTATTTCTCAGAATTTGACAGAAACAGAACATACACCAATTAGGTCATTCGCTCTGAAGAAAAAAGGAGCAAATTCTAACTATTTAGTTCCAAACGCTTCCTTTTAATACTACTTATAAGAAACAGTCAGACATTCTATGATATCAATTCTTACACTTACTATACAAGCTTTGTTCATCAATAATGTGAAAAAACGAACTATTTGTACAGAGCTGTTTTAGATCTCTATCTTTGTCAGGACTTATCCCATTTTGTTTTAATGTTTAGAAAAATGCTTCTGTAATACCATTATTATGTTTTTTTTCTATTTGAGTATATTGATTATTATTGTTACCATGACCCTTATTATCTACATTTACTCTGCCTACTCTAAGGATTTAGATCCCCTGTACAAATACCTTACAATTACTTAGAAGTAATCATATAAATTTCAACTTTAAAATTAAGATACAAAACCATTAAAAGCATAGTATACACTGAGTTTTAACTGATAGGACAAATGATGTAAATGATTTACCAAGTATAATTTTAGAATATTTGGCTTGGCTCACATATTAATCGTATGAGAGTAATAATATTACACGGATCGTCAAGCTGAAGTAGATGAAACCGGGTTCTAAGTTGTAACTCAGGAGTTGGAAGATGAGTATAGAAAATTACATTATAAATTTGAAATATACAAACCATATAAACAAAATGTAGTAGCGAAATACCATTCAGTGCTCTGATAAGTTCGTTTTATGACTATATCCTCAAGTCATTTAAAGATAACTGTTTAATATTTGATCCAAAAAATACGTAAACGAACAATTACTTTTACAATAACTTCTTTATTATTATACATTACACAATGGTTTCGCGAGAGAGAAATCCACACACAAATATTTATGTGAACGTTTTATGTTTAAGACTTTCAAGTTTTATCCGATATTTTACAAGTTCGAACTCCATTCCGTTTACCTCCATCGCTTGATCAGTATCAGTAATCCTAACAACTACAATCTGGTAATGCTAGGAAAACCTCAAATTATCTAGCTATTTTTTGGTTTAAATAAATGACAGTTCTGACATGAAAATGAGTCTGCAGTAACTTATATTTTCCCTTTGATCTTTCCTGGTATTCGATTGGTATGTTTGCTGTAAGTTTTACGATCATATATGTTGCTATATAGACAAAGTTGTCCTGTAAAGATTCTGATTTCTTTAAATACAAAATTTTTTCCTGAGTTCTTGAATTGTTTTTCCCTACCATAAAGGGAGGAATGTTATTGAAATATTACTTATTGGTCGCCCATTCTACTTAGTTCAAATATATTTTGTTTGTACCAGGGAAATCTTCCATCTGTACGTTATTCGAAATTATCGTAAGCTATACCAAAATATAACAGGTTCAAAGTTAAACTACATGAGTCTCTGTACTTGGCAAACGAGTTACGGTATTTATATATCATTAATTGCATAAAACTAAATTTGAAATGGATTTAAAACGTGGAACTATATTCTATTTCGCGTTGACAGTGATTTAAATACCCACAGATGTAGTGTCTGAACCTGTATATATGTTATAATCTCTTATCATAGCATTTCTCAGCTTCCCAATCTTTCTGCAAGAAAACGCTTGCGTTATTGCTTTTAACTTTACAGGGTTAGGTATTGTCATTTTATCGTGGTCACTAGTTCACAGTCATTTTCTCTATTATTACAATTTTGACTCGAGTTAATCACTTTAACCCTCTATATTTTTAACGTCTACATCCCCCAATAATAAATATAGAAATATATACAAAGAGAAAGAGAGAGAGTATAACCAGTTACAAACAAATTTTTTCTTACTGTATCTTTATTTTCTTTAAACAATATCAGTTCACTATCTGTTCTATACATGTAACAAATCATTCCCA